GATGAAAACCCTCGCTTAAACCCGTCCAAAATCTATCCCGTCACTACGCAGCTCAATCAGACGATTTGGAATGTCTTGTCCAACATCGAGAATGTGCCGATGTGGACTATCACGTGCATTCGCCCCAATGATACCGGGTTCTCTAACTCCCTTGACAGGCGTCGCGTCAAGGGGCAAATTAGGTCTCTGTTACTCCCAGCTATTGTGTCGAGGAAGCAGGTTGAGTTTGTCGCAGACTTTGATCAGGCAGAGTTTTGTGACAGATATCGTCCTTCCATGCGCGGATCAGATGCTGAGCGCATGCGTCAGTGCGCCCAGTCTAATGGCTGGAGAGAAGGCATTGACTTCGCGATTGGGAACCAGAGGATCTGGCTATCGTATTTGGCATGGAAGATGGTAGAGGATGTTATTCGTTCTGAGGAGAAAGAGCAGAAGAAGCTTGCCCGTGAGGATTCACAAGAGGACGAGAACGCCATGCTCGATGATGCCACAGACTACCCTGGTGATGAGCGACAGTCAGCATACTTTGATGAACCGGATGCCACACCATTCCAAGAGCCGAAAACGCCTGCGTTCGATGGTTATGCACCGTCTCATGTTGCTGCTCCTAGTTATCGCGAGCAGTCGGAATCCACGACGTGGGACACGAAACCCGAAAAGTTTGACAAAGCGCCTCCTCTCATGGCTAGTTCTGCCATGCTAACTGCGGATAACGCTCCTGAAATGTTGGAGGAACAGCTGCCAACCACTCGAACCCGACGTTACTGGCTTTATACCGTCTATTTCTTCACCTGGTGTATTCCCGATTTCCTGCTATTGGGGTTAGGACGTATGAAGCGCCCTGACGTCCGCCTTGCATGGCGAGAGAAAGTGACCATCTGCCTCCTCATCCTCTTCGGAAATGGCCTTATCCTATTCTACATCATCGCCTTCGGTGTCATTCTCTGCCCGAACTTCAAGTATGCATGGACGACAGACGAAGTAGCTCAATATACAGGCAACACTGACTACTACGTCTCCATTCAAGGCAAGGTCTATGACGTCTCCAATTTCGTTTTCGGTGACCACAGTGACATCGTGGGAGAGGCAAGTAATGGTGCGGCCACCTTGGCGGGGCTGGCTGGTACCGACATGACCTACTACTTCCCCCCTCCTTTAAATGTGGCATGCGCGGGCCTTGTCAGCGACCCGACAATGAAAATTACTCCCGAGAACAACACTCTAGTCTTGTACCCGACAGCTATGCATTCCTCCGGATCCAATGCTCCGACGACTCCCACAGCTCTCGACAACCAGGACTGGTATACCGCGACCTTCATACCAAAGATCAACCAGTATCTCCTTGGTCCGTTGGTTTGGGAGCCAAGCGATATCTACTCTCAAGCTAATCAAACAACGAATCCGCGGTAAGTCGTACTTAGTCTGCCTCAGTAACATCACTCATTATCTTCACAGAACTTGGGCGATTTACGATAATAGCATCTATGATTTGACGGACTATATCTACACCCTGAACACAATCAACCTGAATGTCGCTTCGTACAGCTTCCTTGACCCGAACCTCGTTGCAGTCTTTGAGGAACAAGCCGGGCAGGACATCACTAGCCCTTTGAATACAGTCTTGGCCGCCATGAGCGCTGAAAACCGTACGGCGAATATGGACTGTCTTTCTAATGCCTTCTACTATGGAGAGACAGACTTCCGGTACACTCCAAGATGTCAAGTGCAGAACTACCTTTTGCTTGTGTTCTCCAGTGTCCTCATGGCCTCAATGGCGATGAAATGTACGTTTTCTTCCTATCTGAACCTTTGCTTGCATTGACTCCATATAGTCCTTGCCGCACTCCAACTCCAGACCAAGCGCTTCCCTGAGTTACTGGACAAGTTCGTGTTATGCCAGGTTCCTTGTTACACGGAAGGAGAGGATTCCCTTCGCCGCACACTCGACTCACTTGCCAATTTGGACTACGACGACAAGAGGAAGCTGATTTTTGTCATTTGTGATGGGAATATCATTGGGAGCGGTAATGAACGACCGACACCTGCTATCGTACTCGACATTCTTGGCGTTGATCCAGCGAAAGACCCTGAGCCCTTGATGTTCAGATCAATCGGAGATGGCTCGCAGAAGCTCAACTACGGCAAGGTATACTCTGGATTGTATGAGTTTGAAGGTCATGTTGTTCCGTACGTCATCCTCTCGTAACCATGAAATCATTGCTGACACTTTTGTTTAGGTATATAGTCGTCGTGAAAGTCGGGAAGCCAAGTGAACGTTCGAAACCCGGCAATCGTGGCAAGCGTGACAGTCAGATCATGTTGATGCAGTACTTGAACAGGGTTCACTTCAACGCACCCATGTGCCCACTAGAGCTCGAGATATATCATCAGATGCGGAATGTTATTGGGATTGACCCTGCGTTCTACGAGTACATTTTCACTGTGGATGCAGACACAGTACGCTTTACTGCTCGCTACCCCGAGAAGCTCTGACATCCTTTCGCAGTCCGTGACTCCCAAATCTCTTAACCGTCTTGTAGCAGCCTCGATAGCAGATTCCAACATAATCGGCATATGTGGTGAAACGAGACTCCAGAATGAGGAGGGATCCTGGTGGACCATGATCCAGGCAAGTGGTTTAAATTTACACATTTTGTGTATTCATGCCAACATACCCATAGGTATACGAGTACTACATCTCGCACAACTTGTCCAAAGCTTTCGAGAGTCTTTTTGGCTCAGTCTCGTGTCTTCCTGGTTGCTTCACCCTTTACCGCATCCGCACTAATGATAAAGGCCGACCGCTCATCATCTCCAACCGTGTAATTGATGAATATTCGGAAAATAATGTGGACACCCTGCACAAGAAGAATCTGTTCTCCCTCGGCGAAGATCGATTCCTGACGACACTATTGATGAAACATTTCCCCACTTTCAAGACCAAGTTCACTCCGGACGCGATTGCGCGTACCATGGCGCCGGTATCATGGAGAGTATTGTTTTCACAACGCCGGCGTTGGATCAACTCTACCATTCACAACCTGTGCGAGCTTGCTATTCTTCCAGACCTCTGTGGAGTCTGCTGTTTCTCGATGAGGTTCTTCGTCTTCCTTGATCTGATCGGTACTTTGGTAAGGTCTCTTCAAAGCGTCAATGTACGATTTCTGATGTTTTTTTTTTCATTAGATATTGCCTTCCACTGTTGTTTATGTGAGCCGCAGCACGTTATCTTTCATCGAGTTCTAGCTAACGTCGCGTTTAGTTGGCTTGGCTGATTGTCGAAGTCGCTACTGGACAATCTCCGTTCCCTCTGATTTCCATAATCATGTTGGCAGCGGTATATGGTCTTCAGGTGAGTAACGTCGTCTAATCAAGAGAAGTCATTTACGATGTCATTTCCAGGCTCTTATCTTTATTATCCGAAGAGAGTTCATGCTTATTGGATGGATGGTGGTCTATCTCATTTCGTAGGTTGACTTGTTCTGTAATAGATGCATAGCTCATTTTCTGTTGTTACAGGTACCCAGTTTACAGTTTCTTCCTGCCCATATATTCATTCTGGCGGATGGATGAGTTCGGTTGGGGTAACACTCGTATCGTGCTCGATGATGGTGGAAGCAAGAAGATCATCGCGAACAGCAACGACATGAAGTTCAACGAGTCTATGATTCCGTACAAGAAGTTTAGTGGTACGTTCAATACGCATTCTCACTCGTGCTACCTGTTAATGGTAATCCGTACAGACTATGAGGCTGAAACGTTGGGTGACAACCAATCCGGGCAGTCGTATGACTCGCCTCCCGATTTCCATAAATCAGGCTCTGTGTATCTCTCCGCCCCTCAGCCGCATCATCTGTCAGGCTCTCAACGCCCATCTGTCTACGAGTACGGCCGCTCTGAGTCAGGAGATCATGACTACTACCGCGACACAAACATGATACATAGCAACTCGTCCCATCACAACCTACCCGGGCCTTCACGTCCGAGCTCCCGTGCCGTATCTGACGCCAACCGTCCACCACCTCAGATGGCCAACTGGAGAGGACCCTCACAGGAAAGGATCAACATGTTTACTCCGACCAATTCGGGTCCACATGGGAGCGTGTATGGCATGACGCCGCCTGACTCGCGAATGACATCTGGAGTCTTCAACCGCTCCATGTCCCCCGCCCAGAGCCTAGGTGTCCCTCCTCAGCATTTCAACGGAGAAGTGCGGACATCTACGTTATCTATGGCTACAACTGCGTTCACCGGCCCCAACATGAATCCCAATCCCTCGGATGACGAGCTGTATAATGCACTTCGGAACTTTTTGAGTACACAAGACTTGATGGCTGTGACAAAGAAGTGCGTTGTCCTGCTATACTTGACTACATCCTAATACTAACTTCACTTCAGGACAGCTCGTGAGGCTATGGCGGCTCGCTTCCCTCGCGCAGACTTGACGTATCGTAAAGACTTTTTGAACCAGTGCATTGACGACATTCTTTCGCATTAAACGTAGACTATATACATCATTTAGGACACTTACATTTATCTCTCGGACCCTTCTAGGACTTAATTGACTATCGGGACAATGCTGATTAGCGTTTTGTTTTGCTATGATTACGACATGTATGACATTTGTTAGTAACGCGTTGGATTTCGTCGGACATAATAATACGATGGCAACTTGGACTGTTGAAACGTTGAACGTTAAGCTTAGCCTCGTTAGGGCAACCAACTGGTGATTATATGTAATCACAAGATGACGGTGCTTGTAAAACGGAGGTGGTTCTTAATGAATGTATACTTTGAATATTCGAATGGGCTATGGGGTATCTGTGTATGCATCTGTATGCATCTACTAATATTGTTACAATGTAGGTATGCGTCATCAAAACACAAGCGAATACTTGTCAGAGATGAGTCTGGTGTATAGCTAGAGTATTTCTACGGTACCGATATCCATGTTATCAACCGAAGCAATGTCTTTGACTTGTGCAGTGATGTTATGGTCTGACGCGACCCTCTTGTATTCTCCGACACGCTACTGTGCTAGTCGAAAGGCTGTCTCGGGCGAACCAGCAACTGCAACGCCAGTGAGCTCGACTCCTCTTCAGCAGGTGAACCGCCGGATGACTCGTCAGACTCAGCCATCAGAGGCCCAGGCTCTGTCCGACCTTCCATGCTCTCCATGTCATCTGCGAAGTCAAGCCGCTCTGCAACGTCAGGTACCCCGAGGATATACCGATCTCATGGACGGACAGGTAAGAACGTCTGCCGAATGAGCTTTTCCCGCGAGAACTGGACTAGGGTCTCTTCAGTGGTGATCAGCAGGCCATGGAGCCCGTCTGCCTTGATTCCATATGTGATGAGTCTCCTGGGCCAGATCGCGCCTCCGTCCGATTTCCGTGACATGGAACAGAATAAAAGGCAGATGAAGTCTGCAGTTTGCGAAGTAAGGAGCTCAGCTGTTCAAACTGGTCATAAAACTTCAATGCTAGATCCGTAGGCATGGTTTGTCGCAGCGAAGAGACTTGTGTGTGAATATGATCTTCGGACAAAGATGAAAGGGTACGTGGAGTAGTGCTATAAGAGGCGATATGGGCTGGAAGACAACTATTGAACTCGAAAGGTTGTCCGATCCAGTCGAGGACAGTGATATCGCCTGACCGGGCCACGATCTCCTGCAGGAGCCATCCGAGAGCGTTTTTTGCTTCATCTCACCATAAACGATAGGCAGGGTAATGGCGAAGATGCCAAATAATGAGTACGCAACGTCTTCTTGCACAGTGGTGACGCGCTTCGATGCCCGTTGTAGTTTCTCTCGGGCGCCGCTCATACCTGGACGGAAGGTCACCAGGGCCCGTGCATCTATCCCTGTCACATCCAACTCCTTCATGATTGCAGGGGACTCTTTGTGGTCAGTAGAGCAATCGTCGAGATATAACAATCCTTCTGATAGAGGATTACAACTTCGGACCGACGAATTCTTGAATCGCATAAGGTGGAAAGCTTCTGAATAAGGAAAGTTCGGGCCAGGTGAAATTGACGCGGCCCTGCCGCGCCTGCCGCGCCTGCCGCGGTCGTGACGCGCCTGTGACGCGGCACTGACGCGGCATATGTGACGCGGCACTGTAACAAATTCCTATGTACAAATCATGTTTACACAACTTCATATCGCATTCCAAACACTTTGAATCATCGTTAATGATCAACATATGAGTGTCTGCCTGCGTACAGGCTCTATAGTGCTGTATTCACCTCTCACCAAATTTACAGTGCTTGTCCTCTGCGTTCATATTACTAGTATGCATCTTGCGCGTCAGTCCTATATTGTTGCATTACCTCTAATTCGTTCATCTATGTTGGTTTTCAGATGCAGTGTCAAATGTTGTCTCACTGTGTCAAGCTTCGACCTCACCCTGCCAAGTTTGATCCACTCTCTATACCCTGCACCAACACGTCGAGCCCCAACCATGGCATGTCAGAAGCCTCGTTTAGGCTGCGTCAAGCACTACTCACACCACGACAAGTTCTCCCAAATATCTTCGCAGTCTCTGTACTAATATCAACATCCACACTCTATGCCGCGTCAAGACCTACTACAGTGCCGCGTCAACCATAGCACATACCGCGTCAGTTGCCGCGTCACATGCGCGTCAGTGCCGCGTCAAACAAGTTGTGCCGCGTCAGTTGCCGCGTCAAACCTCCTCCATGCCGCGTCAGTGCCGCGTCAAACCTCGTCACTGCCGCGTCACGCCGCGTCACTGCCGCGTCAAACTTCATTCATGCCGCGTCACAAGTAGCACATGCCGCGTCAGACCTCACCACCTCCACATGCCGCGTCAAACCTCACCACCTCAACTGTCACACTGTCCGTATAACTTAGGTACATTTTACTTTACATCTGTCATAATAATTGATATTCTAACAGTGTTCCTTTTCATCCTGACAGAATTAGACGTCGTACACTGTAATTGTCCATAGGCAGTAATAAATTTATTTTACTAAGCATTCTTTCGTTGTCTCCTCTGGGCTCGAGAAACAACCCTTATTATCGCGCTTTTGTAAATCGTATCATGGCCTTTGTGAGTTCTTTAAAATACGGAGTAAACTTGTTATAACCATCTTTTAGCAATTAATCAAACATATATTCAACTTTTTCTATCCCAACGAGACAGAGAATCAAAATTATCCAGATCGGCCGGGTCCGCTGCTGAGTTTTGGGGACCTCATACCCTGCTATGACCGTTCAGGTGCGTCATCCGACATATTCTCCTTGTGAACTCAGATTTGACAAATAGAACAGGCAATGTAATAGCTTATCTTCCGGCCTCCGTGCAGACCGCTCAGCCATCACATGACCCTGCACACTCCGTCCCAAATCCACCACCCCTCCCTCAACACATGAAACACCACTCACAAGAGTTATTCGAACTCTGCACGGACACAAAGTCTATACCACGCCGACGTGCCCGAAGTGTTAGTCCTTCTGCAGCCCGAACAAATCAACGCCGTGGTCTAGATCAATCCTCCAATTCCCTACGTCCCAAATCTGGCGGTGGAGATGAGTTATGGGACCCATGGCCGGACGGTGACTTTGAAAGGTTATTAACATGGGAGGAGGTATTAAGAACTGACAATCTTAGCGAACATTGGGCTTGTCAGCCAGGAGGAGGAGACAAGAGGGGGTCAGAGTCAGCACTTGCGTGGTCGCAAGGTAAAAAGACGAGACGTGTTTGCCTGGGTGTCATTACTTGTGATGAACCTACCTGTGAGGTAGTCACACGTCCGCAGACCCGCCGGGCTGGTATCATGGGACAACTCAATGCATCGTGCCTTTGTGGTAGTCAGCTCAAGCACATCGACTGCGGTGTCACATCAGTGTTGTATTCATTCAAAGGAGGCGTCTACTACATTCACAAGGGCATTCACCACCATCCGAAACAAACTCACATCTTGCATCTATCTCGTGACGAGCGGACAAGATTTGAACAAATAGTCTTCGAAAATCCTGCTGCTGGCCCTGCGGCATTAATTGCTGGTCGCAACAGCATTACTGGTACCCGTGAATCTGTTTCAACGATCTCCACAGTGCTTCTCAACCAGGACCGTGTCAAGGCCGAGCTGCAAGCACTACGGGGCAAGTCCACTCGAAACTTTGTTGATGACTTCGCCGAATTCCAGAAGAACCATCCAGGATATGTTTTGTATTCTCAATTCGAAGCAGTCACTGTCGTTGTTGTTCAAACTCAATTCATGGTGTCACAACTGGTGACCGACTTCATCGAGGACGAGGCTGTGAATGGCATTGTTTCGGATGCAGCACATGGGTTTTGGTACTCATCTAAGGATCTTCTCATAATTAGTTCGACATATTCTGCTTTGCTCGCATGCTGGGTACCTGGACTCATGACCTATGCAAATGGAGGTTCAGCCGAGCACTACCGATTACATTTTCTTGTCCTTTTCAATTCCATGGCAGATGAATGCGAGAAGCACGGGCGTGAAGTCAATGATGAACTGTTTGGCAATGTAAGGCTCCAGTTACTGGTACATAGTGTTCATTCTGACATTCGCTGATCCAGGTTGTCGACTTCAGCGAGGCTGAACGAGTTGGGTTTACTCAAGCGTTCATTATGTTCTGGACCAATCGTGAGGATTCACGTGTATACGAGGAAGGTTGTCGGGTCTTTCTAGTCAGTCGACAAAAGGTTTGCGAAAACTCCGACCTCTACGCGGCTTCGCTACACAGGCAGTAATTCCAAGAACAAAGCACCACCCCAACACCAACGTTCTCGCACAAAAACGAAAAAACTTCGGATCTTGTTGCCGGTATTGGAAACTGAAGATCGGCCATCCATAAACGAGGGTGAAAAGCCGTCTGACCAGGCCAGCGTACCCGAGCCAATCGAGGATCCATTGGTCCTTCAGGCATCTGGCAACGAAGAGGAATCACTGTCCACATCCAAGATAAAGAAACCATTAGAGCTGGACGACGGAGAGAGTGAAGCATCTGACTATACATTTGATTGTAGGTGTGGGGCTCTTGGCAACGGCCATGAAGTTGCAGGTGGTCAAAAGACAATCCGATGTGATCTGTGTGAAAATTGGTCACACATTGCTTGTCAGAGAGGTGGCCGAGCCAGCAATCTTCATCCAAAGGCAGCATTTTATTGCGATGGATGCTCAACACAGGAGTCAAAAGCACCACCAACCCGCAAGTAAGTTTAAACAACTGTGCCTCTCGCATAAACTGACATCCGTGACTCAGGAGCAGCAGGAAAGCCACAACAAACAAGAAAACGACTCCACTTTACACACGTCTGATGTTTGTCTTTTGATCTCCAACCCTAGCTGAGAATCGAGATATGGCTGATCACTCACTTATAGTGCTGGCAAAGGAGCTCTGGCTCGTCTCGGGAAGTATTGGTATCCTGTGCGGCTGATTCAGTCCTATGACACTGTTAGTCTCCCTGCTAGTGCACGCAACCGAGTACGCTGGCGGGTGGTCTGGTGGCGCGGTTGCAGATTCCCATCAAGTTTGGGATCACCTCCTGGTGATGTTGAGCAAGGAGATCTCGTGGATGAACTTTGGCAGGACCAAGCTAAGAGGCGTGAGATTCGCGTGAGTGACAGTGACTGGTTATACTCGCAGTCCTCTTGACACGAAGTATTGTGTAGCTCGGAGAATGGATCCACTCTTGGGATACTCCTCGCGAAGAAGACTTGATTCAAAACTTTATGTCAGCGGAAGTATCAAAAGAACTGGACGACATTCTACTACCACATATTGCTTCGCTTCAGAAGCTCCTTGACAGTCCAGACTTGAACCAATATGGTGCGGAGGCATACCCCGTGATAGACTACATCTTGCGATCGAAGAAGAAGCCAGATGGTGTGGGTGCATACAGCATACCGTTTTGTGGTGACATCTCATCTCACGAGTATGCCAAAATTGCACGTTGGTTCTCGGAGAATGTTCCTGGTGCTTCCGGTCAAGTCGAAAAATGGCTTGGTGGCATGCCTTTGGTGCATGCTTTCACTCTCGTGGTTGCTCACCGAAAGGCCAGTGATTTTGAAAAACGCATCGAAGCTCGAAACGAAGAATGGAACGATAGCATGCTGTTGAAGATGGCTTGGGCTGATCTCATGATAAGCTATCCTACCAATAGCTTCGTGGCTGATGTCGACCTCGAGTGTCTGACCGCACTAGAAGCAAGGATGTTCGAGGATTCCGAAGAAGCAGGACCTGCAGGCAACCAGCAGTGGGGTTTGGATGCTGGCCAACATCACAGGCGATGGAATGTGTATGTCGGAATTCCTGATGAATGGGTTTCTGCAAGAGATTATAGCGAGAGTGAACTTGAAGTGAGGAAGACATTACCTGCTCCGTTCGATAGATATCTAACTTATGTGATTGACAGCGCGGCCCCTTATTCAGTGATAACTCTGATGCTACATCTTTGGAGTCTGCAGACGAGCTATCCGAAGCTGTAGTTCCTTCTCTGCCGGCCAAAGAATGTCCGCCCGTTAAACGTCGATGTGCTCCACAGGCTCGAAGGGTCCAGAGAGGGAGGAAAAGAAAATAGTCATTGGCTTATGTATACCTAGTTGTACATGGCTCTGAGGCAAATAAAATAACAAAAGAATGGTCGTGAACTCATCCAATTTGATCTGGAAGTTGAATATAGAATATAGGAATGGCGCGTCAGTGGCCGCGTCAAGGATCGTTAGTGCCGCGTCAAGGCTCGTCAGTGCCGCGTCACATGCGCGTCACGCCGCGTCACGGCCGCGTCACGACCGCGGCAGGCGCGGCAGGACCGCGTCAAAATAGCTACGCCCGGAAAGTTCTCAAAGCCTTTGCACAACAGACCAAAACAACGCTTACCTCCGTCTTCTGAACTCTGCAGCCTCTCACTCTCATGTACTGGTCTGGCACAACTGAGGGATACGGCGAAATCTGATACAAATTCAACCCACACGTGATGCGTGTAGCCCTGAAAATTTATCGTAATCGTGTATCGTTGATGTGGCTATCTCAAACCGATATGTAACGTATCATGATTTTCCTCACATTATAACTGTTGACGGACCATCTAGCAAATAGAATAATTCCTCTATCTTGCGTCATGTGTAAATATTACGGACTGTTTCACCTCTTTTCCATTACCAGCTAGCTCGTGGAATCTCCATGTAAGCGCTAGGTCGAAACCATGGCTTCCATCTCAGAAGTATTGCGGTATGGTGCTTTGGATGGTTCCCTTATATCACCTCTTAAAATTACCGCATCAAAAGTAAGGTTCACGCTGGTTCGCGACGCAGTGGGCACACAAGGTAAGCGTCTTTGCACGTTCACAATAAAAATGCAACTGACCTACGCATCAAAACTTTCTGATCTTTGTGATTCTCCCGTGACGCACCTCCGTCTCTACCGTTTCTCTACCGCTCAACTTTACGCTATAATATATAAACCTTCCTCTTATGCTCAAGCTCGCTTGCTACTGTCTTAAGCAGGTACCGCTGCCAAAGTTTATGGTTGTGGTCAAGCGTGCCGCGATAATGCTCCGAGTCCGCGAGAATCCCGGTTTTCCTATAATTGGGACCTTATCTGAGTTATACTTCTCCACATGTGATGTCACCCTCTAGTGGAGAAGGACCAGTACTCACTTGATCATCACATCCTAAGTTTATCAAGGGTCAGTGATCCTTCTGTTCTTGTGGACTAATGCACGCGTGGCGCTACAAAGCAGTGAATTCCACAGGTGCATATCCTATAGGAATGTGTCCACAGACGCTTGCCTTTTCCCGACGTGTTGTCGGGGGACAATGTCAAATCGGTGGCCTCAATGCACGACCACAGTCGTCCTTTGTCTATCGTTTCCCCGCTTGTCGAGAGGTATAAAACCTTATGTCGTTCTCTGCTCTATTTCTCTCATCTTCGTCTCTACTTTCCAACTGCGTCTCATCATCTTAGCCAATTCACTTGTTCAACTCATTTATATGTCTATGTAAGTCTACTCGCACGTCAGGTAGATATCTTGATATACTAACACTACCTTACGCATCTAGTTCCTCGTGCCACCACACGCCATTCGATAGGTTGGTGTTCTATTTCGAGTTCAAAGACGCGCTTTATCTCATCATATTCTTAGCGAGTTTATGCCTATGTCAAATGACCACGTACCGCTCCCCGGCGATCCTGACTTCGTTCCGTTGTCAGAAGAAGACTTGGCTAAGTTGATCACAGCTCGCCAAAGCGGTGAGATGTCCCCCGAAGTGCGCGCCATCTTGAATGTGTATGTGGTTCTACCTAAATCATTTATTCAAACTCACGATCGTACAGATTGTTTAAGGAGAGCGATGAATTAATGCGTAGTGTAATTCATGAAGACGCGCTGGCAGGCCCAGCCGATGCTCACGTTGACGGGTAAGCCAATCCCATTAGTCTACCAGGACCAAGCAACTCACGTCCAACGATAGGACAAACCATGATAAATTACCAGCGACGCAACAAGGGTACGTGCACTCGCAACTGAGTCCTCGTCATTGTTCATCTGTTTCTCCAGGACTGGGGCCGATTCACAAAATGTTCAAAATCCTCAGATGTTTGAGTTGTTTCCGACATTGGAGAATTTCACCGCCCCGGTGACTGGTCTCCCCCAGTTGTCCCACATCGACCAGGGGCTCTACTATCCTCCGCAGATCTCTGCCGTCCCTCAAGCGCCCCCGCAAGGTCACCCTTGGTCCCAGCATGAATACAACCCTGAACACTTCATGAACGGGCCTCCCGACACATATAGGCAGCCCTCTGCCGCACCGCAAGGCACTATATGGTTCCAGCATGAATACAATCCTGGATATGATGTCAATGGACCCCCTGGTGCGTATCATCCGCAACCCTCTGCGATCGTTTCAGCACCGCCGCAAGGCCACGCATTGGCCCAGCATGGATATCATCCTGCTCCCTCCTACCCTTACCAGCAACCTTCCACCATTGCGGGTCCGTTCAACGCGTACTACCCCATTGCGACATTACCCCCAGGTCAATATGCTCCATTGCAGACGGAGTCTAGCGGGGGCTCAAACGTGGCGCCAGCCTCCTTTGCTCTCGACAAGATAGCATCTACCAGGCCTCGTAAGCGTAAAACCCCCCAGACCGCGAATGATTCGAGTTCGTCTGTTGCACCATTAATGTGCAAGCGCAGACGCCAGAACGCCTCCGATGACTATGGATCGGGCAAGTTTGGTCCGTACACCCTAGCGGATACTAGTACCACGGTCATGACCATGCCTGTTCATGACCCAAAGCCTGTCGATATCAGTGGACGCAGGACCCATGGTCCAAACGGAGATCCCCTGCGAACGAGGAGATTTGGGGTTATGGAACTGGACGATACCTGCCCCGATGCACCCGGAAACGTCTTTGACTACCACTCGCCACAGTTGACCTGCGTACGCTCATGCGATTGGACCGACCAGCCGTGTGGTCTGTTCATAGAGGTGGACAAGATCCGCATCGAAGACCACCTATGGTTTTGGCATGGGGTTGAAACGAAGAGAACTACTCCGAGCCCCTGCCGATTCGAGGGTTGCCCGGACGCAGAGACGATGACATTTCTGAGCCGTCACATCGAAGGGGTCCACTTCGCTGCGTCCTATCAATGCTCCTATTGCAAGAAGCTGTGGTCGAGGACCGATTCTGTGACTCGGCATCAGAAGGGGTGCAAACCATTACTTGCTAGCAGGGCCCATGCTGAGCATGGAAAGTACAAATTCCGTCTCCAAGAGATGATCAAGTCAGTTTCTGGATATATCGTTCCTGCTAGTAACGCAACCTAGGACAGCGTCTGAATATGTATGTCCCCCTTACCCCGCATCTGTCGCTGTTACTAACGTTACTCCTTATTTCCGTGCTCTAGTGTTGAATATAATTCTTGACACAACTTACTCTCTATGACTGATGACACTCGTTCCATATCTATTACCGACATTCCTTTAGACTATTCTCTCTGCGGCTAACGACACTCGTTTCATTCTATTACCAACATTCCTTCGGAAATTTATTCTCTCTCTGGTTAACCACACTCGCTTCATTCTATCACCACATTCCTTTTGAATATTCGCTCTTTTCGTCCTTGCTCAGTGCATCTTTCATATGGTTATTGGTTTATCTTTATTGCACGCTGGACGTGGTTATCATACCTTACCATGGTGCTCGGTCTATCTTACATACGGTTGGATTTTATGGGAAGGAAGTTGGAAGTAGCTAGTCACTATCATGGAGCTTGGAGCTTTGCATCGTCATTGTTATGAATGAAATATACAGATATTGAACGCTTGAGCGATTCGGAGTACATGATCAAGGAGCTAGTGTTTCAGTGGAGCTCAGGTACAACATGTATATGAGGTGGACGGACTTGCTTCTGTGGGATAAAACGTTTCATCGTGAGTATAAACAGGACAATTTAGCTAGAGCTCAGGTTGGACTGTTAAACCTTCGTTAGGGCAACCAACTGGTGATTACATGTAATTATATATGTGACAAACTATGATGCGTGGAGTAAGAAAGATATGACCTGTAAAAATTGGTCATGTTACTCGAATAACGAGAACCATGAGCATGAACGCGACCAGCACGACAAGTATACTCGTGATCACTAAACATGTTGTACTTCCACTTTTCCCCCTGAAGTCCCTTAACCGTATTCGTTCCTTCTTCATGAAGTCGAAGTTCCCCTCGAGCTTCTCCTGCATTGCTTCGACAACGCTCTTGTCTTTAACTAGCGACTCAGAAAAGTGGGTAGCATTGCGCCGAAGCTGCGTTGCCATTAGTGCGAGTTGCTCTGAGAGCTCTTCCTGTAGTGCGCGAGAGTTTTGAAGTATGGTAGGTGTAGCAGTGATATTGGAAGTGACAGATAATGCTGCAGGAAGAGTTGGCGGCGCAAGGGGCTCTGAGGGTAAAGACTCTATCTGTGAAGATGGTATGAGGTCATCAGCACTAGGCACGCTTCGAGCTGTATCTTCTGTAGGGATGAGCGTCGCTTCTACAGGTATCGTCGCGTAGTCAGCTGCCTTTGTTATAGGGGCACGTATTGATGGCAGTATTGGTGTTGGTCTCCTGAGTGGAGGAGCTGCTTTCTAGTTTGGCAGATGAGCCGAGAAAAGGGGACATGTGTCACGGTGAGGGCTGCATACCTGCTCAACTTCCGTTACAAACGCTTCGACTTGATCTAGCGTCGCGCGCAAGCGTTGATAACGATGTTCTGAGGCTCTACAGAAGCATATTAAATGTGAGCCTAAACGGACGGCCTGCCTTAGTAATTCCACGTACGGTGAAGTCCCATGGTCATCAACCTCGACGTTCTTTAGGAGCAAGCGAGCATGTCTGATTCGCTGAGACAATATCAGCGTCTAGGAGTCTTATATTTGTCACGAATAACTCTGAACGAACCTGGAGAGTGCCTTGGGCTTTGATCCAGGTGTCTCGCTGCGAACTGTCAGACCAATCATCCTGGGACACGGATTTCTCAAGCCTTTTTACTAGGCGAGGTAGATTAACTCTATCATGAAGAATCTGGTCGTTGGTGCGCACGCTCATGTTGGGTCGTTACAGGTCAGGAAGAGAGGGAGGGTGCAGGACAAGGTGTGTCCATATATCCTGAACTCGTGCTTAACATGTGTACTAGAAGTCACTAATGCCTATTTGGCTGATGGGAATATATTTCCCCGTTTGGAGTGAAATAACCACATCCTTCGTTGTTGCCTCCGCGAGTTATACCCTTCCTGCTCACACTCAAGAGCAAATGGACGACCAGGAATCGGAAATACACCGACTCGTCGAGAACGCCGAGAAAGAGCAAGACGGAGGAAGTGCACTGGTAAGATTTGCAGCCATTCACTGTCCCGAATGACCTCACATCAATTTACTAGCGGCGTGACGCCCTCACGAAACTCATAGAAATTGCTCATGCTTCAGATTCCGAGCTCAAGTGCTATGCAGCAAATCATATAAGATACTTTTTCAATAATTTCCCTGACCTAGAAGAAGACGCTATCAATGCAGTCTACGATCTTTGCGAAGATCAAGATTCGCGGGTGCGGTGTCTTTGTTTTCGTGTGCTCTTTTCATGACACCCCGACCGCAGGTTCGCATTGAAGGATATCGAGCAATCTCAAGCGTTTCATCTGTTGAGCACAAGTGGGTTAAACGCAATTCGGATGTGCTTGTGCAACTTCTTCAAAGCGGTAAGTAATGCAACTTTAAAATATCGCGCGCAAATTACAACAATGATTATGGGCATATATGTGTCTTGCTTTTTCAAGTTTTTCTGACCATTCCCTGTAGACGAACCAGAAGAGGTTGCCGTTGTCAAAACAGCCCTTTGTGACCATCTCGACATGGATCCCGGCGTCACTCTAGGAGTCTTATGCGATCAAATAATTCCACCTGAATACACGATAGACGAGGAGGAGCAGCAAATTCGTGATCGTTTACGCTCACTCGTGATAGCCTTTTTGAAAGTTGATGCAGTTGAAGCCATCATTCGGAAATACACCAAAACGCCGGGTACCGATACAGAAAATGTCCTGGTGTCCCAACTTCTGACGGTAACTTGGTGCATCTTCCATCGTTTTGCAAGGCTGACTCGTCGATAGGCTGTCAGAAGGCTGGAGACACGCGACGTCGAAGTGATCATAAAGGACTTGCTTCTGATGATGCCTTGCTATATACCAGGCTCTCCGCGCGGAATGGACCTTCTTCACGTGCTTATCGACAAAGCAAGGTCTTCTCTTAACGTGAAATCGAACGACTTGGGATCTATCAAGACCATCGATTTTTACATATCTTTGGCGCACTTCGTCGCCATTCAAAAACGAGTTGCTTCTCCTGTTGTGTTGTTACGATTTTATTGTACGTATCTGATGGGGAAACCTGTCTTGCAAAGGTTTTCTCCCGAGGAGCAACTTATCCTTGCGGGCCGATTGGTAGAGGCACTTGAAGCATGCGAGGAAGAAAGTCGTCTTCGCCCTCAAATTTGCAGTCATGAACAGTTTTCATTTCTTCGGCGACAGGTCGTTGATGGAGCGCCAAATTTGTTGGAGGTAGGTCGTCCGTATAATTTTACGGTCAATCTACTGAATGATTGACTTAGGCTCTCCACGACACAAAACTCGAGTCTTTAGCTATGTGGGACACATTGCGCTCCCTCCTTCTAGCTTGCAAACATGTAAGTCGAGTCTTTCATGTGAGTTTGCAAAATAACGCGTTTCCAGCGGAAAGAACGTGAAGACTGGGTAGTTCCGTTTAATTTGGCTACATCCATAAGCAGATTTCAAGCGCAAGCGCAACAGTTGGGGCCAGGAAACAACAGCGATGAAATTCGAGTACTCATCAGGGTTCGCAGTGGGCCGCTTTCCGCTTTCTCCATTGACGCCCATTGTTTCTTTCTGTGTTTGAGCAGTCACTAACCGAAACTTCAATGTCGCAAGCAAGTTCGAGTACAACTGTGGACGGGGATGGTCTTTATGAGCGCCCTGCTCACCTCCCGGCTCGACCTCAAATGGGACGTCCGCTATTGAAGAGACCAGATATGTCAAGACCTTCGCATACAAGCACGAGTGGCGTGGTATCGAACTCTCGACCAGCAATACAGATTCGTGACTCTGGTTCTCTTGCATTACCCAAACGATCCTTGAGCTCTGGAGAAACAGTACCACAGATCAAGCGAGCAAAGACGGAATTGACAGAGGAACGACAACTGACACCTTCGTTGCTGAGCCGTATGACGATGCCTATCCCAGGCGATACGGAGAAGGCCTGGCGAAAACGTGGAGGAGCAGGAAAAAAACGCGCGGATGATTCGTCCGAGCCGGACAAGCATCCTATGAGCGGTTATAGCATTAAAGGCGCTGCAGCACATGCCGAGCGGGGCGAGGAGTCGAGAGATCCCACACCAAGAACGTCGTCCTTGCTCGATAGGCTGAACAAATCTGAGGGCGTAGATGGTGGTAATAGGAAGAGACACCGAGGGAAAGCATGAATCGGTTCATGGGACGTTGATATTTATGTATGATCACCGCTGGCTCTTAATCTTGATTAGCATGAATAGTCGGTGCCAGGTTTTATAAATTAAACGCAACCATTTCATCGACAAAGTACTACAGGCACCTTTTGTTTTAGAACACCATGCATGTATGAACGCAGACGTGGTATGAAGGCCCTAGTAGATTAATGAAGACAGTTCACTTGTACATGTTTTAAATTGACATTTGCGTAATGTCAAATGCGTAGCCAACACAAGGACTCCATACGTGAGTACGCACGGCCTTGGCGCTGCGAGTGGTAAATCTAGACACCTATGTGAACAACAAGCGCGACGTGAACAGGGTCATGGGTACGAAGGATGACTGAGTCGTCACAGCTGTACTGCCTCCACTGTTCTCTGACCTCCAGAAAGCGGCCGAAGTTGGTCCAGTCGTCGTCGTCGATACCAACGGGGAAACAACATAATCCTATTGCATGGTCAGCTGTGGACTCGTCTTCAGGAGATGCATCCAATGCATCTGAGATCATACGGAGATGAAATATGACTTGCTTGATGATGCTCGTTAGCCTGACCCAGATCAGACAAGACGCCCTACTGCTGGAATCCGCCATGAAGGCTTATGGCAAGGGGGTTGAGAGATATGGATTGACGATGATGATCGGGGGGATGGGGCATCAGTGCAACTCGATGGCCTCATTCAAGTTAGACATAACGCCCCACTGCCAGGATCTTGTTCGTAGGCTGCTTGCAAGACTATTGAGATGCGTGTATCGTTTGGAATCGCCAGGGACGAAGCGCTAATGGAACCCGATTGAGCCCGGTGGACTCGTCCAGGCCAGGAAAGCTGATGGTCAAGCTGCCGAGAGACTCCGTTCGGAAGAAATGGACGGAAGAACAGAGTTTTCACGCAGCTCGGTTGAGACCGATGATCCCCTGCTGCTCGAATCTGTGCACGGAGTGCCAGTAGCTCGACTGAGCTTTAATGGTTCCATCCAGATCAAAGAAGATACTTCGCTCCTGAAAAATTTGGTGGAATGTTTGTTGAGAGACACCACGATGGCTGAGGGAACGGAGCGCCAGCGCAGCCCGATGGAGTACGACATGATATGGCCTCATCTACGTCAGACGATATGCTTCGTTTCTGGAATCTGACATGAAGGGTCATGGGCCTTGCGAGGTTGGAAAAAAATCTGGATCGATCAACGGAACACTCCTGCAAGGCCGCTTGACAGTACTTCACAAAGTCGATCGACATGGTATTGAAATCACCCTGACTCGTAAGAGGGGGTCCGGTGGCAAGACGAGATTGTGACTTCATGTCACTGTTGGGCTCGCTAATTAGTGAGTGTAAAATCCAACGAGATAAAAACACGCAATGAACAGAAAATCCAATAGTAAAGCGTATCGTAAGTTTGACAGCCAGCGCTCCGGCCATGATATCTGAGCTGTGTAAATCAGGGCCTCTGAGATCTTCCGAAAGACGCCCACACAGCAGCTGACGTACTACCGCTGGCAGACCTTCCTTTCAGATGTCTTCCGCCAACTTCCTGGTGTATCTACTGTCCATTGTTTGCACGTTGCCTGTTAGTGCGTACTTGTTTGTGTGATGCATCTGTGGCGATGATGGCTTGAATCAAACAGCGATTTCCCTGCCGGCTCTGTTGCAAAGTCCGTAAAGTTTTAATGACTTGATCAGTGAGCGCACATTATCGACGTGTTCTGTTAGCACAGATAAGACGTCTACATGGGTTTAACCCACAGTGCATGGAAGAAGTGAGGCGTTGATGATGTGCGCTGACGAAACGTTGCGATGACGTTATGATGACGATAACGTTATATGATGACTTCGGCAAACATCGCGGCGCTTCGTGTCAGGTCGTAGCCTAAGGCATATCTCTTCTTTTTTCAAGTTATCACCCACAACATGCTCAACAACACAATACTATTGTCTGATGGAGGACTCGTGAGTTACAATACAAGTTGTTTTGTACTACCAAGCTCATTTCTCGTCGCAGGGCACTACTCTAGAGGATCACTTCCATCTCCCGATCTCGCACACCCCATTGTGGTCAGCGCGGATCATCCTTGATGCACCAAATACCCTGCAACAAGCCCATCTTGCGTTCCTCGAGGCTGGATCAAGGGTCCTCCTCACTGCGACGTAAGTGTCTCCGCTGTGTTTTTGTCGCAAGTTGTGCACCAGTCATCCACAGCTACCAGGCTGCATTTGAATCGTTCGAGCGCGCAGGATACTCTCATGAAATCGCTACTGAGTCTATGCGTAATGCCGTTCACATAGCGGACCAAGCCAGACATCAATTTTGTAAGGAACACCTCGACATCAGTCCGAAGGAAATCCATATCGCACTCTCCCTTGGTCCCTTTGGCGCTGTACTTGCCCCTATGCAAGATTTTGGTGGGATTTACCCTCCTCCGTATGGGCCGCGAGCCTACAGTGACTCAGATGAAAATACGACTTCCTTCGGGGATGACATTGAAGCAAAGAATAACTCCGTGAAGGCATTGACACGCTTTCACGAGGATCGACTTCGGGTATTCACGTCTGATAAAGAGACGTGGGACAAGGTCGACTTTATCGCGTTTGAGACGGTGCCGCTGGTGAGGGAGGTGGAAGCGATCAGGCAAGCAATGGACAATATGAAAGAGATTATCAGTCCCAAGCCCTGGTGGATTACCGCAACGTTTCCCAACGGCAAGTATCCAGACACTCGGCAACCTGGAGGGGATCGCTATACCCCTACCGAAGCGGCCATCGCTATGATACGCCAGGACAACGAACTACCAGTACCAAATGGTATTGGAATCAATTGCACAGCGCTCAAGTATATCCCGGAGTTACTTCAAGAATTTGAACGGGCGATGGACGGGAATAGGAAACTGTTTCTAGTTTTGCACCCGAACGGAGGTGGCGGATTTGATTTGTCTACTCAAGCATTCCGAGAACCCGAGGAGAATGATCGATGGGCAGAGGATCTGGCCAGCCTCGTCAAAGAGGCCAAAAAGAGGGGATGGAACGAGATCATCTTCGGCGGTTGCTGTAAAACTGGGCCAAGTGACATCAAGGCTCTGGGGGAGGCGTTCAGTAAGGAGTAGGTTAGGGCGTGGCAAAGCTAAACCGCGGCCTTTGTTGGTCGATCAGTGGTAATTGACATACTTTGGCTGATCCTGGTAAGTAGAATGATGGAGGGTTCTTGCCAGTGACTCGGAGGTGGATAAAATAGGCATCCCCATGTACTTGCCATATCAGCCAACAAAAGAAAAAGAAACCCAAAAGGGCAACAGAGGGGCAGTGTCGATTGAGCAGTGTTTCAACACCATCTATGACATGTTTCGATCAGCCATATTACCATACTGAAGGCATGATGCGGTTCCATTATTGCCGTCAACCTCGTTCTTACCAATCAAAAAAAGTATCTTGCAACGTTTAGCGGTCCGGAGCTGGAAGGAAGGATGGTTGCAGGTCAATCGTTCGGGAGATAATAAACTTGGCCAACTCTTCCCGTTTGAAAATGTATGTCAGAAGGTCGAAGTTCCGGGATAAGATAGATAGAAAATTGAAATTGATAGAGGTAAACCACGCACGAAGGAGATAAGGGTGTTTGCAGATGAAGGCACAAGAGGTGAGATTATGTTGTCGAGGGGAAAGCCCGTCGCAATTTTCAAAAATGGCCACGTAGCTCAAGTGTTTCGTAGAGGAGGACCACCGCCAAATTTCCCAGACCCCACATGCTGGGCGCATCGTCGTTGTCAAATGGGTATGAATCAATAGGAATCGATACCATCGATATCATCTCCCGTATCAGTACTTACTACTATTGCGATGATCTTTACAAAAACGCGCGCATCTCCGGATTATCGTCCATCTTGCGGCTATTTTCCGGGGGTTGTCACTGCAACTTCGTCACGCAGGCGCGAGCCCACCGACCTTCCAGTGGCAATTGGATTAGGCAACGCGTCGAAAGTCGGACATCGGATCGTGCATATTGAATTAGGGATGAAATGCTCGTAGCAACCTTGGCAGTACAGGCAGTACTAGCCTTTTACCTGGTGCTTGCGGATCATTGGTATGGACATGTACTGTATGTGAATATAAACCACAAAAAGCAGGAGTTAGAGTTACGCGGTCGATTGGCCACAGGCCGCTGGGGGTTTAGTGTTGTTTACATAAGCATGACAATAAGAATTGCGCCTCCTCGTGGACAGGAAACGTTGTTCCTCCGCGTTATTTTCGGTGGCCTGGCGGCTCATTATTGGAGCCAATTTATAACAGGCCGCCATTTCTCCACGGTCTGTTTAGGATTGGTCAAGATCGATTTACTTGATAATACCGCCTTGCCCTCAGAATCTCATCAGTTGGTCTTCGTGTTATAGACAGCCATCTGCCAACGCCACATTCCAGGAACCTCGTATCATATCCGAGTCATCCATCTGTACATATATCAACAACAGCACTTTTTGCATCTGTTCGCCACTTCATCAGGACTCATGACTGAATACGATTATTCACCCGCAGCATGGGAGCATCATCTCGCTCAACAAGCTCGGGTTTCAAACTGGGTATCCCAGACAACTGCTCAAGCTCATTCCTACTCCAATCCATTCGTCATGTCGCCCACATTGCGTGACCGCTCGTTCTATGATGATGAGCTAAATGGAAGATGGCAGCGCTCCGCGCCCAGCCGCTCGAAAACTTACAATATACCTCCTACGAGACAAGAGGATCCATATAGGCACACCTCTTCTCGCTCGCGTTCAGGTTTCCACTCGCAGCCTGTTGAAGTATGGTCATACCCCCACTCCAGTCGTACCACCATACAAACCACATCACATTCTCGTACTAGCCCAGTACGCAAGCCACCATCACGCTCGCAAACTATACAAGCCATCTATCCGCCAGCTGTGGCCCCCACACACCAGTACGAACGCACTCAGCCCTATCCTTATCCGCAGAAGCAATCGCAGCCCGTGAGGCAACATACTTCTCCGGCCTACTATTACCCGGAGCAGTCCCACGGACACGGATCTCACCAGCGGACGATGTACCACTCACCTTCGCGGCCATCGCAGTCGTACCATCACGCCCCTAGCGGTCGTTTGGAGTATCACTATGGGGTGCGCCTTTACCAATCCGCCTGCATCATTGTGTCGACGCTGATGCTCGTCGTTTGTTTTGCGCTCGCATCGTGATTTGTCATGTGCAAAAATAGCCACCAGCTCAGAAGAAGCCTCAGCCTCTGTTTAAGCGCTTGCTAGGGTTCATGTCACCTGGTACAGGTAATGGAAGGGGCGGACCGGCGAAGCACCGTAGCTCGGGGAGGCGCTCGTCCTATTGAAGACCGAGCAAATGTCGGAGCCTTGTCGCATATCATGTTCAAATATCATAGAGTCGCTGGGCTTCTCAGGAGTCCGAGACCAGCATACATTTTATATTTTATTAAATTCGGGCGCTGGCGCCTTGTTAACATTCCTTATATTTCGCAAACGATTCACATTCATTGTACATTCTAAACATCACACTCATTCTGTACATTTACGCATTGTAATGATTTGACGTACTTGATGCCCCACTGTAGACATAGCTAGCACAATCATGTTTGGAAGCTGCGAGGATCGCAAGTCTCGTGTGGCAAGAGTGGATGATTACATCGATCACCGGCACCTCCAGTCAGTTCTTCCCTCTGGCATAGTTACATGTCAAAGATTCTGTAGTAAAACACGACAACTTAAGACTAGTACTACTGTTGGCGTCGCCCAGGAGTCGGTGATCAAACGTCAATAACCGCGGAGCTCGGGGAACGAAAGGCGTGCGATAGACCAATATGATTTTGACTCTTGCTGGCACGCCCGCATGTAGGTAAATCAAATACCGGAGTGATTGCTCGGAATGACTTCAAGCTTCAAGCTTCAAGGCTTACATTGTGGCCAAAGGATGTCGGTTGCAGTTCCATACTGTCAGCACTTTGGCAGAATCGATCCTGCCGATGGCTTGCCGGATCTAGCGATCTCAGACTCAGACACGGTTGTTTCAACTTGACCCTGAACCATCATGCACAAGTACGTTTCTTGATCATGCTGCACACCTCCATTGTAACGATTGGTACAGCAATCTGCCCGACGACACAGCGCGTCCTCCCCGCTCGTCATGGAAGTGGCCCCATTTCCCAGGTACGGTGCATGATCCCGAGAAGGGTATTCCCGAGGAAGTGTACAATGAGCTTGTGAGATACACAAAGTATGCATCTGGCGCGTATCAAGTCCTATGCCCGCGTCCGATGGGAAACACACTGGTTGCCCAGGTGCGCATATAGTAGATGATTCTGTGGTCGGTTGTGTACTGATATTAGCTTCAATGCCATGCAGTTTATAAATCCAATTACGGGTACCCAAGGTTTCATCGCTCGCGATGACACGAGGAAAGAACTTGTGGTTGCATTCAGGGGCAGTCGTGAGATTTCAAGCGCGATCATTGGTGAATTTCGAGGCGCAAGATTCTAAGATGGCAATTTTTGACACGCGACGGCAAGTAGATACGTCTCTCCTGCTTTCCCCACTACGTGGACCAGGCCTTCCAGAGAACACAGATGCCCACGTGCATACAGGCTTTCTTTATGCTTTTAGAAGCGTTGGAGATCGCGTACTTAATGTCTTACGCGAGCAGTTTAAAGAGTTTCCGCAGTATGATGTGACTGTGTCCGGCAAGCCACGCTTTCCTTTCTCGATATACACAAATTAATTATGCTTGCAGGTCATTCGCTTGGAGTGCGTCAATCGTGCTTCTTCGTGATATTACTTATGTCATTGTCCTCGAGCAGGGCGCCATCGCATCAATTGCAGCGGTATCTATCAGGAACAGTTTCCCTGATGCTGCGCTGCGATTATTCACATTTGGTGACAAATTTCGTACTCCTATCGCGCGATGTTTACTGAATATGACCGCCAGGCCAGCCAAGGACAGGGGATCAATCATTCGCTGAGCTCGTGGAAACTCTGATTGGAGTGGATAATGTTTTTCGAGGTACCTTCTTCCTTTGTGTCCCTCAGAGATCACGCATCGCTTACTCGAATCTCGCATGCTACTACAGGCGTGCATTCATTCGGTATGTTCTGTGACGTACGTTTTGTCTAGAACCAATTAATGCTATACTTAGATGGTGTGCCCACAATGATACCTACGAGGCTAGGCTACAAGCATCAGTGAAGTCTAATTTTCTATATAATTATCACGAGCTCACATGGTCATCAGCGCTACGGAATATTGGCAGTTCACCGAACCACGTTCGAAATACTCTGCCTTTTAAAAGATCTCCACTGATATAACGTTTAGCGGCCCCGCGTCACGTACGTAGATGTGTGGGCGCCGAAGACCCGGAAGGCAGTGCATCCATACGTATATTTACTCCGTTGTGTCCGTGCCTTCTCGTGTTTGACGTGTCTTCTACACAGCATCGACTGGTATCAATCCTGCGCATATGGTGTATTTCGAACAGCGTGAGTATCTTTCTCTCTCTAGTTTAACATGCTGATAGACATGGGGAAGCGATTGCCTCGGATCCGACCGTTTGCATCTGACATCTGCGATTTCGGGTTGATCCAGATATTGTTGATAGCCGATGAGCCTCCCTCTTTAGCCCCCCTATTTTCGTATATGTGTATATTTCTTTCCCCCGCCATACTACTGGTACGTCCTTCGTGAAGGCGTCCATGGATTGATTGCGTTTCTGAAAGTCACATGGATGGTTTGGTTGTACTAGTTGAGTTTCCATTATGTATTATTGTACGAATCACTTCGACTCTTTGAAGCCGCTCATGTGAAGATATTTCGCCCGTTTCCGCCTTCATGGGACCACGTCTGACGTCTCTGTCCGGCTAACTCCCCATTTTTCTGATCAGCTCTTTGCACTGCTATTACATCTGTCCCCTCGTGACCTCCAGATTCTTTTGTTTCAGCGAGAAGCGCAACTGCGAGAGTTTCTAAGAGGTTCGTTATAGAATCTCTCTCTGCTCCGTTGGCGCTGACGTTGTCTATTAGCACTGTTATCGTGCCATGATGAGTATACTTCACGTCAGAAGTGTCAGCAAGCTTTCCTGTGGTTCACTCTTCCCGAAAGGAACAGCACACAAACCTTACTTGACAGTTTTCGTCCTGCGCGCTCAAATGTCAAAATAAGATGACATTGAGTAAGTTCATATCAACTGCAGAAGACTATGCAGCCCTAAACCGGATCAGACACACGATTCTACCACGCTTATATGTCCAGGTGCAATAAGGGCAGCTCCCGCGGTGTACTCAGGGGCGCCTTCAGTGCGCATGAAGCTCGTTTGGGACAACTCAGCAAGTTAACTGAGGTTGGGTATCGCCAAGAGGTTTACAGCTGAGGTTGTACGTGCGCTGCGCAGAACCTCCAGGAGATTTTCTCGTACAACTGTGACATATGCAGAGTAATATGCGTGGCAGGCTATCATGATGGTCCTGAGTACTATTAAGTAATCCGGCATGCAGGCACTTAAGGTTAGGGGACAGCTGTCTTTCTCCCACAAGGTCCAACTAGGGGAGACTCACTACTAGGTGGCATTTAGGGACTGGCAGCCAACAATGCATACATGGCAATCGTACAGTTGCAGCACCAAGCCAAGCAAGAGAAATTGCTGGCAGGTAGTAGTTGGTCGTCTCAGAGTCACAGTGCGGGAGCAATGGTTAGCGCACGTGTTTCCATAAAAGTTGCCGTTATTGCATCTTTTCAGGCCGTGCAGCATTTTGCAGCCGGTGTTCGTAGTCTCTCCCCGCTGAGCTCTACGCTGCCATCAATCATTCTTGCTATATCACAACGTATAATCGCGCCTTATTACTGCTATATTCCGGCCAACTCATTAGGATGTCCGACTCGAAAGTATTACACCTCGTCATTCGTCGCATTGCGGACTGGTCTCTCTGGTCGTTCTTCACAGAAGTTCGTGTAATTGGAGGCGAGCACGTTCCGCTGGATGGACCGATCATTGTGTAAGTTTCGTATTTTGCATTACTTGCTTGTCGACTGGGACACTTGAGCCCGTGTTTGCATTGGACCTAAGCGCTTAGAAGTTGGAAGGATCAATTGGATGGACCTGGGAACGTAAATGAATCCACAGTCGTGACTACTGACCCCCACACATGTTGCATCGACATCTCCCGCGCCTGAAGAGAGTCTGAAACCAATACTGACCCACTTTTTGCAGCACCGCCACTCACCATAACATGATGATTGATCCTGCTATCCTTTGTTAGTCTTATAGTTCTTCTTGTAGATTCTGCGCGTGCTTATCGTATCTTTCATAGCGTCCAGCTTCCCACATCGTCGTGTTCTACACTACTGGAGTAAAGGCGAGCTAAGCCTTATCGAGCTAGCTATTCTTGATCCCGTTAACGCGTCACGCCTTGCTTTTAGCATCACTCTTTGCGAACCCAGTCCTTTCTTGGGTACTTCACTCGTCTGGTAATATTCCTGTAGACCGGAAGTCGAAGAACCGCCAAGATCTATTCCGGGGAACTATCGAAGCTCTCGCACGGGGCGATGCGGTTGCGCTTTTCCCGGAGGGCACGTCATACACAGAGCCGAGGATCATGCAAGTAAAAGATGGCGCTGCCTGGGCTGCCCTAGAATACACTAAGTGGGCCGCGGAAAACGGGGTGAAGGGGCCCGGGGTCCGGATCATCCCCGCCGCCATCGTGTATACGAATAAGTCGAAGTATCGAAGCAGTGTATGTTCCCTGATTCTTCGAAAGGCACTTCACTAAATCCAGCACAGGTCATTGTGAAGTGAGATTTAGTCGGCATGGAGATATAGTACTTACGCTGATGTCATTAGGTTTGGTGAACCAGTTTCGATGGATGAGTATAAAGAACAATTCTTCTCGGATTTAGAGGGGGCGCCACGGGCAGCGGCCAAGCGCCTCACAGGTGCAATCGAGAGGGAGCTGGTCGAGGCAACCATCAATGCTCCTGACTGGTATTTCAATATTATTTCATTGCGGTGTGTGCGGACTCTCATTATGTGTTAATTAGGGATACCCTTTACAGTGCTCGGATGGCCAGAGATCTTCTCTGGGAAGATGAGCGCTCGATCGACCTCGAAGAATTTGTCACGATTTCGCAGACGTACGATTTCACGCTTCGTCTATTCAGTTGGTATCGGCAGCTCACGTACTGTTGCAGTCTTGTTGATCTATTTTCCACAACGGACGCTACTGCGAACTTCTCGACCGTTCGACGTCACCTTTTGGGGTATTACTCACTTCTTCAGTCTACCAATCTTACGAACTCCGTCTTGTCCTCACTTCCACTTCCGCCAATGCTATCTCCCTCTCACCCAACTCCCCTTCCGTCACGTTTGCTTACCCTCTCTGTCCTTATTCGCGACACGCTTGTTGCCCTCACTCGCCTTCCCTTCTTCCTCATCCCGCTTTTACTTCACACACCGGTATATGTCATGGGCCGAATCGGCGCTCGTTTAGTGGAGCATGAAGAGGAGACGCAGGCGCAGAACAAAGCTGTTTTTGGCTTGTTATCGTGCATGATGATTTACCCTGCCACGTTCTGGGCGCTCTGGGCGATGCTCTGGTACACAGGTTTTGGTGCTCTTGTGGCAGCATTCACAGTCTGGGCGTTTGCATATTATCACAATAGATTGATCAATGGCACGTATATTTAGAACGCTGGAAATGTGAGTTATACTAACGGAGTAATGGAAACTTATCTACAGATATCTACATGAAGTAAGTTCCAACCATTCTGATTTCATATTCTTATTAGCTTACCTATAAATATCAAGTCTCAAGCGTGTGATTGCAGCATGGCGCGTTCTTGTCGGCGTATGGGCTCCCAGGCGATGGGAGCTTTCTCTGTCTGCACTGTCCCAATATACAACCCCGCTAGTACCTCCTGAGAACCCTTGGATCGACAAGAATCGGCCAAATTCCTCTACTCCAGGCGCATCATCGGGGACGCTACATTCCTTACCAGTACAGATTACCGATGAGCCACCTGTCAGGATTGCGTCCCGTCGCAGGCCTTCGTCAAGAAGAATTATGAGGCATTTACTGCGGGCACGTGGAGAGGCTGTGAAGGCTCTTGCTGAGTTCCTGACGACCTTGGAAGCAAGCGGAGAGGAGAAGAGCGTGATCGCGAGCATCCACTTGGCAAAGAGGTTTGGCTGGGTTGAAGAAAATTCACCCACCTCCTTGGCAGATGATGGGGGAGATAGCGATCCAGTAACTGACGCCAGGGGATACAGGCGAGCACGCGAGGTGATCGCATTTCTTCGCTCTCGTGGTGCGAAGATTGCAACGTTGGATAGGAAGATCGAGGGAGACTGGGCACTCAGTAGTGATGAAGATGGTACAGCAGGTGAAAGTGAGAAAGATGAGGAAGACCTGGTATGGGTGCCGAGTAGCACGAGTCTCAAGCAGGAGGACGACTAGCGTCCAGATGCTAGGATGCTTAGGATATGTGTACCTATGGGCTTCATACTTATTCAAGGGTGACTTTGCCTCGCGTAGATTCGATACAGGTTGCATTCTTGTCAGTCACCCTCATTAATACTGGACAGCGGTTCGATATTCCTAGTGCTTTTTGGGAAGATACAAGCAGACAACAAACGACGCCACCCCCGTTTCCACCCGGAGACATGTTCACGGCCCTGAAAATCTTCCATGTATGGTCAATTTATCTTTTGGGGATTATTCCAGTATTCGGACGGCCATTAACGAGATGTGCATCAGAAGAACGTTGAGCCGCCACTATCTGCCTGTTCCTTGTTCTTTCTAGCCTGTAGGCCGTGGGGATACCGAGCCTGAGCAATGAAATGATGGGGAATCATGGGCCCATCTGTAGTGGGGTAGGAAGGGTCGACCGTGACAGCCTCTGAACATATTAACGGCCAAGATCCGACCAACAATTGGACAATGAAGCATTGTTCCATTTCATGGAACACCTCCAGCATGTCAACTTGCGAGCTTAATAAAAAAACCTGCTATCACCATCTATGAAAGATCCGAATAACCCTGGAGCATTCCACATGACGACTTGCTCACAAATCAGCAATTGTATGCGGAAATGAAGGGCTACATCAAGTGCCCATGGAAATGCAGCCACTATGGTATTGCCCCACGATCATATGATACGGTCGAAAAGGAAAAAGACAAGCATGAGCATCAGATAAGATGTTTGGTGACTTACGACACGCTCCAGACACCTAACTGGTCAAGCGCCGAGACTAGGCAGAAATTGACTGTGATGATACGTACGTCCGGTGGGTCCATCATAAAGACGGTGCTGTGAAGGGTCTGGACTGGTGGCGCATCTTCTGAATCAAACAAGTAGAGACTAGAAGGATATAAACAGATTATAGATGATAGACCAAACCAAATCCGATACCAGGCAGGGCGAAGACGTGCATTTGTGGCAGTATAACAGCGCCCATGGCCAGAAGTGGGAAGATCTATGCTTGAGTGGGACAAAATGTCCTGGCGGTGTGGTGCAGGCGATATGATTGAAGCCATGTTGGAAGCATGTGACAGCGCTGGTTGGTCGAGTTCCACCAGGCATCGATCGAGGATGCTGCTCCAATAATGGCAAAGGTCATGCGCTAGGCATCCGTGTATGGCATGCAACAATTTCATACGAACATCGCTCGTTAATTACCTTGTAATACGCCGAGCCCCCGGGTTTTAGTAGGGACTTGCTGCCTGGTTGTATCCTAGTCACAATCAGAATGAGGCCGAAAATTGATTAGAGGAAGATAGCTTGTCTGACAGCGGTGGTAGACACTCAGCATGATACATATCCTTATATACGCCTCACCGTTTCATAAGACAAAAAAAACTGCAGGAACGTGTTTTCGAACGCACTTTGCATCATGCACTATCGTGATATTAATGCATAATGATTCAGGTTAGCAACATGGAGTGAACCGTGGAGGCACATGTTGTATAATTCGCTGGACATTGCCAGCTTCGAATGATAAAACCAAATAGCCAAAAATGGAAATTATGGTATTCATACGTGTTTGCTCAGACGTGACGTCTGTCTGCCGTGGCAGCTACTCGTTTGTTCCTTCACTTGAAACAGTTGTCATATTCCAGCTTCTTCATTCTCTTGCGCGCGCACCACAGGATGCATAGCATTTACGCTCGAGCGAATGGTATATCCGGTCTTTGGTCCACGTGTGTTATGGTTTTGCTTGGAGCTGTAGCTCTTTCCTCTTTCCTCTTCAACGCGGAGTCCAAGGGTAGTCTGGATATCGTCTCTTTGAAGGTGTAAGTGACTCGATTTCTTGCGTCAGCCCGAGTCTTGCTTTTCGTCGTGTCTCTCACGTCAGTGACTTACCTTGACATTCCGTAGGTTTCACTCCAAAACGAGACGTTATCCTTTCAGAAATGAGGAAATTGGTTTTGTTAAATTTAACCTTTCGGCCGGTACGTATTTTTCATCGCGATGACAGCGGAAGAGCCTCACCGGGGATCCACCACTTTCTGTCGCACAATCGCGGTTTCTTATACGTGATTTGATTTTGCGATCGCTGCGTCTCGCTCCAGACTTGACGCCACTTTTTAACTGGAACACGAAGCAGTTATTCGTGTACCTTGAGGCCGAGTACACAAATGCACAAGGGGTAAGCAATTTACCATTATGATCTCTATAGCTTCATGCATACGAGCGGGGGAGATTTGTCTGACGCACTTCTGAAGGTCAACAACACCGTAGTTATCTGGGATCGCATTGTACGGAGAAAAGATGATGCCACGATCGACATTATACAGAAAGAAAAGTACAAACTTCGCGACCTGTCGGGATCTTTCAGGTGAGTCAGAATCCGATAATGGACTACCCCATGTTATTTTCATGCTGATGAGTCGGATAGCAACGTACTTCCTGCCCAATATTCACTCAAATATAGTGTGATGCCGTATGTTGGCGTGCTCACTTACGGAGAAGCTGCCCGTACGATGAAAGCCATCGACTTTCCTGATGCTCGAGACTCTGTGTCATGAGCGGTCGATTTGCCAATTTGGACTCCACATCAACTTGATTGGAAATAATAGGCAGAGTCGTAACTACATCCCAGTCTTGAACTACGAGATGAGCACAATCAGTGGTGTATGCTGTCTTGTGATCTGAGTGTCTGGGCGAGTCGGAGAGTTCCAGCGAGCGTAACCAGACAAGAAGTTGGAAGTGCGATTTTTCCGGTGAAAAGTTACCGATGGGGGTAACTTCCTCGTTGTTCTATATAGTTTCGGTGACAATAGAACTAAGCGGACCGCAGGTAAAGGCGTGTCATGGTCTCGCAGTACTCAGCGCAAGTCTGACAAAGCTGCTGGATGGGAAAACAATGGAAGGTGCCAAGATAGAGTATACGATCGGATCTCTCGCGATCTGCTCCCTCAGTTTACACTCCTCACGTCATCAAGCCAAGGTTTGTGCGATCTTTTTAAAAAATGGATGGTTTAATGAGCTTGATTTGGCTGATGAAAGGACTGCAGCTAGCTGTTGTGTTTTCATTGATATGAAATCCTTTAAAAATGGAGAAACGCGATTGTGGGTCATTTTGCTTACGAGAATTCAGACCTGTTGCTGTAATCGTTGACATCTCTCGTCGTCTGACTTCGAGCCTGCCAGAGGCGTGGGTTCCTAAACTCAGCCTAGCTTAGTATAAACTGGCTGCAAATGAACCCGAAGTTCTTATGTTACCAAATACGCAATGTACCTTTTTCAGTGAGTCTTAATATATATAAAAGACACTCACCGCCTTCAAACTGGAGATTTATCCCCTGCCGTCAACTGACCTTCCGTTTACACAAAACATTCCCCCACAACCATTTTGCTTCCTTCACTCCGTCTACATGTCTTCCGTCTCCACTCACACGCCTCCTGAACACACTCGATATTGGCATTATCCCCAACCAAGCGCATCCAGCTCCCAAAACCCTATACCCTGTGACGCGCAAAACCAATCATCTCATGTGACATCTAGGCCATCGAACCAATCTAACGGTTATGCGGAAGGTTTTGATATAAGTGTATGTATTTTTGTCGTCTCCGATCATAGTTCTCTCAACTCGATGCCAGGTCAAAGTAAAACGAGCATTTACGTTTGAAGAACTCCAATCAGGTGCATACTTCAATTCTTTGGACGAATCAGATCTCCAGTTCTTTGGAATGTATGGTCAACCTGTTCTTATCCCATGCCCCGAAGATTCGGATCAAGGCGGTTGGAGCTTGCAAGGCCAAACACACATGCAACAATGCGGCGATTCCTCACCGTGCATCACTACCGCCCAATATACTCCTCATAGCAATCCATCCTCATTTCAGATTTCGAAATCATATACGCTAGTCGATTCTCTGGGACAGTTATCCACTTCAACCTCTGCACGAGCACCCATTGGTACACGTGTTTCTGCTATGGCTCTTGCAGGGCATAGTGGCGTGAACCCCATCAAACATGAATCGGGTTTGATCCAACAGGTGAATCGTTTCTGTCAAGTAACGCGCGCTCTATTTTTGACGGCATGATTGTCATTTATAAGGCCTTTGGGGACTTTGCAAATCCGTCAGACCTCCCATCATCAAGTCCCCTCCTGCGTCATTCGCGACAACTAGCTTGTGCGTACGAGGAGGCCATCCCGATAGGGACACTGAGTCCTATGGCTCATGAGACTGAAGATATAAAGCCAAACCTCTCAACACTGAATGACGAGCCGCCTATGGATCACCTACCATATCCGCCGCCCGTTCATTCGGTCCCTCCTCGTCAGTTTCAACCTTATTCGCCCCAGGATACAATGTCAGAATCTCCCTCTCCGTGCTCCCCTCGTAGCACAACTTTCCTGCCCGCTTCGCATTGTGATGCATCAGAAGCCCCAATGACCGTCCCTAGCCAGTCTTATATGTTTGTCGAGGTCGAATCATCAACTCCAGCATTCATACATACAAACCAACAGCACTACCACTCCCCAAACGAAACTTCTTCTCACCCCCATGGCGGAAAGACGGGATCCCCTTATCAACGTTCACCGTCCCCGAGGGGAGCATTACGGATATCGCCGTCACCACACCCCAAACGATCGATGGATAAGAAACCAGCGCTTGCATGCTTATTCTGCCGAGGCCGGAAAATTGCGTGTGGCCCACCCGTACCGGGTAGCAAAGACAGGACATGCAAGTGAGTATCACGGTCCTCTGCCCATTCAGGAATGTACTATTATGTGTCCCTTGCTTCTTCACGCCTTATCGGCGTGGTAATGATTTGCCGGTTTCGTGCGATTGATTTCTTAATTAACACCACTTTCCTGTTCGCTGATATCCGCGCCACCATCAATTTATTTCGACATTTGGCTGACTTTTGTGTCTTTGTTTCTCAGTCAGTGCGCTCGTAGACATTTGAAATGCGAATATCCACTAGAGTCGCGTCGGGGAATGAGGAAGCGCCGGTCGCTGATTCCCCGAGGAAGCGGCTCTCCGCCACCCGAAAGCAATGCAGGGAATCCAAAAGTGATAAGGCCGGGTCGAAAACGATCTGTGGACAAACGGCCATAGTCCTCGGCCTCTGATCTCCTTCTTGAGTCATTTACTTGGATATTTTATGCCGTCTGTTCGCATTACTCATCGCCGTAATGGTGTGTGTGTGAATTCGTTATTGTATGCTCGTCAGCATCTGCATATTCGCATATTGTCGTCGCTATGCTTTTATCGCTTTCGTTCCGATTTATCCCATTATACCTCATGTATTCGGTCAAGGCTCTTATTTGGTTTACTGTCTCGCACATAGCCATCATGTAGCTACATGGAAGGACCTGTGCTCCTTTGTGGTGGTGTGATATTCGTCTGGTACGTCGTCGACGGCTGACTCGAACATGAGCGATTGACCTGACATCCAGTGTGAACCACGTAGACTCTTTCCGCATAAATTTCAGCTACCAAGGTAGCCGACAACTGGGCTCACGAAAGATCATATCTGGGGATGTGACGAATTCAAAAATCTTGGCCCCTGCGGAACCCAAGCTGCATGAGGCAGTATTTAGGCTGAAACGCTCTATCCCCGAAACATCAAAATAAGAGCAAGTATGTATGTTAACTCGCACACGAGCTCCGGCTCGGAAACCCACAGGATATTCACTATACCGGACACCGGTAGTCTCAAATATGATTTTTTTGGTTACTATGTACCACCATATGGGCGATGCATAGCATCAGAACGTCCATTTAGAAACTCTGCGAGTGAAGGTCGCACCACCATTTTTCTGAAGACAACCATATGATTCACCCGGATCTACGGGCCTGGGCCCCACTAGTCGACGTACGCGTGAATTGCTGTCCAAATGCACGACAGGAGTGGTACTTCCACCAGAAAATTACAACATCATGATAAACTGAATGTAGCAGCTTTGGCCCGAGCCTACTGCTAAGGCGCATCAGTACAGAACAAAACCCACTTCCCCTATTTAATATGCGTGACTTGGACTGCACAAAAATACAACGTGGCTGTGCTAAAATACGTGCTCGAGTTCGTAATACGAACGCCGATACTCGGAGACTAACGTCGATTTGTCGAAATGGTACTCTAACGATGGCGACTGTACCGAATATCTCGACCGCGACTAGGCTGCAACGAGTCGTGGAAGATCGCTTGCCAAGAGCTCGTACTACTTGAAGCGAAATTACATGACTACTAAGGTTCAAACCGGCCCGTTGCCAAAACTTTGAAGTGTGGTTTAGAGTTTCGTGAGTACTTCGACCTGAGGTGTTCACATTCACAGTTGTTCGAGTGTTGATTCTACCCTGTACAAGTTACTTCCTGTCGTCGCTGCATGTCATCGCGAGCAATTTTTTTTTTTCCAATCGGAGAAAAAAGATGGCTTCTCTCGGGTGCAACTCTGCACCGTGACTTACTCGGATCCTAGCCATTGCTAAGTCATGTATACATAAAGTAATGGCTTCATCGTCGCTGCATACGGCAGCCCCGCCTTCTCAGTGTTGTACACCATAATGTTCAAGTTGCTGAGGCTCGCGGCCCCCCTTGCCCTCCTATCTTCTGCTTGTGCATCCAAGGTAGCTGGCGCGTGGTATGCTGGCTGGCATGCTACTAACGGATACCCGGTGTCCAATATCAGCTGGGACAAGTACAACACGGTGTACTATTCTTTTGCGTAGGTGGAAGCTCCCATTCCGTGTCAGACCTATGACGATGTTGATCGACAATCTCTAGAACAACCACTCCAGATGTGAATACTATATCACTAGAAGGGTCGAATGGCGCGTTGCTTCCTGTCTTTGTGTCAGAAGCACATGCACACGTAAGATTGACAACTCGTGTGCATGTTTGATCGCTGAGCCAATGATTGGGACTTGTCAGGGTGTTAAAGCCCATATTGCCATTGGAGGTTGGGGTGGCAGCATTTACTTTTCTTCTAACGTCGCAACAGCGGAAAATCGCACTGCATTCGTCGACACGGTGCTAGATTTTCTCGAAAAATACGATCTAGATGGTGTCAACTTCGAGTATGTATGTCAGCTGCATCACATTGATATCATATCCCTGACCCACCTTCTAATTTAGCTGGGAGTATCCAGATAAGCAAGGCATTGGCTGTAATATCGTCAATTCTGATGACAGCGCAAACTTTCTTTCCTTTCTCCAAGAACTTCGCGAAGAAAGCTGCTCGAATCTCACCATCTCGGCAGCAGTATCTTTGACGCCATTTCGTGATTCCAGCGGCAATCCGTCGACTGATGTCTCTGCCTTTGCAGAGGTTCTTGACTACGTTGCTATTATGGACTATGATGTCTGGGGTTCGTGGTCCTCTGCTGTTGGCCCTAACGCCCCACTCGAAGATTCCTGTGCGACCTCGTCTGAGCAACAAGGCTCAGCTGATTCCGCAGTGAAGGCTTGGTCAAATGCAGGCATGCCCGTTGACAAGATTGTCCTGGGTGTTGCATCATACGGACACTCTTATAGCGTCAGCCCCTCTGATGCATTCGTGTCGGGCACGAAGACGCTAGCAGCTTACCCCGCTTTTAATTCAGCTAATCAGCCCGTAGGGGATGCATGGGATAACACCGGGAGCGTGGATTCCTGTGGCAATTACGAAGGATCCGGAGGTACCTTTGACTTCTGGGGACTGGTCGACGGTGGCTTCCTCAACTCGGAAGGTACGACTGCCCCTGGTATCTACTCTCGGGTTGACTCGTGCAGCCAAACGGTGCGTACACACCTGAAAAAGGAACTGCTTTTGTTTCTGATGGACTTGTTGTCAGCCCTACGTTTATAATGAAACGTCCGAGGTCATGATTTCCTATGACAACGCGGATTCATTCACGGCCAAAGGCACGTTCATCAAAAACACTGGGCTGCTCGGATATGCTATGTGGCAGGCCGGTGGAGACTATAACAATATCCTCGTCAATGCTATCAATAGCGCTGTGTAGATTAATCCGTCTTGTTCCACAAGTATACCCATATACCCACGTCCTTCTTGTTGTTTTTCTGCCATGTCATAGTTACCCTGTGATGTCAGTTCCAAAATACCCCGAGCGATGTTCCGAGACGGGAAAGAATCCGCCACTAGGGTTGGTGGTTTATCCAACATAACGAACTACTATGTAGGTTAAACCTCAAAAAGAAATAATTTTGGGTACTTACATGATTCGGACAAAGTTGAGTTTGGCTAGCTGACTAGTATGGCTAGTGGTCGGTGTATGTTTACAAAAATCCCGAACTCTAGCAGGCCAACAAAATTTTTGATCAACTAGCATCACAATACAGTTCAAAAGATTTAGTGTACCGACTTAGCTATACTTACTTATTGCAGTATGGTGGAAGGTATATAGGAAAGTTACGGCCATAGCATAATACGGCTTTCGTCCTTCAAATGGTTCCCCGCCCCGGCGATACTCTGAAGATTTGCTAATGTGTCACAATCTAATCCATTTCATCTCATTTCATTCTTTTACCTGGCATTCGTAAGCTTGAGGCGCACAGAAAACTATACATGCAAATAGATACAACAACTCAATCAGTCCAAGCTGCCTAATAGCAAGCAGTCTATCTTTGACCATACACATCAAAACCATGTCTTAGATCCAGACCTCACCAGTCTGATTCCCTGGACTGGAGGTGATGAACCCTCTTCCTCTTCCTCAGACATATCCTGCACAGGCGAGTCCCGCTCCCACAAGCTTCTGCTCTCTTCTTCGTCATCTACACCTTTTGGATATCGCCGCAGCTGTCCCGTTGAAGAGCTATGTCGTGCGCGTTCCGTGGGGCGCGCATCCTCCTGGCTTCGGTAGCTTTGCGGAGAGTTATTTAACAGCATATCAGACGACGGGGGGAATGCGGTCATCGCGGGAGTTGTCGGGCTTTCGAATGGATCACTTTTGATTGGATTGTGGTACATTGTCGACACGGTGGGTGCTGGTGGTTCATCATTTGCACGCGGTGGTACAACTAGTGACTGCGAACTACCAAGCGTTAACGAAGTGTCGGTGCTTGGTATTGGAGGATACCGGAATGATGAATTTGACGGTACGGTGTGCACGGCGTTCCTGTGCTCATGCGTGGCATCTGCATCTCCACTACCTGGCGGGCGGTACGAATGTACGAGATCTTGCGATCCGAATTTGATGGCTGTTCTCCGCGGGCTGTATGGTGTTGATCCAGATGAAAGCGACGACGCACGATCTGTCTCGGACAGCCGCGGCACAGGGGCATCATATAGCTGATGACGTGTCAATCCATCATATGCGTTATTCGCAGGTGTGGAAGGTAGACCATCTGGACGCGCTCGAAGAGGGGAGCTTGTGTGCCTGCTTGATTGGCTCATCGTCCGTGCTGAACGGGCGCGGATGATGCTGCTCATGGTGCCGAACGTGCCACGCAACGCTTCGATGCCGGCGTTTTCCATACCGGCAATACCCTTCTCCTCGGCGTCTTCCGTGGATGCGCGAGAGGCTTGAAGGAGCATGGTGGACCGGCGATCAAGCTTCAACTGCGCAGGGTCAATCTTGGACATTTGGAGGATCGTGATGCCGACGCATATTGTGAGGAAGGCCAGGACAAGGGTGAGGATTTGCGAGACAGAGGAACTGAGCCCTTGGAAGAGGACCTGTAACGATGGGTGAGTAATCAGGCGGTACTGATAATTGTAGCTGCGCGCACGATGGTTGTGACCATTGAGCAAAACGAAACTGTTTGAAGTAGTTAGTGTCAATCAGTGACGCGATTGGGCGCGGGTCACGTACATAAAACGTAGTACGTGGGCGTTACTGTGATAGTTTAAATCAAATCAGTCGAGCAGTCGGTGTTAACGGAAAAACAAACTTTACCCATAGCTGCCAAGTGTAACACTTGAGTCTAAGCACACATATAATAATTATTTCACTCACCAGTATTGAATAGCGCAAGTGCAATATTCAGGTAATAAATTTCCGTCACTGCCTTGCGTTAGTACAGCGAAATGAAGATATATTGATGACACACATAGGGTAATCACCACGAAAACCATTAAAAAGTATATAAACCAGTGCGTGAACTGTGGTACCATGAAATAATGCGACGTTATGATAATTACAACAACTTGCCTGATTGACTCCCATAACGGACATGACTATGGCTGCACCGAGCCCGGTCGTGACACTCACACTGATGCCGCCGATAGTGCTGCACACAGATATATACCAAAGCATGTTGTTCTTGCCATATCTAAAAAGGAAAGGATAAATGAAGGGAAAAGAGAGCATGTTAAACATGACTGACTTGGGTCCAAAGTAAAAGATAATAGAGAGGGCAATGGTAATCAGGGCAGATATGTAAGCGAGGAAACCTGGTGCCAAGAAGAGTTTCTGAAATGCCAATATTTCACCAGGTGTTTGCTCTTGTGGGCCTTGATGCACCAGAAATAAATAAACTTTGGTATATATGGTACTCGTTCGGTGTAATGCTCACCGTTGAGAGCAATGATAGTGGAACCAATCTGGCAGACGTTAGTACACGAGAAGACAAGGAATCGGTGACACTTACAATACAGAGGGCACAACCCAGCCATCCGAAAAAGGTGAGTTTCTCGTTGAGAAAGATTGAAGATAGGATGGCACATATTACAACAGATAGTGCGCCCATAGGAGTCTAACAATTCATGGTGAAGATATGATAGAGAATGAGGTGTTTCACACGCACCACAACAAGTGCTTCAACAAATGCATATGCTTTGCAGGATCAGCATAAAATAGAGTTAGAGTTCAAGTTACATACCAACAAAATTACACAACTCTCCGCATATCATCACTTGGGGATTCGCTTGTTATGCACAGCACAAGTAGAAGGACACGAAAACTCACTTGTCATGCCTGTCCACCATAGTGGCTTTGATAGCAAATATCAATATGAGGCTGAGGGGTGGCGGGAATGACTCTTACAGATTTGAGGTACGCGACACCTTCACCTGCTGCATGCCCGGCCTGCGAGCGCAATAGACCCTTCTTCTTGAAGACAAAACTAGAGCCAATCAACAAGCCACTCGCTACTGCGAGTATTATTCCGACGATCTGGGTGAATGAACTAAGGCTGAGCAGTAAAATCTAGAATAAACCACCTACTTTAAGGCTTGAGGGTAATTGAAGGGTAGTGCTTGAGCCAGAAGCAGTGGTGGAGGACGTCGCAGACGACGTCGAGGATGAAGCTATCATTGTGGAGGACATGGTCGTGATGAAACCCGCAGCAGTGGTTGAGCCAACAGGTCGTAGTTATTCTTGAGTTGCATCACTTCTCAAAGCCAAGCCCCGTCGGCCTGGACCGAAACCGGGGTAACATACCATTTATGGATAATTAACCTCCGTACCGGAGAAATCCGGCAGTTACTCCGACGGGTGTTGTAAAGAACCCAAAAAGGAAGGAATATGGGGAACGGAATAATATTAATATCGTTCTCGGGCAGACGCCTGTGCAAGGCTGTTGGGTAGTTTGAAAGTCCTGGGATCCAGCCCGTCCTGAGCTGGGAGTCCTGTAATTAGTCTCGTTACGCTTTTCGGTGAGAAATTCGTTTCTAGTTTCTTTCTGATCTTCATCTCTGTTCTCTTTTATCTTTCTAGTGACGCACTCTGAGTCTCAGGTCGACGCTAGGTTTACCAGCACACATCCTCCAGCTGGGAATCACCAAATAGACTATCTGGCCAGAAGCCACTAACAATTCGCTCATGGATGTCATTAACCGTCCTTCGAATGACTATGGGTCTGACACAGAGTTGATTCTTTCCGAACCATCATCTTCTCTGGAGCAGGATGCCACAATTCAATTCTCGCATCAACGTTTTGTACCCCCAGACTTTCTGAAACCAGAATCTGGGGACCATCCAGAGATCGCCCCCTTTCTTACTGAAGAGCCTGTGAGTCTTTTTGCCCCCTCGTGATCCACCGCGTGCGTCAGGCGCACCGTATCTTCCAAGGCTTGTCTTTGATGTCTTGGTAAACAAAATTAAATATTCCTTTCTTTCTAGCTTACTTCACCCAGCCTTATCAAACGTTCTCTGGGTTTGAGCAAAGCATCGTTCTCGTCCCTTACCTCTTCTCGGCAAGGAAGTTCCAGTAACATCCTTTACACAAACCGTGGAGGAGCCGATTCACAAATTCTCTCAGACTTCTGTGGTCAGCCGCTTTCCGACTTCTCCTTACGTGAGCAGGGAAGTTCTAGAGGAAAAATGAAGAAGTTAACCGACATCCTCAAGAAGCGCAGCCGGGGAAGGCTCTCCTCAGACACAGGCTCGTCATCCCAGATGGCCTTAATTTCTTCCTATGCCTCCGCTTCAACAGAAACTTTCATGAACCCCTTCGTTCCATCTCCCTTGCCAGTACTCAAGAAAGACAAGAAAGAGAAAGGGCGACAGCAAAAGTCACGACCACTTCCCAATGCACCAAGTCCTCCATTGTCCCCCGCAAAGGGTGATGAATTGATGAAGATTGACCTTGAGTCCCTTGCACACATGGAGGGTATCGTCAATACTTCCCTTTCTGGGCAGAATATCGCACCACCCAATGTTTCTCCATCAAGTATAATTGATCCAAGCATTGCCAGTACTTCTGGAAGTAGCTTCCAGCAACCCCCATCACCCACACTCTCTACTTCCTTCGTGTTCAGCAATCCACATCCGTTTTCTTCCACTTCTCCTGCCAGCAAACGAAAAGCTTGCATCGACTTTCGAAAGCTGTCTCCGAAGAGTTTGCCTCCTTTAGTTGGACCAGAGGAGCTGGACGTGTTTGGAGTTGTCTATGAAACACCTTTGTGGACCGCTCCAGAAAGCTGGGCTGTCGAGAAGGACGGTGAGGAGGAGGCAGATGTAGGGGGCGACTCAAGCTCTGAAGAGAGCACGAGGGATGCCACATCGTCTTTCAATAGCTCCGGACTTAGTTCGAAACGCAAATCCCGTCGGAAAAGCAACCACCCACGTAAATTGCCCTCTCGCAGCAACGACCGCGTCCGCGTTAGAATATATCGCGCGGACGGATCATATCACGTTGCCCCAATCTCGATACACTCCACCGTTGCGGAGCTCACCCCGTCACTTAACCAGAAGCTATTTGCGCACAAGGAGCGTGAGACACATAAACTGTACCTCAAGGAGAGGGGACGAGGTACGTCTTATCACTGTACGCTTGCTTCTGTTTCTCACTGTTGTCAGAGCGTGTATTGGCGCCTACAGAGAGGCCAGCTGCCATCGTCATTCGCCGATTGGAGCAGGCTGGATACGACCAAGCGGACAGTCTTACTTTTCTCGGTGCAGAAGACATGACTTTCCTCATGAAATTTGTTTATAAAAGTCAACTCCTTGGCCCAGCAGTAAGTTGTCCAGGGAAAATATTATGATCTGACTTGACCCCATACTTTCAGGCTGAGGAGCTTACATTCGATGCATTCGACCTGGTCGACCTGACAGGCTGTAGTCTACCCACCATACCCATCGTCCTCCATCAAAACGCTAGCTCGATCGTGTACCTCAATCTCTCACGTAATCCAATGGTCGAGATACCCCTGGATTTTATACAGTCCTGTACGACCCTCCGCGATCTCAAATTGTGCAGCATGGCGATGAAGAAAGTGCCTCAGAGTGTTCGGCATTCCACCAGCCTACATCGACTCGACCTATCATGTAATCGCATCGTGGACTTGGACGATGCTGGTCTCGACCGCATACCTGAGCTCTCAAGCTTGAGACTTCAGAATAACAGGATAGAGCAACTGCCCTGGTATTTTCCCCGCCTCAAGTTTCTGAACTTCCTAAACATCTCAAACAACAAGTTCGTGAATGTGCCTAGCGTCATCTGTCAGCTGCCCTGTCTTGTTGAGCTCGATATGTCTTTCAACATGATCACTGAACTTCCTGAGGAGATTGGTCGCCTCACTACTCTCGAGCGCCTGATTTTGATTGGGAATCAGGTGATCAAATTGCCCGAAGAATGCAGGAATCTTGTCAACCTACAGTTACTTGACTGTCGAAGAAATAACATATCCGACATTTCCATCGCCTACACCCTACCCAAACTCCAAATTCTCTATGCTGATCATAATTCTGTTCACGCCCTTCATCTATCCATTGGTCCCAGTCTATCAGTTCTGGACGCCTCCCACAACGATATCACATTCCTCAAATTCGCTACTAGCTCTCCACCACAAATATCGCACACCCTCACACTACTCGATGTCTCCTACGCTAAACTTTCCTCTCTCGATACATTCGATTTCTCTCAGCTCCCTGCCCTTCAAACTCTGAAACTTGACCACAATGAACTCCGCACGCTCCCAGACACCCTCGGCGATCTCTCCCATCTCATACACCTTTCCTGTTGCGACAATAAACTCGTCTCTTTACCCTCTACTATCGGCCTCCTTCAGCGCCTAGAAACCCTCGATGCTCATAACAACAGCTTGACGGAACTACCTGTATCCCTCTGGAATTGCGCATCGTTAATCCATATCAACGTTACCTCCAATCTGCTTGCTAGTTGGCATGATCCTCCTGGAGATAACTTGGTTGCACCGGCGCCATCTGGAATAACTCTCGAGATCCCCTCATCATCATCAGCCGGTCACACTCCAAGAAAGCCCTCAAATGCTACATACACCATGTCAATACACTCCGCACCTGGTCGGGCACTCCCCCCCCTCGCTTACTCTCTCGAGCGACTTTCAATCGGAGAGAACCGTCTGACAGAGGAAGCGATCCCTCCGCTCACCATCCTCAAGGAGCTCCGTGTCCTCAATTTATCCTTCAACGAAATTCAAGAACTACCGTCTGCCTTCCTCCGCAATCTTCAGCAGCTAGAGGAACTGTACCTTAGTGGCAACCAGTTAACGAGTATCCCCACTGAAGACCTCGTGAAAATGACCAGATTGTCGGTGTTGTTTTTGAATGGGAACAAATTCCAGACGCTCCCCGCTGAACTGGGCAAAATTCCCAGTCTGACCATCATTGATGCCGGCAGTAATCTGTTGAGGTACAACATTCACAATTGGGAATTTGATTGGAACTGGTATGTTTTGATCGTTTGAACGTAGATGACTGGTTTGCTCACGGCGCCGGTAGGAATTTCAATTGTAACTTGAAGTACCTTAACCTGTCAGGGAATAAGAAATTGGATCTCAAGCAGAACAACGGTGGAAAACGCGTGGTGGATGAACATGGAAGGGTGCTTTCCGACTTCTCTCGACTATCTCAACTTCGTGTTCTCGGGTTGATGGATGTCATGACCACTTTTCTTCCCAATATTCCTGAAGACTCTGATGAACGACGTGTTCGTACTTCTCAGACGGAAGTCAACGGAATGTCATATGGCATTGCCGACACCATTGGGAGGGATGGGTACCTAACCACGCTCGATCTCGTCCTGCCCGAGTTCGGAGGGAAGAAGGATGAGGCACTGTTCGCAATGTTTGGGCGTACTAAAGCGCTTCCCGGAAACAATACTCTTTCGAAGTACCTGCACGACAATTTCGCTTCTATGTTCACCGAACAGCTTCTCCAGTTGAAAAAAGACCAGAAGGGGGAGCGAAGGGATGGCGTATCAGACGCATTGAGGCGCACGTTCCTGAAGCTAAACAGACAGCTCCACGACAAGCTCTACTCGCAGCCATCTCGTAAGATGTCCCAAGTCAGCGCATCTACCACCGGTCCTTCTGGACCAGATTCTTCTTACCTCCGACAAGGGGCCTCTGGGATTGTTGTTTACGTGGTCGGCCGAACGTTGTATGTTGCTAACGTCGGACATTCCCTTGCTGTCATCTCGAGCCAAGGGAATGCACATCTCATTTCCAAGAACCACGACCCTTATGACCGGGATGAGGCAAGGCGTATCCGGCTTGCAGAGGGTTGGATATCGCCGACGGGACTCATCCATAACGAGGTCAATACGTCTCGAGCTTTTGGATATTACCACGACTTTCCAGTTGTCAATGCGCGACCCGACATCCACGTTCGCCATCTAACCGAGCTCGATGAGTTCGTGATCATCGGCAACCGTGGATTGTGGCAGTATATATCCTACCAGACCGCAGTCGACATTGCTCGATCGGAAGCTGACCCAATGATTGCGGCACAGAAGCTACGCGACTTCGCCATAAGCTATGGCGCGGACGGAAACACCATGATCATGGTGATATGCGTCTCTGACCTCTTCCGCTCTCGACAGCCCATAACAGACTCGCTTGTAGATCCAGATATTTACAGTTCTATCAACAAAAAGAGGGCAGGGAAGAAAGCAGACATCGTTGATCGCACCATTGCTCGCTTAGAAGGAGAGGTTTCACCGCCCACTGGGCATCTCTGCTTGGTATTCACCGACATTCGAAATTCAACACAATTATGGGAAGCAAATGCAGGCATGCCCACAGCAATGCGTATCCACAATAACCTTTTGCGACGACATCTTCGAACTTGTGGTGGTTACGTTGTCAAGACGGAAGGCGATGCATTCATGTGCTCCTTTCCGACTACCCTTGCCGCGATGTGGTGGTGCCTCATCGTTCAACTGAAACTTCTCCACGAACCCTGGCCGCTGGAGATATTAGAGTGCCCCGAAGGTAAAGAGGTGTATGATGAGCATGGACAGCTTCTTGCACGTGGACTCTCAGTCCGCATGGGGGTTCACTGCGGTACTCCGGTGTGCGAACCAGATCCTATCACTGGTCGGATGGACTACTTTGGGCCCATGGTCATTCGGGCCGCTCGCATCAGCGGGATCGCACTGGGCGGGCAAATTATGTGCAGCGCCGACGTCGTTCGTGAGATGAATGCCAAGATCTTCGAGAATGGTCAGGACACAGAGTATTCAGAGTTTCAGCCAACACAAGCTATCGAGGCGATCCGCCAAATGCAGATAGCTCTCGTCCCTGCTGGGGAAGTGAAATTGAAGGGACTGGAGATTCCGGAGATGGTTTCCCTCGTCTACCCAGAAGCCCTCTTAGGCCGTCAGGATTTAGATGCATCTGGGTCGCATTTGAGCACATCCACATCCACAGCCCGAGTCCAGCTGAGCATTGCTCAAGTTAGAGACTTAGCTATGCTATGTCTGCGTATCGAAGCCCTGACTTCGGGCCGTATCTTTCGTCCTCGCCTCGAACAGAAGGAGTATGTGTCTGACCTTCCATTGGAGCCTCTCTCCGACGAAGACGTTTTGGAGCCTTCGGTGATGTATGGTGATCCGAACTTGCTTCTTCCCCCGATGAACGAGAAAACATCTGATCTTGAGATCATGATGCACCTCGATTCGCTTTCATTACGGCTCGAGAACGCTGTTGCATGTTTAGCTCTCAAGAAACTATCCGACAAATCATCCGCCATCGTGACAGCTCTAGAAGGCCACGAGGGTATTGACGAACAGACGCTTCATTTAATAACTTCATTGTTATCTCGATGTTGACCTTTTACTGTGATTTCTATCTCCTTTTCATTCCTCAGCTGCATCATTGTACTGCACTTGCATTCAACCACGTATATATTACCTGCACGCCCTTGTTATGAGTATTAATTTGGTATTAATGGTCTGTACAATTTTTATACCAGTTCATCTCTGCACTACCGAGGGTAAATAACATTCATTCGGACATACGGTTGATCGTGAATAAGCTGGTATTTTGCAAAAGTCCATGATTTTCCGGACTACGCCTTAAATATGAGTGTTATTCCACAACGACCTCACTACGAAGTGGGCGGGATCAGGACTTTGGACAGTCGCAAGTTCCACGCTGGATATAAATTGGACTGACGAATTGCAATGAGCTATGCGACGATATCGGGCAATCAGGCTTACCAGTGCGATCGATACCAGGAATGAGGTAGTAACCATTTGAAGGAAGCCCAGTCATAGGATCGAGGAAGTACCCAACCGTCCCTGAAGGGTGATCAAGCCACGTCCAAGCACCTACGCCACCCTTGGCAGATAATGTGAAAGTATAGTTTTCGCCTGCGATTACAGTGATTTGTGGGTCGACGAGGTTAGAGTAGGCGAGCGACACCGGAGTGAACTAATGGACAAAGTACTGATCAACACTTGTTCATACCGGAAAAAGAAAGGACATACGTAGGACTCGCTGGTCACAAGTTTGTTATCCACAGTAGCGGTTACGTTCATCAGGAGCCAGACGTCCTTGGCATTGTAACCATGGGGCAGGATAGCGTCGAGGCCGGTTCCCTCGTAAATAAGCGAGTTGTTCAGAGTCGGGATGGAGAATGGCATGGCCGTAGAGCTGATCGCATTTCCACTCCAGTCATACCATATCAATTGCGCGGTACCGTTGACCGTCTCCCAGCGGTCAGACGTAGCTAATATGGTAAGCGACTCATTTCCTGGGAACCAGAAGGGATTGATGATGACAGGGGAGTAGACAGTCGCCAAGCTGTACTGAAGAACTTTCCATCTTCCAGAGTATTCAATAGCTGACCAGCTGACACCCTGCCAGATGTCGTTGAGTTGCCAAACCAAGCTTCCGAGGTTGTTCTCGCCCAAACCCGCACCACGTCTGTACCATGCGATCTCGGCAACCATATTCATGGACTGGAAAAGCTGGGTGCTCCAACACCATTGAGCAAAGGTCTGGTTCGAGTCCGAAGTTCCAGGAGTGGGAAACCAGAGTTCGACAGCAGCGGTCATTTGGTACTGGCCTTGAGGCGCATTGGGGTTCGGCCACGAGAGATTGCCAGCAGGAGGATGGTGGTCACGGGACATCACGACAGAGGAATTGAATGCGTAGTCTTCGGGATTCTCGAGGACCTCCTTCCAGCTGTAGAACGAGGGCATGGAGTGGAAACTGTAACAGCATTAGTGTGGCTCCTTTCATCAATGACAGGTGCCCACCCAAATTCACTAACAAACCTACAGCCCTCTCTTCAGTCCGACGGTGTAGAAGGTTTGGTGCTCGGACTTACCGACCAACAGGGTACGTCGTCAGATCAAAGGCTTCCGAGGCATTGTAGTTATATCGTTCTGTGATGAAGGTATTAGAAAGCTACCGGATCAAGACTAACTAAGAACACACCGGTATTCCCATAGATATATCCTGGGGTACCATTTGCAAAACGAAGGACATATGGATCGAGACTTAGAACACCGCGAGTTGTCGAACAGTCGGTGTACGGAACAGAGTTCGTCTCGGAAAGCACAATATCATGCAGGTAGTCTTGGAACATGTAAACGAACTGTGGGGCGAAAATTAGTCAGCCAGTTTTCTTTCGACAATAGATTGCAGACCTCATCCAGGTAATGCGTGCCATTAGCAAGGGAGGCGTTGGCTGCCATCACGATACCCTCAATTTCGTTGCCACCGGCCCATTGTACATTACTTGGGTGCCTGTTAACCCTTCGGACATTCTGACGCACTTCAGGCTCGATGGACTCCAGCAAGAAGTTGTTAATGGGGAATAGTGAATCTGAGAAAATGAGCTCCGACCACACAAGTATACCGAGCTCGTCGCAAAGACTGTAGAAGCTATACAACCCTCCATCAATTGCAGCATCGGATGGCTGATAAATGCCGCCACCCCAAACACGAAGCTAGGGAGTAAATCATCTTCAACTGGTCTTTCCATGACTATAAAATTTGTAATACCATGTTTTGGCCACTCTTAACAGCACTCTCCAGGACCCAACGAACTGCCTCGGGTTTGATGCGGGAGTAGAAGGGATCGAAAGGGATTATGTTCGTGCCTTTGGTGTAGAATGCCTTTCCGTTGATAGCGAAATGCCATTGGTCACCAGGGGTAATACCTCGCAATGTAATCTCCTTTTCGGAGTAAGGAGTTTGCAATAGTTGAATGGTGCGAAAGCCAGTAATGATGGTCTGAGTGATCGGTTCAGCGCTTGGCCAATCGCCTTGACCCGGAGATGGGTCCAAAGTGACAGTTAGGTTGTAGAGCTTGGGGTCACCAAGATCAATTGGATACCATCTTTCAGGAGCATTGTCCGGAATAGACCAGTTGACACACAGGTATATATCCTCACCGGCGTTGGCAGGAATAGGTCCAGGATTCAACGGCTCCGATGTGAGCTTGAGTTCTGGGATGGACAGAGTGATAGTCGGCTTCTCAAACGATTTGATCGAGCGAATGGCAAACGTAACGTTGATAATCCAGTCTGCGGATTGATCAGGGGCAACAGATGTATTTTGGCCGTACTTGTAAATATCGAGAGAAGTTTCATCCAAAAGGATAGAACTGCTCGTCACAGGGCATGACGTAGCATTCGAAGCTGGATCTCGAAGTTCAGACCCAGAGAGCGTCACAAGGTAGGCCGGTTTATAGATGCCACTGGGAACAAAAGCTGGACCCTATTGATATTTAGAAAGTCGCATACATTGAAAAAAGTAATGAGGCACACCCAATCCCAGCCGAAGTCGTCGTTGATCTTGCGGATCCACGCACGAACATTAGGATACTCATACTGAATCAATCAAACATCAGATGTGTCTGAGAGACAAACTGCGCGCATACATTATCCGAAGTGGACACCGGAGTATTGGGAAAGTATTCAGCATCTGGCCGCATTGTTACATTCAGCCCGTAATACCACGCGCTCTCGAGCGCGATCGTCAGATTGTTCTCTCCAGGAGAAGAACTCAAGTAGTCTGAGATGTCATAGGTATAACGCCGGAACTGGTTGTTGACCCAAGCCACGGGGTGGCCGGCAAACGTCTAGGTCATCGGTGTTAATGCACAAATAAATTTATATGTGAACATCACCACAGACAATGTTAGCAATGGTGTCGATTCCATAGAAAATAAGGAGTGTCTTTCCGGACGTGTTACTCTGGTAAGTTTGAGTGAATGGAGTCAAGTCCGCGGTGTAAGTCCAGTTATCGTTGATGACCCATCTTTCTGTGAACTCTGCGACGAATGAACGATCGAATAATTGATTGACACGTTGCACAACACACCGTTGATACCAAACAATGGGTCATCAATGATACCAGCCTCGAAAAGATCAAGGTGAGTCTGTGAGGGTAAGGAGCCGGGCACGACAATAGAGCCATTCTGGTTCTTGAGCGTCCACTGTAGCTCAGAGAGGTCAAAGACATGTGCAACAGCCAGGGTTGACGCAAGGAGCGTCAAAAAAACAGAGCCCATCATGCGCGCGATTGGGGCGCATCGAAATGTTATGGCTTTTACATGGTACTATGATTCTAGCACCACGTTAATAAAAAATCATGCCAACATGTATTACTTGGTGTGACATGCTCCAAATAAGGCAGTCACACAATTGAGCGTTGCAGGCTGTTGCAACCCGCGTGTACTTTGTCTTCAAGTTGTTTCAACGTTCTTCTATCACCGTGGCTGCTTCCATTTCCAACAGCTTCATTCGAATGTGTTTATTTGGTTGAAGCTCCCGAGGCAGATTGGTTTTGCAGTAGTTGCCTCCTGTACATTTTTCCCGAGCGGGTACCTCTTGATTCAGCACAGGCTAAAAGCCAGCCGTCTTCCTACTATCTCCTTCAGAACTATCTGATCTTATCACACGAGTCACAAACAATGTGTTTCTTCTCTGCAACTGTCCTCGCCGTCGTTGCTGTGGCTTTAGCATCAGCAATCTCTGCCACGCCCGTCGATACTGGTGCAGAGGACCTTCGGCCCACGACTCGCAGGAAAGACATAACATGCAGCCCTTGGTAGGCATGCGCGAGTATTCTAGATTTTGCATTATGATCGTGGTGCCAGGTGCTCGCTTACAAGACAGACATGCTATCTGACCACTTCGTACAAGTGGACGCTGCCAGGCTGGCTCAGTCACTCCAACAGTGAGGTATCAGACGGAGTCTCGTGGCAAATTACATCTTGGACCTTGGTCGCTATGGTCCTCCCACCGACAGTAACATACGCCCAACCCTATCCAACCAGAACTTCTCAGAATTCTGCCGGCGAGCCTTGGCAACAATGAGTCGAGTTCCTGACCAAGTTGGAGCCGAGGGAGGCAATGATTGATGCAGCTTAGAGGATGCATTCGCAGGATTCTTTACTAGCATCCCGTGTTCTGATACTTATGTTCCCCAGATGCTGGTAGGCCTTATCGAGGGAGCGTGATCGATGATGATTCTGGAATCTACTAGGTACTGTCAGGGGTGTGGTTGTGAACCTTCAAATTTCAGGTTCGAAGCTCCTTGATCCGCCCAGCAGAGATGGAGTCCAACACCACGCTGTGATGCTTTGGAGACTTATCGATTGCTGATAGCGTGCAATTCCAAGGCGTGATTTGGATGTCTGTAGACACATACTTTCGAGATGAGTGCTAAGGATACAACTTGAATTTTCTCAACTTGACTATTACTTGGATTCGTCCAACAACATTCTCTACAAGCTCAAGGACTGAGGAACAACCTCAACCCAGTAGCTATAAAGCATCATAGTGAGCAAAACGATGTCAATGACATCAATAGAAAAACACACCCATCGGGATCCAAGATGAAGGCAATGTGCCTCATCTTACCATCGGTGAGACGCTTCTTGAAGGGAACCCCGAGGCTTTCAAAGCGTGCACATGCCTCCTCGATATTGTTCACGGTAATAGCGATGTGGCCAAAACCCCTACCAGGTTCGGAATTGCCATTGGCGTAGCCTTGGAAGTTTGGGTCGGACTCGGTGCCGTGGTTGTGAGTGAGCTCAAGGATGCCTGATACATATGTGCATGTGAGCTTATCAGAGATGACGCCTGATAGGAGGTAAGTTTACTTACCCTCGCGGTTGAAACGAGCTTTAGCCTTCTGCTCAGCTGGGAGCGAGGCGATCCCGTCGTAATTATAGGCAAGGAAGTAAAGGGTGAAGTCACCCATGTTTTGCTCTGTTGCATATATTCCGTGGTATACTCATCGACACGAGGATTCGAAGTCCATCTCACCAGAAACAAGGTCCATGCCAAGAGTCTCGACAAGTAGTACTTAGTCAATCCGGCTGCACTACTATAGCAGGATAGCTTACATCCATGTAGAAGGGTAAGGACAACTTCGGGTCCTTGATACGAATCATGGTGTGGTTAAACTACGATATCTCGAGTTAGATTTCATCTTACTAATGAAAAGGTACATTGCCTCACCTTGAAGCTCTCTGTCGCAGCGGTGCGAGGCATAGTGGCTAGAGTCGTGGAGTGGAAAGTGCGTTGAAAAGTGGGAGCCCGTCTGGCTTGGTTGAAGGCGTTCAGAAGAAAGCGGTTCAGACTCATCAGAATTAAATACGAGAAAGGGGATCGTCTGACTAAGTCACAAGGCCGGAAGTTGGCCTATTTTATATGTATTTCGTTCCGCAAGGCGAACGCGGTCCCTGACTCGGAACTGGGATTCCGTCACTAAACTTGTCGATTGTTAATTTAGTCGCATCATGGATTCCACTAGGGCATTTGCTTAGGGGTATATCAGAGCACTAACGTTACTGCGAGGTAAATCTTGGGCTTGATGGCTTCATTTGACATACATAGTAACAAACGAGTAGCCTCTGGATCCGTTTGAAGCTAAGGCACCTGCAGTATTACAGGGAAGAACGGAGTAAAGATCGACGTAATTGATATTGTCCATGATCAGGAGTAATAAAATTTCAATACAGTATAAAGGAGCGATGCAACATGTCCGATTTTGATAAATAAAGAATCCGTCCGACCTGCAGACTTTTTAGCCGGATCGCGGAGATGGGGGCCGGTTGGACACCAGCTCATGGTCACCGCGAACATTAATGAAAGAGTACTGAAAGCACGTCAGTACCGATACACTGATATCGACATTAACAATACATACCTCTACAAGGTCTGGCCGAACGCCTCTGACAAGGTTTACATAGACAAGATTTGGCTCAGAGAAGAATGGCCTCAAGCCAGCAGCTTCCAACTTTTCCCACCACCCGAGGAACTTCGGGAAGTCGTTCCAAGCACTGCCTGGGTACACGTGCACTTCAAGTTGAAGTTGGCCGAATGGGAGCGGTTCACCATGGAAAGAGTCGATGAACGTTGACAATGAATCAAATTCATTGCCCTCGATGTCAACTTTGAGGATATCAATGAAATCGTGTCCATTCCGGTCCATGAGAGTACGAAGAGTAAACATTTTTGGATTGTCGGCTGCGCTGTGTTTGTCTTCAGGCCCGAGTGCGTACGAGAAAAAGTGAGAGCGTGATTTCAAATCCATATCTTGTTCAATCTCGGGACCAAACTGCAGGACGGGTACGTCAATTCAAGGAGACTAACGCTGAAAGAACAAACTCACGGAACGGACGCTGAAATCATAGCCATAAATCTGACAACCAGGCGCCGCTTTCATAAGATCCGCTTCGAAAGACGACTCGCCATTAACCCCTAATCAGTAATCAGTAATCATTATGATCCAATGAACGAAAAATCATCGCACCGAAAGAATAGATATTGCATTCGCGTTTGGGAGCTATGCGTTCTAGTCCACAGACCCATTTACCTCCGTCGCCCATAATCCCAATACGCTCGACGCGGTGAGGGCATCTGAATGACGGCAGAAAGAAGTCCCCTGCGAACACACCCATGTGAGCCCTAGCTCCACCGCCACGTGATTCTATGAGCGGAATTACTCACAGAGCGTGTAAAACTCGCCATGCGAGGGGAACCTGCCAAAGAGCGAATATCAATTGAATGTCGTCAGAGTCCCATGAGATATTTGCGAACTCACGGGTCAACCTTATCCGGTGTTGGTCCCCATTTTTTAATGAGCTGCTGTCGTCGCTGCACGATTTCTTCATAATGCGTCTCTTCCAGCGCAAAGACCTCTGCAAGCGCGGCGTCCCTAGATTTGCTGAAGGCCATCGAGCGGACTGAGCTAAAAGGCGCCGAGTCGCTCGCAAACATCACCAACGAGATGAAAATTAATATGAGAAGGGCGACTGTAAATCGGGGGTGGCGTGCATAGAGTGCCATGGTGTTGAAACCGAGAAACTTGAAGGAGTGTCGTGGAAGGGTACTATATAGATTCAAATTGTACAGCCACAGGCAGGTAATAACCCGGATTTCTGGCGTTGCTGCCAAGACTCAATGTGACCCCATCGCCTATTGGTGTGGAGCTCACACTGTCACTAGGTCGTGTGAGCCTTGCGGCTGGCCAGCCTTCCAGTCACAACTTGGAGTACGTTCATCCGGTAAGCTAGAAACATTGAACTACAGTGACACTAGACTACCTCTTAATGACAAATTTCAATGTGCCAGCATAAATGATTACCCAGAATATGGACTCTGTGTACCAAGTGAAGTTTCCTCATCAAGAGACTGGCGCCAGATTGCAATCACTCCAGGTCATCTTCAGAACATACTTAGATTAGATATACCATATCTTAGGTTGCCGCAGTTCGGTTCTGCAGATCGAACCGAACTACGGCTTGTTGTCCGGTTCGAGATTCGGAATCGACAGAATCCATAATCGATCCTAAGACAAATGGTTAATGTATGTTACGAGCTACAAGCCTCCCGATTAAACATGCAGTTGTATATGAAGTACCAATACGCTGGCACCTGGTAAATTTGTCTCTCTCTCACATGATGGACCAGTGTGCGGCTAATGTTGACAATTCACTCCAAGATGCCTGCAATAGAATATAGTTATTCACCTACACAAAAAATTGCCTGACCCCTGATCACTTCTCCGTCTTCGACGTTATGTTGCGTTGCCTCCTTCAATAGGACAATCACATGCTCACTGTAAATTTGGTAGGTTTAATGCTATTCGCCATCCAATGAGTTGTATCGCACTCTACTTTTAGCCTATTCGAGGGTCTTCCTTACGGTGTGAATGCGCCTTTCTGATACTAGGCTCACAGACACGAAACGCCTTGCTCGCCTTCACGTTCTCCCGAAGAACTTGAGTAACATCCAACCTGTTAAGGACACTTACGAGAAGGAGCGGAGGCGTCAAAAGACGAAGTGGGCTTGCACAGAACAGGCGCTTGATGGATGATGCAACGCGGGAAATGCAGAAGCATAATTCAAAAAATAGTAATTTCGAGGTTGCAACCTGGACACAACTCTGCATAGAACCGGTCCATCACTGAACCTACAGTCTAGGTCCGGGTCCATGACTGCATGCTTAGCTAGGTTCGAGTTCAAGATGTGCCCAAACCGGACCTGAACCGGACTACGGCAACCTTGAGACTATTCGCTTCCAGTGGAAAAGTGGCCAACTAGAGCCAGACAAAAACCAACGCGTTTCCGGGAAGTTGATCTTCATCCGGATATATTGCTAACCTCCTAAGAGAAAATATTTTTCGCTGAACCTGTGCATGGTTGGCGAGGGTAACGGAGGTGATAGTACTCACCTCATCTTGTAAGGGTTTCTCTCGCAAAGTGACAGGAATGATGGGTCCTGACCAGTCGGTTGTGACTCCTGACGTGGACACTAAAATTGTGTCCCTGATTACTCGGTTTACATGCGCTACGACGCTTCAGAATGATTGATGCGTGTCGGTTGCAAAAATCCAACTCCGGACCTTGAAGGTACAGTGTTCGTCAAGGTCCTCGTAGGCTCGAGGAGTACCCTTTTATGTCCGAGTTGACCACCATAAGACTAGACTTGACGTTGAAAACGATGAAACATAGTTCGTGGAAAAGCAGCGACAGGATTCAACAAGTGACCAATAACACGGCGTGGGAATAATGCGGTAATTACCGAGCGGACTGTCCAAACATACTACCTCCAAACACTGTCGAGGGAGCATAGCGAGCTCAAAGGAATCGAGACCCCTCAGCCAAACGTCGTAGCAAGTCGGCGTCCAGCACAAAACTACGCTTACGGTATGTTTGAACATCTCATCGTTCCAATTTGCACAGTTTTCATTGGCGGATCGGGTGGATTGACTATGTAGAAGGTGGATGGATGTATTGGTGGAATATATGGGCTATATAGGAAATCATCTCAAACGACGAACATTGCACTGATCTCTACTACCACTTCCAGGCCCATCATGTCGTCAAAACTTCCCTCCGTCCTCAGCGCAACTGACGAGGAAATTCAACTCCTCCTAGCAGCGCAATGTCACATCGGCACAAAAAACTGCGATAAGCAGATGGAGCCTTATGTTTGGAAGCGCCGCGTTGACGGTTAGTCCGCCCTCAAAGTCATGTTCACGCCTCTCATGCACAAATTCCATTTACGCTGTCTTGAATTCTTGTGCGCACAGGCATTCACATTCTCAACATTGGCAAGACTTGGGAGAAGCTTGTCTTTGCCGCACGAGTGATCGCCGCTGTCGAGAACCCCAACGACGTCTGTGTCATCTCTGCTCGCCCCTACGGACACCGTGCAGTCCTCAAATTTGCTGCCAACACTGGTGCACAAGCCATTGCCGGCCGTTTCACCCCCGGTTCCTTCACGAACTACATCACCCGCTCTTTCAAAGAGCCCCGTCTCATTATCGTCACCGATCCTCGCGTTGACCACCAGGCGATTCGCGAGGCATCGTATGTTAACATCCCCGTCATTGCTCTTTGCGACACGGATGCACCTCTCAAGTTCGTTGACGTTGCCATCCCCACGAACAACAAGACTCGCCATTCGATTGGTTTGATTTGGTGGTTGCTCGCACGGGAGGTGTTGAGGCTCCGTGGGACGATCCCTCGCACTCCTGATGGGTGGAATGTGATGGTTGACATGTTCTTCTACCGCGACCCTGAAGAAGTGGAGAGGCAACAACAGGAGGAAGCACAGGCTAAGCTTGCCGCTGCCGAGCCAGAGGCCCAGGGTGGTCTGTCGGAGTGGGATGCCCCATCCGCTCCTCAGCCAGGCTCGATCAACCCTGCTCTTGTCGCCCAAGACGGTGGTGAGTACAGGTGCCGTGCCGGGATGATACCTACATTTACTAATGTGTTCCAGGTGCTCTCGACTGGGCAGCAGATGCTGCACCTACCACCGATTGGTCAGCGGAGCCTGCTTCAGGTGGATGGGGAGCAGAACCCACCACTACTAGCGGGTGGGATTAGGTGTCGTACGCGATATAATTCTCGATGTGCATGTTTTGCTTCCTCTCCATTTACATTGTCTGCGACTTTTGACATGCAAAATATGACATCATGGTCTCTCTCCCTTATGTGCTCGGGTGGTGTATATGTTCACCATATTCTCAGCGTGAATTTCACCTCGATGCTCAGTTTTATGGCGTCGATGAGCTTCCAGGCGTTCACACTCGCATGTGCGCTGTGGTATGCGCTTCGCAAAAGCAAAGCATTACATTCAAGTCTGAACAAGTTGTACCTGCGATGTGACATCAACCATCTTTTGATGTTGTTTTCGTTCGAACTTCAGAGAATCACCATTAGCAGTTACATCCCCATGACAAACTGCAGGAGAAGAGCGAGACTTCCTATAGGACGAGCTTTGTTGAATTTTCCAATGTTCTTATATCTCAGAAATTGATTGAAGTTGACCAGATGCATTCATGTGTACAGAAAATTGGCATGGTACAAATAGAAATCCATCAGACAGACGCTCGACTCGCTGGCTCCATTTCGCTAAACTGCAAGCAGTCGCACGAAGGACAGAACCAAACTTCCTCGAAACCCCACGTAAACGCGAGGCTATGTTCTCTGTCGAACGAGAGAGCGCGGTTGTCATCGAGTGGACTTGAAGAATGTGGCATGTGTAAACATGCGAGACTCGAGTTAGTTTCTATAAAATAGATCCTAGCTGAGTATGTTCTAAGGAATTCATCATTTGCGTGCAAGGTTTATATATCTTTTTGGCCTGGCCCGTGCGCGACTCTCTCACGGCTGCTGGTTGACTTGACGTGATACTTCGCATTGCTCATGTGTACAACTCCTTCACTTGATTATTCGAATATTCATTGATCAGGCGATATTAGTCGTGATTTTTCTTACAATACTCTGACGTGAGGGTAGCTGGCTGCCTGATTCTAGTCAACTTAGTATGGGGCATACAACTTGAAGTCGTTTTCGTGGTGCGATTGTATCATTTACTTCATCTACACGCTACAAACACGATGATTTATATAGTGGTGAAAATAGCCTCAATGACAGCTTGAGACTGTTCTTTCCCCCAACTGCACGCAGCGAGGACACCATCCGAACGTGCCTGTGACGCTGAATAACAACAAGCGCGGATGCTGAATGGGCTCGGAGGGCTGGGATCGAAATGTTCTATTTGCGGCACACTTATGCGCACCTCTATCCTGTTTCGCGACCAGTCCCGGATCCTGCAACGCGCTATCTCTTAGGACGGACTGGTCCCTCTGCTCCTCTTCGATTACTAGTGAGGCTTTTGCTCCGAACAGCCTCCGATTCAATGAGTATTACCTACTGTCTATTTGTCCGTATGACCAGCTTCAGTCCGATCTTCCCGACTGTTCTACGACGTTACCGTTACTTTCGGCAGTCATCCTCGTGGCACTATTCAGTAAAATGCCGACGTCACTATGATGCGCACGACCGTCGTGTCGGGGACTTATCTCCGCTGTACACGGTAAACAGTGAATTTTTTTGCCACGTCCTGCACAGTGCACACTGCAGCCTGCCATGTGAATTTAAATTAGTCTCCATAAGCAGAAGTCGTACGTTCCTTCATTCTTGTGTTTTGAATTCAGCATTTCTTCAGTGCCCCCTCCTTCAAAAGTACACGGTCGCACATCCCGTTGCCTTTGATGTACTGAACGCAAGCATCATCAGCTGCTCCTGGCACTAGGGGATCCTTGATGTTTTGTTTTGTTTTACCAACGATCTTGTCAAACATGTACAAATATCCGTCGCTTTCATTCCGAGTCGGTGGGTGAACCGAGTGCATACTAACAGATGCTGACGCTGTTCCTCAGGCAAATGCTATGAGATGGAATTTGGACCGATCCGCTGGTAATTCTGCGTAGAGTATTGTCATATGTCTTACGCCATGAAGTTGCTATCTTCTGGAACCTCATAGATTGCCGCATATTGTGGTCGAACGGCCGTCCTTTCTCGACAATACTGGGAAACCAAATTGCAATAGCCGAGGACCGTTTCCCTGGTACAGAGTCACACATGCCGCAAGATCGCAATTGATGCCAGTCTTCATACTTGCAACCGCATATATGGACCGTTTGGCTCGCAACGCAACAACCTCTGAACCTGGTTTCACTCATATGGCGGAAACGCTATAAGATGTCGCCACGATTACAATTCCACCTCAGTCTCTCAAGTTTCTCGCCATGCTATCCACCCTCATTTTACCACTTTTTGCCTTGTCTGCTATAAGCGCCAGCCCATTCACCGCTCACTCCCATGCCGCCCGTTCCATTGCTGCCCATTCCAATGCCGCTCGTTCTGCCAAACCTGTCGCAGCAGCTTGGTATGCCGGATGGCACGCCACTGCGGGATTTCCGCTTTCTTCAATCGTCTGGGAAAAGTACAACACACTGTACTACTCATTTGCGTAAGTTACCTATCTCGCAATAAACTTTGATGAGGTGATTAACGCAATCATGTTTGTTTCTCTTAGTGAGACCACTCAGACTGTCACCAGTCTGAGCCTGGCAGGCTCTGATGGTGAGCTGCTCCCTCAGTTCGTCTCCGAAGCTCATGCACATGTGAGAAAATAAGAATTTACGCTCCTACAATTAATGCCTAACCCATGCGTAGGGTGTTGAGGCCCATATTGCTATCGGAGGCTGGACTGGAAGTATTTGGTTCTCTTCCAACCTTGCCACCACCGAAAACCGGACGGCATTTGTCAAGACTGTGACAGAATTTGTTTCAAAGTACAACCTCGATGGCGTCCAGTTCGAGTAGGTCAATTCTTGTGACACAGACACCACGTGCTGAACCTTTCTTCCAACAGCTGGGAGTACCCAAACCATCAGGGAATTGGCTGCAACATCATTAGCGCTAACGACACGATGAATTTCCTCTCATTCCTCCAAGAGCTTCGCCAAAATCCAGTAGCAAAAAAACTCACCCTCTCCGCTGCCGTGTCTTCCGCACCCTTCGATGATGCTACCGGAAATCCTTCTGCTGACGTCAGTGGGTTTGCGAAGGTACTCGATTACATCGCTGTGATGAACTACGATGTCTGGGGCTCTTGGCTCCCGAATGTGGGCCCAAACTCCCCGTTGAACGACACATGCGCTGTGTCTGCGAAACAACAGGGCTCTGCTGTTTTTGCAGTCAAGGCTTGGACGGACGCAGGGATGCCAGCCAGTCAGATCGTGCTTGGCGTTCCTACCTATGGTCACTCGTTCAGCGTCGCACCCTCTGACGCCTTCACACCTGCCAGTGGTAAATCGGGGAAGGAACTGGCTGCATATCCCTCCTTTAACGCCTCGAAACAGCCCTTGGGTGATGCATGGGATAACACCGGTTCTGTTGATGCCTGCGGTGTTTACGAGGCTTCAGGTGGTATTTTCAACTTCTGGGGTCTCATTGACAACGGTTTCCTCACCAAAGAAGGCAAGCCCGCTGATGGCATCTACTATAGATATGACACCTGCAGTCAGACAGTGAATATGTTTTTCCACACTGAAGGAGGAGTGCTCATTTCATTGCTTTGACAGCCGTATGTGTACAATGAGTCTTCACAAGTTATGATCTCCTTTGACAATGCCGAGTCGTTTGCTGCCAAGGGCAAGTATATCAAGAACGCTGGGCTGCACGGTTTCGCGATGTGGGAAGCTGGTGGTGATTACGACAACATACTCCTCGACTCTATCATCAGTACTGCTAGATGATAGATACGTCATCGCTGTTTAAGGACCGGGACAACCCTACTGAATCACGCTCGTTAGTATATCACTACTTACCTTGGATTCTTTATTGTTATTAGGCTCGTTGCCAGAAAAAAGGGACAAAGTATTCTCTTTGTTCGCGGCACCGATGTTACATCATTGGCTACAACGCCTTTATCCTCTCGTTTTTCCACTTACGACTGCCTTACAGTGTTTATATAATAGTTGACTTGTTTATATAAATTGATTTTTGAGTGACACTCCTATACGCTCATCCACTTTACTCACTGTCCGATTGACTCTTAGTGTTGGTCGTCGACAGTGACGTCCTTACGGTAGAGTAGTCAGGTGCTCAGCGTACTAAATGCCCTTGCTGTGCGTGGAGGGCTTAACGGGCGGACACGTCTTTTGACATCTCCATGCACATCAATGGAACGGAGCAGGGAGTCGGCCTAGGGCTGGATATAGCAAAGATCGATCCACATTGTGATTCCAACCGTCTGACTTGGAGACATCTCGAGCTGCGGATCCAAGTGAACACAGGGTGCCGGGCTGGTCAAGTGACAGGCCCATCTGTGAGGACATGTGTGTTTAGTGTTAATTATGAGTCATGATAGTGATAGTTGGGATGATAACGAAATCACGCTGCGAAAATAAACCGTATCGTCGGGCCGTAAACGCGACGCGTTTTCTAGCTCCGCCGAAAAACGCGTTGACCATATACGAAACGCGTCTCCACGTGACTCATATACTCTTGACTGTTTACTGCCATGTCCTCCACATATATGTGGTCGGTCTCTCCTCCTCCAAACCTTCCAGCAAAGCTCCGGAGGAAAAGTTCCTCAACCTCTTTAAACGCGTCATCGTTATTCGAGCCGGATGACAATGATCTAGACTCTCCGTCACCCGTGACATCTCCGTTACCCTCGTCCTCACCGCTTTCGACGCCGATATACTCTTCTCCTCCAAATAATATCGCCACTCGTTATTCACACTCGCATTCACAATTTCAAAGTTCATGTGAAGAATCTCACTCAGAGTTTGATGATATCCTGGGTTCACCAACGCCCTTCTATCATCGAGGTCGCACTTCCAAGTATATGACCCACCAGCATGTGTCCGACAAGTACGGAAGTTATCTTGACAGTGAAGATGAGATGGCGGATTCTGAGCCTTGTCATAGCGATGACTTACTCGCTTGGCTTGGCCCGCGTTCTCCGGCACATGATGCCCAGGAAGACCTTGGGTACGACCCCGAAAGCATGGATATTCATTTACGCCGGACATACTTTGCTACGTCTTCCGAACGTGGTCGCTGGCAGAACAGTCCAGTCATACCTCGAATGTACAACACCAAGCCGTTTACGTCCAGTCCAATACGCCCCCACAGGGGGCATTCAACCCCTGTGAAAAGCATTACGCGGGACGCGAAGTCCCCTTTGTTGGAATTCCGTAACTTTGTCCGCAGGCAATCGACGAGCGGAGTAAAGGACGATCCTTCTAGCTCCCCGTTCCTTGCAGCCAGCGACAGCAATGATATCGAGGACTATCGTAGTCTTTCGCCCCTTCCTCCGTCATCTCCACCTACTTCCCCGATGTCACTAGCACTGTCGCACCCAGATGATTGTGCCTTAATCGATGATGATATGGTCCTCAACGATAATTGCAATTCAGATCACGTGAGTTCGTTATTTCGGTATCTCATCCATTTCCTTGCGATTGAACATGTATGCGCATGTTGTGTAGTCTGATGCCAAGCAACAAAACATCCATTCTCTGAACGTCACGTCACATGACATTTCTACTTCCGAGTCCGAGGCATCATTACTATTAGCCTCGGAACATGCGTTAAACGCAGTCTCAACCGCATGCCCCTCTTCCTGTACGAACGAGGCAACTCACGAGCCTCTCAAACTTTCGCTTCCTGTGCCTACCCCCATTAACACTATTACCACGACTTCCACCATTGAGATCGAGCCTTCGCGATCGTATCCGCATTCACCTACAAATTCGTCACTAGGGCTCAGCGCATACACTAATATTCCATCCGCCATCACTCCGCCGCCTCACCTGAGTGAAGAAGAAATGGGGCTTACGGCCACAAATACGACAATCCCACGTTCTCCCTCGAAGACGGTGAAGAAGCCACGGCCAAGTTTTAGTGACGGGGAGTTTGTGCAGGGGAGCAGCGTGTCACAGCTGCAGCCCCAGACTGCTTGCAGGAGCAGCAGCATGTTACGTCCCAAATCTCCAGACAAAGACGTCGGTTTAATGAAGGAGCCGTCAAGGCCCCAGCCTGAGCCCAAGTTGAAACAAGGACTGAAGCGGGAGGACTCCGTCTCATCTATCACACCTGCACAGAAGAAACCTCGACTCTCAGAGGGTGTGGACCGTGATACGCACCAGGCGCCTCGGCGTAAACAACGCCAACGTAAAACTTCTTCGAGTGCGAAGGAGAAAGTTACAGTCTGCAAATCAAGGTCACGATCTCGCTCGTGTCTCAAATCAATGTCCCCTGAAGAGGATTTGCGCACACAAGTTGCTCGCATCTGTGACGAGCCTCAATCACGCAATGGTTCTGAGCCTTCCGCGACGAAGGCCGAAAGTTCCTCCACTACGCCAGCACCCCTTGATCCAGAGCAAGTTGAGCTTATAGGCATGCTTGTAGAGGCTCTCGCCACATCGCGTGCCTCGTCTATGGACCCACTTGCTCTTCACACTGCCATTACCCAAACCCACCCCCATCTCAAGACGAAACACAGTAAAAAAAAATGGCTTAACCTCATTCCAGTCATGCTTGAAGCGGGGCGCGAGCGATGTGGGATGTTCGAAAAAGTTCAGAGTAGTGGGACGGACAGGGAAAAGCAGGCAAGGTGGTTTTATGTCTCTGAAAGGGACGAAGACCGTGAGCGTGCGGAGCTACTGGAGGAGCTTATGCCAAAGCAGAAAAGGAACGAGACGAAGAAATTCAAGAAGTATTATTATGCACCACTGCAGAAGGTTTCAAGGTGGGACTCGGAGGATGCGATTTGACATGCTCTGCTTGGAGGGTGCCGGTGATGTTTCAAATCTTTGCGCGACACTTTCGGTCTTTAGTTTAGCGTTAACGTTTGATCAGGACCCTCGTGGTTACTGATCTATTTACCTTTTGTTGATGCTCAGACCTCCCCTCCCCTTCGGTTTTGTCGCATTAACCATATGACTGTAGCTCCACCACTTATTTACGATAACGAAGAAACACTGATTTGTTTCTTGAGATTAGTTCTTCGGCCTAGACTCGAAAGTCTAAGATAAAAAGAGGGTGGTGCGAGCTCCCAGTTTGGCTTGAATTCAATTGAAAATTCAGACACCGCTTTTCATCGCGTAATGAGCGGGGCACGTGTTATGCTTTTGTCGCGTCGTCTGAGTTAAACTGGGGTCATTAATGCCACACCCGCTTGAAAGCCACCGTCAAATAGTTTGCGCTTGACCTTGATCAAAAAACCCGGTTCCGTGGAATTATCTTTGCCTATCTTTCTCCTTCCAGCGTCGACGACGGCCAAAGCATTATCAAAGCGCGTCCGCTTATGCAAGTTTCCTTGGTTTTCCACTTCTAATTTGAGGACTTTGTTGGTTTTCATCGCTTGTAGCCCTTTGTTGCTGTGGGTGCGTAGACGACTGAAGCAATTCATCAAAGCTACCACTCACACAGGAAATTCAGCCTATATAAACTCGCTTTTCGAACCTACCTTCTCAAACACCCCTCACTCAGCACGTAATTTGAAGAACAAACAGTCTCACTAGACACCATGAATCAACCACCCGTAGAGATCCCTAACGAAACGATGCCCTTCGATGATTCTATGATCGAGGAGACGCAGCAAGCAACGCAGTCAACGCAACACGCGTCTCAACCAGATTCTGCGAACACTAATAACCATCTGTGGGGCTACCTTCAGCCGTGCAGCAACCTGCTTCGCCGCCTAGATCTTTGGAAAGTTCAGCCCGCAGCTTCAGTGGGAAGGGCCCTGGAAAACGATATCATTCTCCCTGGGGGAAAAGTCAGTGAGTGTCTAGTGTGTACTTGGTGGCGCTCTCCAGCGCTTTCGGTACTGTATATTGACGCGTCGTGGTGTAGGTAATAAGCACTGCAGAATCACCTGGGACGGAAGGGAGGACAAAAACTCCGCAGTGACTGTTCTCGACACCTCTAGCAATGGCACTTGGGTACGCGTCGGTAACGTAGCATAATGACCACCGTTTGATGGTAAAATTTGCAGATCAACGGTGTTAAGATTGGAAGGGACAAAACAGCAGTGCTGAAGGAAGGCAATGAGATTGCTTTCGGCTCTCCTCATCCCTCACCTGGGGATCTTGAAGACTATCGTTAGTCATTTACATTCGTGTTGATGTTCGCTCATTAATGCATTTTTTAGGATTCATTTATCGGCACACCGCCGCCGGTTCTCCACGCGGCGGCCTTCATGCTCAGTATGACATTAGCCATGAGATCGGCAAGGGATCATTTGCAACTGTCATGAAGGCCGTGTCGCGTGCGACGGGCCAGTGGTATGCTATCAAGGTTATACAAGACCATAAGGTCAAGCGTGCCACTGCCAACAACAATGAGATGGCATTTGCGCGAGAGATTAGTATTCTGGAACGGCTCCATCATCGGAATATCTGCCAGATGAAGGAAGCCTTTTTCGAAGATAACAGTATCAGTGCGTATGTCAGTATACCCTACTAATCTAAGCTGATCAATCGCATAGATCTCGTCCTCGAATTTGTAGATGGAGGAGATTTACTTGATTACATATTAAGAGAGGGCGGTCTCAGTATGTTATTCGGTTTGTCGATGCTTGGTAATTCTCAAGTTTATTTTCAGAGGAGCCGCTGGCTGTCCACATAATCGCGCAAGTTTGCGATGCCCTTGCAGTAAGTCAGCTCGCCGTATGAGACCGTAAATCCTCTGACCTGTCGCCTGTTCAAAGTACATTCATAGCAAAGGGATCGCGCACCGTGACCTGAAGCCCGAGGTAATGAATTTCCCTTGAAGGAGTTGATTCCATCATGAATGTTGGCCATTTAGAATGTGCTGCTGACTACGGAAAATCCCCCCACTGTCAAAGTCGCCGACTTTGGTCTCGCCAAGGTTGTCGATAGCGTTACTTTCCTCAGAGTCAGCGATCCCACTTTTGACTTTCTAACATATCACTGATGAATCTATGCTTCACAGACTATGTGCGGTACACCTGCATATCTCGCCCCCGAAGTTGTGACCCAGCAAAACCAGGAAGGCTACGATCACCTTGTTGACAGTTGGAGCGTTGGGGTGATCGTATTCTGCATGTGAGCATGAGACCTGCGTACGTCCTGCCCTTGTTTGCTGAACTGGAGATGTTTGCACAGGTTTACATTGTCAAGCCCCTTCATCGAAGACGAGAACCAGCGCGATATCAAGGTCAGGATCGCAGAACGCACAATTCAATGGAGTATTTTAGATAAAGTAGAGGTTTCTCCGCGTGGTACGCTATTCCCGCCAGTTTTTGCAACATACTGATTTACGGGCGTACGGTCGAATAGCGAGGAACTTCATTGAGAGGTTGCTTGAGCATGACCCTAGGGATCGTATGTCTCTCAGCACAGCCTGCACCCACCCATGGCTTGCCGACGTTCCGACACTGACCCATCTTCAACCTCGCGCTATCACTGACTCTTCCGTCACATCTATCCAAGACGGCGCTTCCTGCGTCTCCTCGCACGACTCTGAAGACACAGAGATGACCGATGGCTCAAGCCAACCCACTGTAACTGAGGGTCTCGACAAACTTCACCTGCGCCAACAATCCGCCCGTGCGCCCCTCCAGCAGCGCGCGCAAGTACTCGCCCAAGCTGCTGAGAACGATCAAGGACTCATGGAGCCGAGCTGGCAGATGGTTCAACATGCACAAGAAATTGCGAATGGCGTGCGAAATGGGAAGCGCAAGTTGGACCCACAAAGCCCTCTGCCGGATATGGACGTCGAGAACGGCATCCCAAAAAAGTCAAGGCGGGTACCGGAGTCGAATGGCCCCACTACACGCACCAGAGCTGCAAAAGGGCGTGGGCGGGGAGGTGCTTCATCACCAGTGGCGGCAATGTTGCAGGGAGCAGCAGCAGGGATGATCGTGGAGGAGGAGCATCTAGAGGACGAGGAGGACGTGGAAGAAGCTGCCAGTACTGCAGCCCACGCTCCACCGAGAAAATCCACTCGCGTAACTCCCAAAAAGGGGGCACGCCGGTGGTGAGAAGATGAATGTGTATAATATCTTATGCTTGGTTATTGGTTTCCTCTCGTCCCATTTGTATTGCCAGCGCTTATCCTTTATCCCCACACTCTCGCTATGTAACATCGATATCTCACTTTCGTTAATTTACTGCTATATTCTATCGATATCCATTCATTTGCTATGGGAATGCTATTGAACGTTGTCTGTTTTCTGTGTTGATCGTCGAGTCTTCAGGCGTTCTAGTCTCAACACAGCAAGTGTAATACCGCTATGAAGTGTCCAATGTACAGCACGCCGTAACAGTCTAATAGACGATCACCACAGGTCTCAGGGGCCATGAAACCAAAAATAAACGACATGGCCGCAGTTTATTGTCCCCTATGACAAGAATCTGGGACGTGCAAAACCGACAAATAGTGCGCTGGCCACTTCAATACAATGATCTGAAGCGAGTGCTGAAGCAAATGACACATGCCCGTAAACAGCGTGCTGTGGATGATAGAGGATGGATGACTCAGATGTCGTGAGCAATTTCATTGATATTGTTGAGGATGAGGGCGAAGCAAAGATAGGTTCCAAACACGACGTCGATTAACGTTCTGAAGGCGTTGCGAGAATAGTCTGCAAGTCTGCCAAAGACCTCACTGCAGTATACATGAAAAAGTAGCGGACATAGGTGTCGCATGAAGGGTGCCTGCTTCCACAGGCCACCTCAAAATACTGCGCATCGTCGGGTCAAAGTTATCGTGTCTCCGTCCCAAAGTGGCCCAAAGTATCGCCCAGTGCAGTTCTACAAATAGCGATCATGATAATGATGGTATTCGCCAACCAGTCAATAGGACCTAGGAAGTTGAGTTGTCACCTCGATTGCGACGGCCTCGAGAAGCGCCTGCGATATTTTGGACCCAGAGGACGCTGATAGCAATTGAGCAAGCCATTTCCACACATCTCCGATACCGCCTCGAGTCTCTTGATCACTTTTTGATCAGAGATTGCTTGAAGGACTCTAATAATAAGGAAAAAGAGCGGCAAACATCTGAATGACATACCTTGAAGACATATACTTCAGTATTCCCGCTGATGCAAGTCCATCACGTCCACGACAGGCATACTTCTTAAGAATCCCGAACCCCCGAGTCCAACTTGGTCCTTCGGAGATCGCTAATACCGCTCGACATGCAATGCATTCTTGATCATCAAAGTTGTCCAGAAATCCTGCTGATAAGTTTGATTAGCACTGCCATTGGCCAGGGTTGGCCGAGTTGGCCCAAGATCATTCCGATATGCTGGGCGGATCTCGCAGTAACGGCGCACCGGCCACCCATCTTATGTCTGTCCTCTACCAGTAGAATCATGAGGCATTTTGATGCATCTTACAGGCATGACACCATCAAGGCTCGGAGGGATGATTGTATTACCGCAGGTCTGATGGCTACGTGAGCTGATGCGCCCAGGGCTGCCAGTAGCGGTAGAACCGTAGATAGCAGAAAGAAGTTATGAGCGTTGAACTGCATTCGGGATGCACCATGTGGTCTTCTGATGAACTTACTATTACTGCAATTGTGAGGAATGTGATCTTCTTCCATCCTGGACCTGAAAGATAAAACACTCAATTTTTCTCGACTGTAAAAATTAGAACAGCTCGAGCACTTGCCCAGGGTTCGAGCGATCTTTACAGCTCATGGTAGTGTGAGCTGAACACAATAGTAGTATGATTATAATTATGTAATAACTCAGTAGTTCAGGCTGATCGGAATCCGGATCGTCCAGTGCTCTTCAAATTACCCTTGCTAGTATGATCAAGTCGAAGTTATTCTCCCCGTCATGTTCTTTTCCTCACGCTCCAGGTCATACAGGCCATTGAGTCTGACACCACAAGAAGTCATTGACTCTGAGAGTGATGACGACCACAAAGCAAAGCTGCATGAAACTTCACGAACTGTGCAGTCTGTGCTCCATTGGCCTCTTGTCATCGTAATCTTCTGCACGTTCCTTAACCTGTTACTGGTCTATACCCCTGCCTTTCTCCAAGACTCTTCAGTATTTTCAGACAAACTTATCACTCGTAAGAATGTTCACCTTCTTCGTCGTCCTTCACAATATATGCGGTTCGACGAGATCGCACGGACGTCGCCTCCTATTCAGAGAGAGTTCACAAGTTTCCCCATGTCTGTCAGCTTGGTGGATTATTCTGCGCCGAGTCATGTTTTCAATGACTATCTTGCGATGCGCACGACACGTGCCGGCACAATCTCGCCTGATGACCGCAAAGTCCACGTTACACAAACTGTCAGTTTATCTTCCTTTTTTCTGTGTTCTATAGACTGATGGAATCAAAGGTTTCAACAATATTTCAATTCAGGGCGATTGACTGGGGCATGGAAAATTGCGAATTGCACGTCGCCGTTCCGCCTATGGACCGACCAACTACCCTTGCTTTATATCGCCTCAATGCCACTGTACCAGTTGATATTTCAACGTTGTCGTTTAACGTCCGACCACCACGAGTCGCAAAAATTGATAACATAGTGCTAGGGCAAGACAGCTTGGACTGGCACAGAAAACTTTCTTGTGTAACGGACGACGTCCTAGTTTTCGAGTTGGGATGTTCGGAGGATGAACCAAGCGGTAGCTGCGATATAGAATGGTGGCAGGCTCACAAGGACACTGCACCAGGTCAGTGCTTTATCACTCTATGAAATTCGCTGACAGCATAATTGAACATTTAGCTGTCTACATGATCCAGCGTTCCACTGTGTAACTTGATTTTCCTCGAATTTTTGTCATCGAGACGAAACATCTGGCTTATTTAACAGGTTTCAACATTTGGTTACAATCCTGTATCATCCTACTTGCCATCAGCCATCTTACTCGTGTACTTGCGAATGTGGATAAGTCCCACTCGGGTGTGTGCAGTATCAACACGTCGTCACGGCAGGTGACACTTCCGCACTTGCAATTTCAGTTATCTCACTCAATTCTCCTTTCATCGTGGTTGTTAACGTTCAACCTCGTAATGAATATGAGATAAAGAATGATATCTATCTCAAGCATTTTGTGTTCAAGTGGCTAGAAATGCCAATTTTGTGAAAGTGCCGACTTCCATGGGGTGCTGATTGCATCGGAAGGGATCCATGTTAACAGCTAATTTGCCTGTCTTCGTGCACCTGCATAAACAATTCATCAACGATCACGTACGAATAGATTCAAGATTTAAATGATTCTAGTATGTGAGCATCAAATGGTGCGTGATTTGCACATGAGCGCTATACACCCAAGCTATTCCATATCACCTTCTTGATCGGCGAGCATTGTTACGTCAAAACTTCTGATGGCCCAAGCAGAACAGACCGAACGGTACAGAATGCTTTGCGGAGATTAGTATTTTCCGCGGTGGAAGCAGAGAGAAATGGTGTTACTTATAGCTATCATATCTCCCCGGGGGAATATATCCACATGGTTTGAACCCTAAAAGCTAGTGCACCGTAACCATTACATGAAACTTGCCGTGGGCTACTAGTACCGTTCAATGCTTGATGCGTACAAGTACAATCGTAGTAAGTCGACTCCAGTCAGCTGCTGTGCGTGCAATCGGAGCGCCAAATTCCATCAAAGCATTCACGAGGTGATATCGATGCCAACCACGGCTAGCAATATTTGTGATCAAGACTGACACACTCCCGTTTAATGATCAAATCAATTGAATCTGTGCGTGCAATCGGAGCGCCAAATTCCATCAACGCATTCACGAGGTGATATCGATGCCAACCACAGCTAGCAATATTTTTTGATCAAGACTGACACACTCCCATTTAATGATCAAATCAATTGAATAATGCTCGAGCGTGATGCATGATGATACTCACGAATTGGTATTTAAAGGACACAACTCCCAATCTCATCTTAAGACGACACATCTTAAACACCATACGGTCCATACCTCAGCGAAGAAGTCACTATCGTCAACATGACCGTGCTTAACATCAGCAAACTCAGTACCTATGTTCTACTCTTGTCAGTTGCCTTCGCACAGATCTTAGCGGTCAGTGCTGCAGAGAACAACCTGGAGTCTGATGATGTGGATGATGGTCATGATGGTGAGGAGGCCCTGGCGATCATGTGAAGCACGACTGACAAGCTTTTATCAGTGGATTTTTGAAACCTGAATACAGCTGGAAGGTTGAAAGTTAATGCAAAGAAGGATGTATTAGTGCATAGGCACATTGCAGGTGATATTGGGGGTAGAAGATGTGTTCGAGCAGTATGGGATTGTTTGTTTATACTGAATGTATCACACACCTCCCGTTACTTATTCATTACCCATGCCCAGTGATTTTGATCAGTCCACTCGGCGGTACTATTTTGATGTTTCATGATCTTGCAGGGCTTAGACTCCAACTTCGGAGCGAGGCCTGCCATATTAAAGACACAAAACACATTAGTGACATGTATGAGGGCTCCAGTGAAAATTCCCTTGAATTTATTGTACATACAACCTTGAATTCACGCAATAATCACATTTTACAGGTCTTCCAGTCCTGATCATGAGCAGATCTTCGAAACATCATCAAATGACTATGTCTGCCTTATTCAAAATACCTTCTTCTATTGCTTTGATTTCTACATTTTCGATCATCAGCGACGCTCTATATACCACAAGGAAGGCACTCACGCATGGCCAAATGGAGACTGTGGAAGCGCGATAGAGCCAAATCACCTGTTCATCGAAATGAAACTGACGCGCCCATAACAAGAACGACGTAAAATACCATTTGCGAACCACAGTCCATCATGCCCGCAATACCTCCACGCTCCCGCAGTTTGTCCTTCTTCGTCTAGACCCCAGACCCTGGTGATTTTTGACGCGACTTCATCTCCACAGACCTCGCGCATGAAGTCACGGGGATCGCCGTAACTGTAAGCAATTATGAGTCCTGCTCGTAAAAGTAAAATATTACCACACCCCGTAGCAAATACTATTATATCTGCCTGTAGCTCGGCTCCATCAGCAAATCGAAGGCCGTTTTCCGTGAAGGACTCGATTGCAGAACCGTTCTTGATTTTAATATTCCCGTCGATAATAGATTTACTTGCTCCGGTATCTGGAAGCTATTGAGAGACATCTTCGTTGTGCATAGGTACACCCACCGATGTAGTAGCCACCACCACGCTCCAGGTAAAGGGACGTATTGCCTGCTCCATGTAGGCCAAGATTAGTCTTGAAGCCAACCTTAGCTAATCCATCTAGAATCGCCCTGCGATTGTAGTTAATGCGTCTGGAAGTGAGCTTCAAATCGTCCGACATACTTGTCTGTGGTCTCAGCGACCATAGGAACCATACGTTGATGCAGCCGCCTAACAACTGCCCAAGGCAGCGAGGTATCGTAAGTATCAGCCAGCTCAGTGGGGAAGTCGTCATTATAAATATCTAGCCAAGGAAAGTCAAGCCAAGCTACCAACAAAGACGGGAACAATTACCGCCTAGCATTGCTGCCACTGACTTCGTCGAGATCACAAACGTTGACGATCGTTGATACCTAGTTTTCCGTAAGATATGAAAATGACATAATTTGAATCGAAGAACGCACATTGTGATGTCGACACCGTGACTACAGAAATCTTGAGCGATGTCATGTGCTGATGAAATATTTAGATCTCGTTCGATACGAAAGGTATGACCGACCGACCAGAATTGCAACAGCCGATTATGATTGCTTTTTTACCGATATGATCAGCCGCGGATTTGAATTCTGACGAGTGCACGGCAGACCCTTTGAAGCTTGCCTGCGTCCATGAGTCACGTTTCGATCAGTTCGAGCGTTACATACCTTCCCAGGGATGTCGGGAACATTCGGGCGACCGCCAGATCCAGTGGCAAAAACGAGGTGCTTAACGGTCAGAATCCTAGTACCTTTACCGCCGCGATCGACTTCGACGGACCAGGTTTTCGTGCCATCGTTCCAGGATGTCTTGGTGATCGTCGAGGCCGTCCAAACGTCGAGCTCAAGGAAACTCGCATATGCTTCCAACCAGTCTGCCAGCTGCAATAGCTGGAATCAGTGAATGTTCATCATATGTGTGATGTTGTACTTTTGCGGCTGGGGTGTAGACTGGCCATGTAGGCGGAAATCTGCAAACCGGATTACAAAAGAATCAAAGGAGTTCTGACAAACCACTCACTTCAAGTAAGGCGTTTGGTTGTACCCTGTAAGTTTGTCAGTCGATCCCTTGCCGGAGAAGAAAAGGGACGAACAGATAGTATCATGCAGACAAAGAGCCTTGTAACGATCTCTCCACTATGAAACCGCACCCGAGTCTTTAGCTATATTTGAATACCAAAATTGTCACGGGACGAACGCTATCCCCAACCCTGGGCTTCTTATCAATGACAAGCGTGGGTACACCAATGTACTTCAAGCCTGCCGCGGTCTCCAGACCGCTGTGCCCCGCGCCGATGACAATCACCGTTGGGTCATTGATTGAGAACTCAGTCTCTTGACGCCGCTTCTCTTCCCAACTGCCATGATCAGTCTCCCACTTTCTGAGGGGACCGAGCTTCCATAGAGTCAGTAAGCGCTCTCGAAGGAATGTGATTGCACACCTTTTGAGGGAAATCGGTCAACGAATTGAGACAGGTCAACAGAGTGTAGGCCTTCCACTTTGAATCTGGAAGGGGAACGAGATAAACGACTGCAGTACCCTTGCCATGCTTGGTGGTAAAACCAAAGCAAAACCGCAACCAGACTAAATCGTGATAAACTTTTTGCAGAACAGGTCCATTCAAGGGCTCCTGTAGGAGACGCAGTTCGTTAAGACCCGTAGCAACGAGACGAGCATCCAAGAGCTTCTTGATGTCCTTCCTTCCTTCGAATGTCCTGAAATCCCATGTCAGTGCGATCACGTCCTTCCAGAAGCCGTCCTCGAGAAAGAGGTCGACGACAGCTGCGGTATCACTTTGAGTTATTGCGGCTGAGAAAGCGTTGAGCCACTCGGTGGCTACCTCGGATGAGGAGACATTGGAAGGATCAGTGACACCAAGCCGATCCAGCGTAGGTAAGCGTTGTGGAAACGAGTCAGTTGCCATACTACTGAAACAGAAAACTGATATGTATGGATCGATGGTCTGAGATTTAGAGTAGCACCATGAAGCATCCTGGTTTAATTGAATCTGCGACCAGGCTAGACCCACTTAATTATGGAAAGCCGGAGCACCGTCATCAGCAAAAGACGGCTTGCCTCATAGACGGACTGGTCATGAGTCTACTTACGGTGGTGCTTGCTCGGTCACGAGATTTTCTGGGCCACGGGTTATGAGATGACGCTCGCGCTCGATCATTATGACGTCGAGCAGTTCGCGTTGGATTAGAGAGTACAATATAATGCATATGGTCGGGAACCTGAAAATGCCATGCTACCATGGACGTAGTGTTGTTGGCAATACTGCGCCATTGCGCCGCGCCAGTTTTGCCAATCTGGCAATTGCCGGCGAACTCAAGAGGGGCCAGGTGGCAAAACTTGGCACAACTACTACTAGTCACCCAGTAGTACTGTAGACTATAGCACCAGAAGATGACTTCGACAACTTGGTGACATCATGATGTATTTCAGTCCGACAAAATATTGTTTTCCATGTATGAAGGCTCCGGCCTTGAATTCATCGTCCATACAACCTTTCATTTACACGATAAGTACTCTTCCAGCCCTGATTATGAGCAGATCTTCGAAATGTCATCAAATAACTATATCTGCCTTATTCAAAATACCTTCTTCTATTGCTTTGATTTCTACATTTTCAATCATCAGCAACGCTATATGACAACAAGGAAGGAACTCACGCATGGCCAAATGGAGATTGTGGAAGCGCAATAGAGCAAAACCACCTGTTCATCGAAATGAAACTGACGTGGCCATAACAAGAACGACGCAAAATACCATTTGCGAACCACAGTCCATCATGCCCGCAGTACTTCAACACTCCCGCAGATTGCCCTTCTTCGTCTAGACCCCAGATCCTGGTGATTTTTGATGCGACTTCATCTCCACAGACCTCGCGCATGAAGTCACGGGGATCGCCGTAACTGTAAGCAATTATGAGTCCTGCTCGTAAAAGTAAGATATTACCATACCCCGTAGCAAATACTATTATATCTGCCTGTAGCTCGGTGCCATCAGCAAATCGAAGGCCGTTTTCCGTGAAGGACTCGATTGCAGAACCGTTCTTGATTTTGATATTCCCGTCGATGATAGATTTACTTGCTCCGGTGTCTGGAAGCTGTTGAGAGACATCTTCGTTGTGCATCAGAGGTACACCCACCAACGTAGTAGCCACCACCACGCTCCAGGAAAAGGGACATAAGACCTGCTCCATGTATGCCGAGATTGGTCTTGAAAGCCAACCTTAGCTAATCCATCTAGAATCGCCCTGCGATTGTGATCAATACATCTGGAAGTGAGCTTCGAATCGTCCGACATACTTGTCTGTGGTTTCAGCGACTATAGGAACCATACGTTGATGCAGCCGCCTAACAACTGCCCAAGGCAGCGAGGTATTGTAAGTATCAGCCAGCTCAGTGGGGAAGTCATCATTATAGACAACTAGGCAAGGAAAGTCAAGCCAAGCTACCAACAAAGACGGGAACAATTACCGCCTAGCATTGTAGCCAGTGACTCCTTCGAGATCACAAACGTTGACGATCGTTGATACCTAGTATTTCGTGAGATATGAAAATGACATGACTTGAACCAAGGAACGCACATTGTGATGTCGACACCGTGACTACAGAAATCTTGGGCAATGTCATGTGCTGATGAAATATTTAGACCTCGTTCGATACGAAAGGTATGACCGACCGACCAGAATTGCAACAGCCGACCACGATTGCTTTTTTACCGATATGATCAGCCGCGGATTTGAACTCTGACGAGTGCACGGCAGACCCTTTGAAGCTTGCCTGCGTCCATGAGTCACGTTTCGATCACTGGTTCGAGCGTTACATACCTTCCCAGGGATGTCGGGCACATTCGGGCGACCACCAAATCCAGTGGCAAAAACGAGGTGCTTAACGGTCAGAATCCTAGTACCTTTACCGCCGCGATCGACTTCGACGGACCAGGTTTTCGTGCTATCGTTCCAGGATGTCTTGGTGATCGTCGAGGCCGTCCAAACGTCGAGCTCAAGGAAGCTCGCATATGCTTCCAACCAGTCTGCCAGCTGCAATAGCTGGAATCAGTGAATGTTCATCATATGGGTAATGTTGTACTTTTGCGGCTGGGGTGTAGACTGGCCATGTTGGTGGAAAGCTGTAAATTGGATTACAAAAAGAATCAAAGGAGGTCTAACAAACCACTCACTTCAGGTAAGGCGTTTGGCTGTGCCCTGTAAATTTGTCAGTCGATCCCTTTCCGTAGAAGAAAAGGCACGAACAGATCGTAGTATGCAGACAAAGAGCCTTGTAACGATCTCTCCACTATGAAACCGCCCTCGAGCCTTTAGCTATATTTGAATACCAAAATTGTCACGGGACGAACGCTATCCCCAACCCTGGGCTTCTTATCAATGACAAGCGTGGGTACACCAATGTACTTCAAGCCCTGCCGCGGTCTCCAGACCAGCTGTGCCCCGCGCCGATGACAATCACCGTTGGGTCATTGATTGAGAACTCAGTCTCTTGACGCCGCTTCTCTTCCCAACTGCCATGATCAGTCTCCCAGTTTCTGAGGGGACCGAGCTTCCATAGAGTCAGTAAGCGCTCTCGAAGGAATGTGATGACACACCTTTTGAGGGAAATCGGTCAACGAATTAAGACAGGTCAACAGACTGTAGGCCTTCCACTTTGAATCTGGAAGGGGAACGAGATAAGCGACTGCAGTACCCTTGCCATGCTTGGTGGTAAAATCAAAGCAAAACCGCAACCAGACTAAATCGGGATAAACTTTTTGCAGAACAGGGTCCATTCAAGGGCTCCGTCTGTAGGAGACGCAGTTCATTAAGACCCGTAGCAACGAGACGAGCATCCAAGAGTTTCTTGATGTCCTTCCTTCCTTCAAATGTCCTGAAATCCCATGTCAGTGCGATCACGTCCTTCCAGAAGCCATCCTCGAGAAAGAGGTCGACAACAGCTGTGGTATCACTTTGAGTTATTGCGGCTGAGAAAGCGTCGAGCCACTCGGTGGCTACCTCGGATGAAGAGACATTGGAAGGATCAGGGACCCCAAGCCGATGTAGCGTAGGTAAGCGTTGGGGAAACGAGTCAGTTGCCATACTGAAACAGAAGATTGATATGTGCAGATGAGGGTCTGAGCTTCATGAACTATCCTGGTTTTTGACTTTAATTGAATCTGTAAGTCCAGACTAGACCCACTTAATTATGGAATGCCGCAGCACATGCATTGCCTGATAAGGCGAAGAGCTTCGAGAGGACTCCTGACACGCCTCCGAACAGCATGGAGGGACAGACCACCTGCTCTACTCCAACGCTTGAACCTTCCTAGTAAGGTAAGTAGTCCTGTACCAGCTTGCCAAGGCAAGCCGAGTACGCGCTAGCATATACCAAGCACCATTATTTATTTCGTCAGATCCAAAGTCATCTCGTCTTTTTTCCGCTGATACAAGTCGATCGCGTCCGCAACAGACATACTTCCTAAGGATCCCAAACCTGCCAGTCCACCTTAGTCCTCCTTGAGAAATTGCCAATACCATTCGACGCGCGTAATGCATTCTTGATTATCAACGTTGTCGTGAAAACCTGCTGATAAATTTGATTAGCACTGCCAGTGGTCAGGGTTACTTAGCCAAGTTGACCCAAGATCATTCCAGAATCATTTCCTTCTGACGCAACTTACTAGCACGATGTCCTGATTGCTCAAGGCTCGGAGGAACGACGGTATTACCGCAGGTCTCGTGATGGCTGCGTGAGCTGATGCGTCAAGGGCTGCCCGTATCGGTAGAACTGTAGATAGCAGAAAGAAGTTATGAGCATTGAACTGCCTTTGGCATGCATCATGAGGTTTTCTGATGAACTTACTACTTTAGTGGTGGCACTGGGGACTGTGATCTCCATCATCCTGTACCTGAAGGATACAGCATTCAAATTCAATACTATTGTCTCTTTCAATGTAGAATGTGCAGTTGTCGTATTAGAACATAAACTTGCCGAATCGATAGTCGTGGATATAGCTCGGGCGCTTTATGAACTCCGAATTTTGAAACACTAAGTATATACCTATAACATCACTGAAAACCGGATAACCCGGTATGACAATATTTACCTTATAAGGTTGGCGAAATCTGTGTTGTCCTTATATGCCCATGTATTGGCCTACTTATCAAGCATCATTTTCCTGATCCGTGAGCTTGTTTGTCGTTTCGACACATTAATTTAACAGTATGTCGAATTCTAAGCTGGTGGTATAGTTTTTGCATTCATGCGTAAAAATTGCTTAATACTATATAGCAGTGCAGAATGATAGGAAGACGTCGATGCTGTAGGCATACGCTCAACGTATATGGCGCTGATCTATTCAAAAATTCTAGACACACAAAACTCACACACACCACTGTGAGTTGCACTCGTCCTCCATGGCTTCGCTACATTTGCTTGTCATTGTCATATTTTCTGATTCAACAATTCATCTCAAGACGCAGTCAGTGCCATCCTTCTTCGCTTCTGAGGTCCTAACATCTCTTACTTGACATTGAGCCGACTTTTCGAACAGGCACTGCCGGTCTGTCAAAAGCTCGAAGGGATGTGGTGCTTGGAATGAGCTGTGACATTTTACTGGAGATTGATGGTGTTGAATGCGGCCGAGGGATTGTGGGTACCTTTCTCTAAGCTGCAGAGGTGCGTGTAATATGTATTGTGCATTTTTATGCTGCTAACTACCTCATTTCCATAGGTACCCAAGACTTAAACTTACCTCTCCCTCATCTCCTTCTCGCCCTCCTCCACTCCTCTCATTCTGGCGCCTTCCGGTGTGGTTCGCATATGTTCGAGCCACGTCAGCATTTGCTGACATGCGCTGGGCATGTGCGCTAAGCACTGGCAGTTGTTGGGATCGGGCAGTAGTGAATGGTGGTCTGGATGATCCCTCAATCCCACTTGAAACCTATTCTGCATTTTGGCCTTTCTTCAAAGTCAACATTGGCCATGTGTCCTCGACCGATGCTCGAAACTGCCGTTATCTCTGTTGGTTTTAGCTGTCTGCAACTGACGCCGAAGCTCGCAGCCTTACCCGGCTCCGACCCTGCTCCTTCTCTTTTCCTATTCTGAAATAGTTTGACCACCGGATCTCAAAACGAACGAGGTACAACTCCCTTGGGAAGGGTCAAGACCTCAGTCACCACCGGCCGAGCATATCTTCCGGTCATTGATAAGTAAGGATCCGACTCAGATTTTATTTACAATCCCCACTATCACCTACTCTGCCTTCAATCACTCATTAACGCTACTTCCTGCAAGTTTCTCGACAGGATGCCATCCAGAAAGTCGCACTGTACTACATGGTCTGGCAACAGGATATGTCATGTTGTGGTCTATGTTTCTGTCTAAGGATGACTGGTCTTCGATGATATGGCTGAACTCGATCTCATATTTGGATTTGATCCCTGCGACCAACTTCTATTCCATGGCCAAAAACTCGATCCTATGGCTGAACTCGATCCTGTTACATCCTATGGTACCACGAGTTCGATTATATACCACCAAACTCGATCCTATACTGGCACCGCCGAGCTTGATTGTACACCGGCACCGCCAAACTCAGTCAACCACTTGAGCAGTGCAAATTTTGCATAAGGAAACAATAGTGTCAAGTTGCCACGACACCTTGCTTTCATTGGACTTCAAGGCACTAACGATATCTGTTGTGGTTCAACCCATGTTATTGTTCCTGCAGACGGTGTTGATGATGAGATTAGGGTAGAGAATTGGCGAGGCATTGATAAACTACATGTATTGTACCGAGTGTCTCTGTATAATCCTATACAACCCAATGTGACTTCCTGGCCAATCAAGTATAAAACCCGCAATACCATGATGCCAATGAAGCAATTGTCCATATGATGGTACAGATGGCAAGAATTTCTATCTCTTTTACTTATTGGACAGGAGAGCCGCTGTGCTAGAAATGCTAAATGAGAGACACTTTTTCGAACATGCATCATCACTTCAGTACAGTTTTAGTATTGTCACAACATGATTCATGCAGCCAATGCCAAATGAAAACCATTTTGATAATTATTGGTCATAGGGGATAGCGTTCTACACATATATATCTTGTTTTCAGCAATTAGCGTGTTTATCAATCTGTTTGAGTTTTTACACAGCCAAATTCATTCAACTAATGCCGGGCACAGGTAATCATGATAAAGATTGGTCGCAAGGGATAACAATATATTTCTATACAAGACTATGGCTTCTGCACTGCCATATTTTATACGATTATAGACATTGTTGGGATTATAATGTGTATATAAGGGTTTATCATAGATCTTGGTTTTCAGTGATGAAATTGTACGTAAGTGCCGCTCAGGCTTTATATTATGGATTACTTAGTCGGTCACGTATATGTGGCATGGCCACAGTACTGCTCTTCAAGCTACCCTTGCTATCATGATCAATTCAAGTCGAAACAGTTCTCCCGGTCATGTTTCTTTGCTTAAGGCTTAGGCTCCAGGCGAATCCCGCAAATGATACTTATTTAGCGTAAGCAAACCACTGGCAGTACAGTAGACCACCGTGTACCTGAATTGACTCATGTAGGGTCTGGACTCTGGACTCTGAAAATTCGCAGCTTTCCTCATATAGTTAACGCTGGTGGACGCCCATAGCGGATGTGCAGTACTGAGTGCTGAAACTCCGTCACGGCACATATCCGAGTCGGCAGGTGACATTTTTGCCTGACTGCGTAGATGGTTTATTCATTCGGCACTTCCAGTTTCAACTACACATTTCACTCAATTCTGTTTCTATCTGATGTAGTGGTTCAACCTCGTGATGAATATTAGAGAGAGAACGATATGTTGCGAATTTTGTGTTTATGTAAGTAGCCAGAAATCTCGTGAAAGTGCTGACTTCTGCAGGAATGGATGTATGTTAACAACTTCGCCTCCGGCTTCGCGCACACATCCACTAACGATATCCTACGATCGCGAATAGATTTTCAATGATTTTATGTGACCATCAAATGGGCTCATTTTCCAAATTACTGCACATGAGCGCTATGCTCATCCGGACCGCTGGCATCTTGATCAGAGCATCATCATTACAAAAAAATTCTGATACCCAAGCAAAACAGTACAGGACGCTCTGCGGAAATGATTATTTTCTGCGCTGGAACACTGTTGCTTGATCATGATTATCAAATGCTCCCCGAGCTGGATATCATTTGGGTGAGATGCAACCAATCACATCTAGAAATATTTTTCAGCCGAAACTATAAACGATCAAGTCAATTGGATAGTGCTCGAGTGCGATGGCAGTTCGTGATGCTTCCTTATATGCGCTCACGAATTGGTATTCAAAGGGTATAACTTCCGATCTCACTTTACAACAACGCATCCTAAACCCCACATCTCAGCGATTAACATGACCGTACTTAACGTCAACAAACTCAGTTTCTATGTTGTGCTCCTGTCAGTTGCCTTCGCACAAATCCTAGTGGTCAGTGCTGCAGAGAATAACCTGGATTCTGACAATGTGGATGTTACTTATGGTGAGTGGGCGCTGGCGATTATTTGGAGCACAACTGACGAGCTTCTAGCGGCGACCCATCCTTTTTGAAACCCAAACACAACTGGAGGGTTGAAAGTTGACGTAAAGAAGGACAGATCGAGTGCATGGGCACATTGACATTGGGAGTAGAAGATGTGTTCGCGCACACGTGATTATTTGTTTATACTGAATGTATTACATGCTTCTCGAGAACAACTGTTCGAGTCTTGCTTGAAGTTCCTTCTGTTGAGATAACACGGCGAGTACATTCTCTGACTCGGAGTGCGGAGGCGGTCCAACCATAGGTGTATGGTAGTGAGCAGGCTCTGAGTCGGAGGCGCCTCGGACTATTAGGCGCAAATTATACGTCACATGCTGATTGAATCGGACAATTTTGACTGTGGTATTGGGTCCGGACAGTTGTGCAACTAGTACGAGCGAGATCTGCGAGGAGCTTTAGCTTGACCAAGTACCGATAAAGTTATGACAGATGTGAGGGAGACGAATGAGGCACGAGAAAGATGGAACGACAGATAGCCCTAGATTTAACCAAATGATAAGGATCTTCTATGAAAAGCACGTTTGCAAGACCTGCTGGCCAAAGGCGATGGAGGCGTCCTTTGCAGTCATGATGTAACATCCAACATGCGATGTCGATGACGTCTCGACGTACCTTTCTGATATGTACTGATCACCGTTACCAGGATTGGACCATTAGAGTTCGCCATTGCGAGCACGCTGAGGTCATGGTCGTATCTGGATCAGATTCGCACAATTGCAACTTGTACTCTCCTCTCCTGACCAATGGTGTCATGGATGAAGCGCAGTCGTTTCTTCCGGAGAATCTCGCTGGCGTAGGTCGCCGTAGGCGCAGTTCTCCCAACGTTGCATGCCATTCTTCGAGGAGGACCAGGCAAGATAATTTCAAGTGGTGGCTGGCTTCCTGGCATATTCTTAAATAGTTGATCCTGTGGGATATAAATAAGATCGAATATACGGGAATGGGATGACCAAATTACTACAGCAATTTCCTCCTTCCACGGTAAGGATAGGTTTAAGGCATTATCCTGTCTTGAAAAAATTAACAATGGGAAGACGCATAAGTAATTTGCAAGAGTCATTTGCAGAGCCTTTTCTTCGTCTGGACTCGAGACAACTTTGGTTGCGCAACTTAGTCACTTGAATGTAAGGCAGCACTAGAAACTGAACAATTCTGTTGTATTGAACAGGCTCAAAGAATACAATCAAATGATACACAGTTCCGCAAATGCCATTCAACGAAAACAGACTAAAACGTACCAAGTGGTGTGTTAATTTAGTCCTAATGCGCTCTCCATTGCAATTACGATACTCCCCATTTCCAGAGTATGTGCAGGGTCACACATAAGAATTCGTCGAAGATAATAGAGACAACGATGCGTGTGATGATATGTGCCCTAAGGTTGGTCACAGTTGTAGTCGAGGAGAGCTTGCTGCGGTATCCATAAATACTGAAGCTGATGGCCGAAGACCAGCACGAAAAGTCGGTGCTCTTGTTCTGGATGGGTGCGACCAAATGCTTTTGGCGAGCTTGGTAGGCTCTCCGACTCCAGACTGCAATTGAGATTCTGTATCAGATACGTATGAAAGGAAGGTACTCACGATGTTGTACCGGTTGCGATCGGATGCTAGCATGCCACGCGGTGGCAAGGATGCTAAGAATTCCGAACATCCAGCCAAATACCAGTTCTTCGCAAGATATCATGGCTACCGAGAAACCCGCCTGATATGTGATTGGCACAGCCAACAAATTTGCCGGCAGCGCGTTCAGCAGCTGACCAGTCCTTTGTTCCTACAGTGCCATGGACGGTGAGGACGAGGTGTTGGAGACTCATCGGATTATTGTGGGTAGCGTAGTGCTTCCCTAATATCCCCAGGAGTGATTAGGAAGAGCGAAGCCGGTCTGCACGCCAAGGTGAGCAACAATGTTGTCCAGGGACCAGTTCATCCATGAAGAAATCGACAGTCCAAAACTCTGTGGGCTTCCCGCCATACCTTCACAAATGGACTTCTGATCTGGTTGTAAAAGACGACGAGGATGCCTGGATTTCGGTGAGAGGTGTCATATACTCGTGCGGGACATCAGGGCCGCCGTGCAGTATGATGAGAGGGTGCACACTCGAAGCGTGATCCCCAATGATTTTGTACCAAGTCTGGTACGTGTCATCTCCGATTTTTAAATCTACTTTGCCTGTGACTTCAGCCATTCGAAGATCAGCATATGAGGCGCGTTGGGGGAACGACTGACAACCAGATGAGACTTGACATGTCGACACACGATAATGGCTGATGCGTTTAAATTTGGAAATGACAACGTTAGGACCAAGTCGGAATGTTCAACTTGGATTACTCAAGTAGTATGTAATCCTACCCGTTCCGTGTACGATTATTTCCTCGTTTCCCCTGCAGTGAATGTACATCCGGATTTCCATCTCAATCAGATATTCCAGTTTGTTCATTTGATTTAGTATCTCCAATCTCTCTTAACATATAGCAGACAGCCGCCCTCTCATCGTGTATCCTGGCAATGATAATGCCTAGAGATCCTTCCCTGAACCCGTGGAAGGTGCAAATCACTGGACATTCCATTCTCTTGCATTCAGTCTTATATTTTACAGGATTTAACTTATTCAAGCACATGTCAAAAAATCAGTCACCACTTGAGAGTATCTCGTCTGGTCCTCCTCCTTCTCCAAGAACGGCATGTGACGCTGCGAAAACTGCACCCACTTCACATGCGGGATTCTCTGGAAGAATGCCTCACGCAGGCTTCCTGCGCTTCGTCCATCACACCGTTGGTGAGCAGAGTAGGAGTCGTGATTGTGTGAATTTGATCCAGACACGACCATGACTTCAGTGTTCCCGTAATCGTGAACTCTGATGGTCCATTCCTGGAATCCATGATCAGTACCTATCAGAAAGGTCGGTCAAGATATCACCTACATCGTGTGATACACGGTGGGATGTTGCATCATGGCCACAAAGGACGTCTCCATCACCTTTGGCCAGGGGCTCTTGCAAACATGCTTTTCAAAGAAGATCCCTACCATTTGTTTATATTCAGGGCTATCCGTTGTCCCCTCTTTCTCGTGCCTCTCAACCATCTCCCTCACATCCGCTGGCAGCGCTTTTTCTCTTCCTAATGATTAGGTTTGAACTTGTTTCCATGATGGTCCATCGATTGCACTGATGTGACTGACACTGCGTGGGTGAGTTATCTACAGTGTTACTTCATAGCTGTGATTAACTTACCTGTTCTGTAAGTTCAAGTTTCAATGGGGAGACTTCGAGCAGCATCACGATTGCAAGAAGGTATGTGGCTGCCACCCCAAGTCAATACTGCGCGAGATTACACTGACTGCTACAAGGTATACTTACACTCAGTATAGTATGTGCACACCAGCTGGCGTTGGACGTCAAATAGGCTTATCTTGCAAGATGATTCTATGGCATGGAGTCAGAGTCGCCGAGCGCCGTTACGATACAGGTATACTACGGTATGTAATGTCAGCAAGTACAGTCTTAGTAGCATACTAATTTGTTGTTGAGGAAGGCTGCTGCCACTACGCCATGTACAAGATGCCATCGTATCGTCTGTTATTCCATTATTCTTTACATCGACTTTCAACCTCCCCGTCGCTGCATTATTATGTAATGAAGCTTCAAAAGCATTTCTTTCCTTTATGTACTGGAGGTTCAAATTCATCAGCCAAGTCCTACACCATCACCAGGACCTACTCACAGGCTATACCATCCACGTCGTCATCAGTCCAGGTACATTTAGTGACGTCTGCTGCTGCCACTGTGAATTGCGTGAATGTCACAGACAAGAGTAAGACGTAGAAGCTGGTGTTGAGCACACTCATATTATTGAATGATAGTACCGTCGACTAAGGCTCGCTGGTTAAGATGTGTTGTCTTATTCCAGATGAGATCAGTTGGGCCCTTTTACTAAGAAAATACCTTCTCCCCCTTAGTTCACGTATACTACTTAATTGCGTCAACCTTGAAAGTCACCTCACTCTTGATTAACTAACATGTCTAAACCGGCGGGGAAGGGTGGATCGGTGAGGGCACGCCTCACATCAGAGCATTCACGAATCTAGGGGCGCGGATGGACACAGGCTTCCCAGATTAAATGTATCGTCTTGCATAGAGTTCTGTCATCCAGTATAGCCTTAGTAGTGTAATTTCTCACTGCCCACTCACATGATAAAATTTGTTGTTGAAAGCTACTGTCACTATATGTCACGGAGTATAGTGCTCATATACAAAATGACCGTCCGGTCTACTGATCTATTATTCTTTACATCAACTTTCAACCTTGCGCTGCATCGAGCCTTTAAAAGCCCTCGCAGGGCGATTCCAGTTCATCTCTTACTAGAGGTTCAAATTCATCAGCCAAGTCCTACGCCATCACCGGGATCTACTCACAGGCTACATCGTCACTCAGGCTCCTGTCACAATCCGACACACTGGTGACGGGTGCTGCTGTGATTTGCGCGAAGGCGACAGACAAGAGTAAGATGTAAAAGCTGATTTTGGGCAGGATCATGGTAGTATTGAATGATAGTGTTGGCTAAGACTTGTTGGTTAAATCGATGCGTTTTTGTGTGCCAGATGAGATTGTAGTTGGGCCCTTTTATACATCAGCTCGGCGAGGGTTTACCCAAGTGAATTCGAAGCACGTTGCTTTGAAATTTGGGATAGTATTTCAATTTTTGTCAAAGATAAGATGGAAGTCGGCGTTCAAATTCGGTGCACAGCGATCGACTGATGCGGACTTACCATGGCTGTAATAATCGTGAGGCTGTAAAGGTTTCAGAGTACTAGCTATTAGTCCGGACTCATATCTGACGGCACCTACAGGTTTGTACTGTTTTTGGATCCAACACCACAAGGATGGTGCACAGCACCTCCGAGCAATGACATTAATGACATGCCATCACTTTCGGTTTAACAACATGACTTGAGCGAAATCTGTTTATGCAGTTGTTGTCATGATGAACTACTTCGACCGAAATAGTCAGCGATAAGTTCGCAAGTTGGATTGGAACCACTCAAGAATATCTGCGTGATCCAGGCTAATCGGAGAAATAATCTTATGGTACATGATGTTTCAGGATGACGGAGATGGCAGTAGATTATGATGCCACAAAGCCTGGTTGCCACATGGGTGAGGTGGAAAAGCAGTTCGTTGCATTTCAATTTCATGTCGTTGGCCGTCGGTGATTTCCTAGGTGCTCAACATTGATGGTGTCGCTGCGATCAGCCTCTCAGGCCATCAGCATCACTAGAATCATCATGTGGCAACGCCACCATGGAGCCCACAGAACTTGAAGGAGCGACTTGTCCGACTCAGTATTAGTTCCTTCTATCGGTAAATCCATTCTCCGACTGCAAGCTAAACATCAACACTTCAAAACAAAACTCATCTGCTTATCTCGTACTAGTAACTATTCCACGTCCTACCGCATCTTAACAATTTCTGCGGTATTAGAAATTGTCTCTCGACTCAGCACAATCATGCGCTGATTGAATCATATGAAAGGGCAAGTTTGACTGACGGGTCTGTCGGATAATTGTGCAACCAGTCCATATGCGAGATTCACGAGGAGCTCTAACTTGACCGCGGTAAAGTATTTTAGGGTTATGACAAATTAGTTGGCAGTGCTAATCATATATCAGCAGGATACTGGGCTTAATACTTAATAATCGTTACTACTAGTATCTTCAGGTAATCAGTATCCATGATGTCTCGTGTAGAACTGGCAGTTGGTTGGATGTTCGGAATGCTTACTATACTGGCCACCATGTGGCATGCTAACATCCGACTCCAACCGGCAGAACATCGCGAGTACCTCCCATACGTGTTGAAGCGAAAAATGATAGACTGACCTCCGCACTTTAGAAACTATAGAATACACTTACGCTGGTGACGATTACCCATGGGAATTTCCCGTCGATCTCACCCATGAAGCCGTCGCGATGACTCTTCACGAGAGTGTGCATTTTGCTCTAAACGCATCTGATACAGAATCTCAACTGGAGTGGGAGAGCCTCCAAAGTTGGCCGAAAATAGTTGGTCGCACCCATCTAGGACCAGAGCAGCGACTTTTCGTGCTGGTCTTCGGTCATCAGCTTCACTGTTTATGGATATTGCAGGAAGCTCTCCTCGACTACAGCCGTGACGGACCCCTGACCAATGATCATCACGCACATCACTGTCTCAATTATCTTCGGCAGACTCTCATGTGTGATTCTGCACATACGCTGGAAATGGGAGACTTTCTGAATGTCGATTACGAGAAGGACAGATTAGGAGACACATTAGTATGCAGGGACTGGAGCAAGGCCATCTCTGTATCTGAAGAGTACCACGAGAAGTGGTTGCAATGGAGGACGCATTGGGACTGAATTGACACACTACTTCATACGCTTCAACCTGTTCGTTGAATGTATCTGCAGAACTATGTATTATTTTACTGAGTGGTTCAATGACGTTTTGAATGTATACACTCGCAAATCCGAGCTTATACAATCGTTCAGTCTCTACTAGTAGTACTGTCTTATATTACGGATCATAACCGGAGGCGAGATCGCCAACGATTTTGTACCAAGTTTGGTATGTGTGTCTCCGACTTTTAAATGTACGCCTGTAACTTCAGCCATTCGAAGATCAACGTATGGGGCACGTCGGAGGTGAACGTTGAACCTTAACTGTTGACCACATGAGACTTGACAATGGACATGCGATACTAGAGGCTGTTATCGATGCTGTGCTATGAGGTAAGTTCCTCCCAAAATTCTAGTCTATTCTGATATTCAACTTACGGATGCGCGTTCTGAGCTCAGCGCTCAGCCGGGAGGAACCGTCGTATCTCCCTTTGATCTCCCTAGACTTCCAATTCCGTGGACCGTTCAAACTTGAAACATGTGTCCTCATGGGTCATTTCCTGAAGAGGAAATGCTCGGTCAATTGACAGTTTCCGATGGTGCCGCAATTGTAGTAGTAGGATTCTATGCGGATTGATCCACCTGCAATGGTGACGTTATGGTATTATTTAACGAGGTGCTCACATCATGGTTGCGACTCGCTTCCACTCTCCCCAGATATCTCCTTACTCCTCCGGAAGCCTGAGGATCCTTCAGGTTGTTCTGTCCGCCATCTGATATATCATGTCATCTAGTTGGACACCAGATGAATCGTCTGAAACGTTTCTCGCAGAGAAAGGCTGGTTGCAAGGAACCGTGGCCAGCTCCATTGCATATGGCATTGGTGTTACGCTGTTCTTTATGTGCTTCCACCTCCTGATCCGGCAAATGACCCGCACGAACTACAAAAAGAGTCTGCCTCTACTCATATACATCACCATAGATTTTATCCTCGGCACCTTATTTATGGCATCGCTGGCTGATTTCACGCAACTCGCATTCATTCAATATCGCGATTATCCAGGCGGTCCGAACGCATTTGAGAATAACATGTTCGGCATTCCTGTGGACATGCTTGGAAACGTCTGTGGTGTTCTGATGATGGCTCTTTCAGATGGATTGGTGGTGAGTAGAGGTATTTGATGTTGAAAATGTTATCGCTAATATATCTGTTCAGGTTTGGCGCTGCCTGGTAATTTACAGAGGGTGTATTGTGCCAATATGGATCATCATGTTGTTCCCTTGTCTGATGTTCGCTGGATCCATCGGTCAGTTGCTTACTATCAATGTCGGTTTGATTGTATCGGCCGCTCACTGTCGCATCCATTAGCTATGGGTATAATGTGGCTGCTTCAATTATCCAGCAGTTCCCCATTTTTCACCTCGACTAACATCAATTACACCGTTCCATATCTCAGCCTCTCACTCGCACTGAACATTATCATCACGATCGCTATCGTACTTCGTCTACTCACATATCGTCATCGAATTACCAAAGCTCTTGGCTCTAGGTTCGGCGCTCAGTACACGTCTATTGCTGCGATGATAGTCGAATCTGCCGCTCTTTATTCTACATTTTCGCTGGCACTTCTAATACTCTTCCTTCTAAACAATCCCATATCTGCAGCATTTATTGAATTGCTGCCTCAGATTCAGGTTAGCACCGGCAATTAGAGAGGCATTCGCGCTGCTTATGACATGTCACAGGTAGTTGCAATGTTGCTCATAGTTTTCCGGGTCGCGCAAGGAAAGGGTTGGTCTCAGGACACCATGTCCAGGGTCATGACCTCGAAGGCATCAGTGCAAGCAATCCGTATGGGTGATTTCGGGTACAATGTGCGGGATGGCTCCAAAACGTTCACTGGTTCCTCTGGCATTGAAGCGCATGCAACCTACAAGGGTAATGACCACGATTCAGTGGAAGCAGTTGCGTGAGCAAGGTCGCTTGGATACCTACTGAAATAACAGTTGTAGAATGCTACGGGTCAGAGTACATGTTAAACAAACATTTATTTAGTATACTTTGACGATGGACCGGCCTCAGGATTGAAAATATTGTTTGCACTCCACGATTAGTTTGAAAATGACGAAATCTTGCATTGGCGTAGTTGTTCAATGGAAGCACATGATATTGACCGGCGTATATAGAAGATAACGTATCAGTGTCCTGCCATAACGGCCGGTGTCCGAATCATCATGCAGTTGATGCGCCCAAACTAATATCCTCATGTAAGTCATTAGTAATTGATGGACTGCCTCACCGGAAGTCCCCATTACGCTAACCTTTGCCTTCCATAACTCTACGGCACCTAAATGCTTCTCCGAGCCACGCAGTGACCTGTATCCGAAGCGACCCCACGATGATGAGTCCCTGTACCTTGTCATGGCATCAATCGTACAGGTGGATACTGACCGTATTCCGCATTACGATACGGTGACTCTGACGGATCGATCAGAGAATCACACCGTAACTAGCGTACTGCCACGGGGCTACCAGTACTTTACCTGTAATTGAATCTTAAGCGCCAAAAGTTACTGCGATTCCCTGCACATAGTAATGAGACGACTTTTCCTTGCTCTTAAAGCGATACTCGCCACGGTCGTAGGCATCGGCCTTGCCAATCTTATTGCACGAAGGCCCCGGTTGTCCGACAGCAGTTTTTTCAAAGGAATTGCTCTCAGCCATGGTACTACAAAGGTTTCGAGCGTGTCCTAAAGGCTTGACTGACGATTCCACGCATCAGATCTATCCCTTCAGATAGATTTCGGGGAACCAGTATGGATGCGAATAGACCAAACGGCACACTACCGTGCCGATACGGATGAGGGTGGAGAAGAGTTTGCGAAACTCGTTCCACGGGGAGGACATACCGTTCCCATCAAAGATGCGGAGACGGGTGAAAGTCGCATTTACACGGTGACGCTCTTTCACCAGCTCAAGTGCCTGGGAATCATCCGTGACAACTACGCAGAAATGCGCCCCCCGTCGTCAGTTACTCGTCACTGCATGAATTATCTTCGCCAATCAATTTTGTGCCACCCCAATATCAAAATTGAGCCGGTCGTAAATAACCTGGGGTCTGCCGTCAGGGGATATGAGACTGTTTGTCGTGACTGGACAAAAGTTTATGAGGAGGTGGATAAGCTACATGGAATAACTTCGGATGTGTAGGAGGTTTGAATGGATACCTGTAGTACAGACTGCACTCCATAAGTATACAGTGCGTACTGGAGTATGCATACAATTGTACTTACATAGGCCAAACGAAATGTATCTGCACAAATTGGACGAGAGTTCGTGTATGTGGGCTTGTAAAAAGTTTGCCAAGGATGACATGGGCGTGAGAAATTGTTGGATGGGACATCTGAAACGCCAGAGCGAAGAAAAGTCAGGGAATGAATATTTACTTTCACTTGATAGAGACGACAAATGATGTGGCCATATCTTGAGATGTAGTCCGAGTCGAGCAGAGCGGCTAGCTGCAACGTTCATAATTAAACAGCGGAGTCAATCAACACCAAAACTCGGTACTGACTACTAACAAATAGCTAGACGCTTGCGACCATGTAGATGAATCTCCAAGTCATATTTATTGAGGTTAGAATGCACACTCTCGTGAAGACTCGTAACAATGGCTGCTTGAGATGAATCGATGAAACTTGATATTGACAGAGGGTGAGAGGTACTTGCGAATCGCGATGGTGTGCTGCAGCCTGCCACTGGTACTAGCCACAACAGTTGGACCCATGTGTGTCATTATGGACATTCAAAGCTTGTTTTACGTTGAAGTTGCCCAAAAATAGTTGAAAACATGTTCCAGATTGGTGACCTAGTTGCTCTACGAGATAAGGAGATTGCCGATAAATTTTGTTTTGAAGTGTTGATGTTTAGGCTCCGAGTGGACAGTTGAATAGAGTATCGGGGGCACGTGATGCATTCAGTAATACACAAACAATCCCGTACGCGCGAGCACATCTTCTACCCCCAATGTCACCTGCAATGTGCCCATGTACTAATACATGCTTTGCGTTAACTTTCAACCTTTCAGCTGGATTTAGGTTTCAAAATCCCGCCTCTACAAGCTCCAAGTTATCAGTCGTGCTCCACATATTCGCCAGGACTTACTCACCATCAATCATATCATCCGCATTATCAGACTCCAGGTTGTTCTCTGCAGCACTGACCGCTAAGATCTGTGCGAAGGCAACCGACAAAAGTAGAACATAGAAACTGAGTTTGCTGATGTTAAGCACGGTCATGTTGAAGATATTCTTCGCTGAGGTATGGTGTTTAAGATGTGTCGTCTTAAGATGAGATTGGGAGTTGCGTCCTTTAAATACCAGTTCGTGAGCATGACCAACAGCCATCACGCTCGAGCATTATTCAACTAACTTGATCGTCAAATTGGAGTGCGCTAGTTTGAATCAGAAAAAAATCTTAGCTGTGGTTCTTTTGACCTCGTGAACTCATGCTTTGATGGAATTCGGCGCTTCGATTGCACACGCAGCAGATGACTGGAGTCGACTTGTACTAGTACGCATCAAGTATTGAGCGGTACTAGTAGCCCACAGCAAGTTTCCTGTAATGGTTACGGTGTTCCAGCTTTTAGGGTTCAAACTATGCGAATATATTGCCCGGGGAGATATGACAGAAGTAACATCATTTCTCTCTCTGCTTCCACCGGGGAAAATACTAATCTCCGCAAAGCGTTCTGTACCGTTCAGTCTGTTCTGCTTGGGCATCAGAAAATGATGCTCACATAGATGATGGAATCATTTAAATCTAGAATCTATTCGTACGTGATAGTCGATGGATCATGTATTCACCTGCCGGAATGTGCCGTGACGACGTGTTGATACTGCACACACCCGAGTGGGACTTATCCGCATTCGCGAGTACACGAGTAAGATGGCTGACGGCAAGTAGGATGACACAGGATTGTATTGAAACCAGTTAGATAAACCAAATGTTCCGTCTCTATGACAAAAATTCGAGGAAAATCAAGTTACACAGTGGAACGCTGGATCATGTAGACAGCTAAATGTTCAATTATGCGTCAGCGGATTTCACAGAGTGGTAGAGCACTGACCTGGTGCAGTGTCCTTGTGAGCCTGCCACCATTCTATATCGCAGCTACCGCTTGACTCATCCTCCGAACATCCCAACTCGAAAACAAGGACGTCGTCCGTTACACAAGAAAGTTTTCTATACCAGTTCGAGCTGTCTTGCCCTAGCACAATGTTATCAAGTTTCGCGACCCGTGGCGGTCGTACGTTAAATGATAACGTTGAAATATCAACTGGTACAGTGGCATTGAGGCGATATAAAGCAAGCGTTGTTGGTCGGTCCATAGGCGGAATGACGACATGCAATTCGCAATGTTCCATGCCCCAGTCAATCGCCCTGAATTGAAATATTGTTGAAACCTTTGATTCCATGAGTCTATAGAACACAGAAAAAAGGAAGGTAAACTGACAGATTGTGTAACGTGAACTTTGCGGTCATCAGGCGAGATTGTGCCGGCACGGGTCGTGCGCATGGCAAGATAGTCATTGAAAACATGACTTGGTGCAGAATGATCCACCAAGCTGACAGACATGGGGAAACTTGTGAACTCTCTCGAAATAGGAGGCGACGTCCGTGCGATCTCATCGAACCGCATATATTGAGAAGGACGACGGAGAAGGTGGACATTCTTTCGAGTAATAAGTTTGTCTGAAGATACCGAAGAGTCTTGGAGAAAGGCAGGGGTAGATATCAGTAACAGGTTGAGGAACGTGCAGAAGATTACGATGACAAGAGGCCAATGGAGCACAGTTCGTGAAGTTTCACGCAACTTTGCTTTGTGGTCGTCATCACTCTCAGAGTCAATGATTTCTTGTGGTGTCAGACTCAATGGCCTGTATGACCTGGAGCGTGAGGAAAAGAACATGACGGGGAGAATGACTTGGACTTGAATTGGTCATGATAGCAAGGGTGATTTGAAGAGCACCGAGTGATCCGATTAGCCGGCACTTACTGAGTTATTAGATAACTTGAGGTGTTTCAAAACTTTGGAGCTCACAAGCGCTCGAGCTGTCTTAACACGCTCTTCTTACAGTTGAGAGGACTTGAAGCTTGAGTGTTTTAACTTTCAGATCCAGGATGAATGAAGTTCATCAGAAGACCACATGGTGCATCCCGAATGCAGTTCAACGCGACCTACGATGGGCGCGCCGTTACTGCCACGAGATCCACCCAGCATATCGGAATGATCTTGGGCCAACTTCTAGCCCTGGCCAATGGCAGTGCTAATCTAACTCATCAGCAGGATTTCTGGACTTTGATGATCAACAATGCATTACGTGTCGAGCGATATTGGCGATTATCCGAAGGAGGACTAAGTTGGACTCAGGGGTTCGGATGTCTGTCGTGGACGTGATGGACTTGCATCAGCGGGTATGTCATTCATATGTTTACGGCTCATTACCTCAATCGACTAGAATCCTTCAAGCAATCTCTTATCAAAAGGTGATCAAGAGACTCGAGGTGCTATTGGAGATGTGTGGAAGTGGCTTGCTCGTTGCTATCAGCATCTTGTGGGTCCAAAATATTGCAGGTGCTACTCGAGGCCGTCGCAGTCGAGTTATTGGCGACTAAGACTGTACTTGCTGACAATACATACCGTAGTAGTATACCTGTATCGTAACGGCGCTCGGCGGCCCTGAAGGCCTGACTCCATGCCATAGAATCCATCTTGCAAGATAAGCCTATTTGACATCCAACGGCAGCTGGTGTGCACATGCTGTACTGAGTGTACGTATACCTTGTAACAGTCAGTGTAATCTCGCGCAGTATTGACTTTGGGTGGCAGCCACATGCCTTCTTGTGATCGTGATGCTGACTCGGATGCCTAGCAACAATATTTGTCAGTCACATCAATGCAATCGATGGACCATCATGGAAACAAGTCCAAACCTAATGATTGGGAAGAGAAGGAAGCGGGAACTACTTAAATCACCGCGAAATGATGGACGATTTGATTGGTTCACGTGTTAAGACCAATACGCGAGGAATCATGTACAGCACTAGCACAACTGATACGATGATCACCCTCCTAAACACCGCCGTTTCATTTCGGGCGATGGACAAACAACCGACATAGGCCAGTTTGAACGTTGGAACATCCTTCATGTATACATAAAGGGTTGCGTCCTGCTCGTTGCTAGCTCGCTCTCGAAACAAGCCCCATACGAACAACTTCCAATGGCTGAAGTTACGGGCAAGGTAGATTTCAAAGTCGGAGACGACACGTACCAGACTTGGTACAAAATCGTCGGCGATCTCACTTCGGGTGCCCACCCTCTCATCGTGCTGCACGGCGGCCCCGGCGTCTCGCATGACTACATGACACCTCTCGCTGAAATTCACAACAAATGTAACATCCCTGTCGTCTTTTATGACCAGATCGGCATCGGAAAGTCCTTTTTTGAAGGTGTGGCGGACAAGCCAAAAGAGTTTTGGACTGTCGATCTCTTCATGGATGAGCTGGACAACCTTGTTGCCCACCTTGGTGTCCAGAATGGCTTCGCTCTTGTAGGTCACTCATGGGGAGGGATGCTAGGGGCGCACTATGCCAGCCACAGACATCCTGTGGGTCTCAAACACCTCGTCATCACCAGCGGAACGCCGTCCATGGCACTGTGGGAACAGAGCACCCGCCAGCTGCTGCAAGCGCTGCCAGCGGATGTGAGGGAGACGATTGAGAGACACGAAAAAGAGGGGACAACGGATAGTCCTGAATATGAAAAAATGGTAGGGATCTTCTTTGAAAAGCACGTTTGCAAGAGCCCCTGGCCAAAGGTGATGGAGACGTCCTTTGCGGCCATGATGCAACATCCCACCGTGTATCACACGATGTAGGTGATATCTTGAAGGACCTCTCTGATATGTACTGATCATGGATTCCAGGAATGGACCAGTCAGAGTTCACGATTACGGGAACGCTGAAGTCATGGTCGTGTCTGGATCAGATTCACACAATCACGACTCCTACTCTGCTCACCAACGGTGTGATGGACGAAGCGCAGGACGTCTGCATCAGTCCTTTCTTCCAGAGAATCCCGCATGTGAAGTGGGCGCAGTTTTCGCAGCGTCACATGCCATTTTTGGAGGAGGAGGACCAGGCGAGATACTTTCAAGTGGTGGCTGATTTCTTGACATATGCTTGAATAGTCAAATCTTGTAAAATCTAACACTGAATGCATGAGAAGGAATGTCCAGTGATTTGCACCTTCCACGGGTTCAGGGAAGGATCTCAAGGCGTTATCCTACCTTAGGTGAAGGATGAAAAAACCTCACCTTACGGTACATCTTTCACCGGCAGGATGACGGAGATGCCAGTAGATCATGATGCCACAAAGCCTGGTTGCCACATGGGTGGGGTGGAAAAGCAGTTCGTTGCATTTTCTGTTATCCGTCGGTGATTTCCTAGGTGCCCAACATTGTGGGCGTTGGAGTTGCTGCGATCAGCATCAGCATCATCAAAATTATCATGCATCATGTGGCAACGCCACATGCAACCCACAGGACTTAAAGGAGCAGATTATCCGACTCAGTACTATAGTTCCTTCTAAGTATGAGGGCTACAGTGAAAATTCCCTTGAATTCGTTGTACATACAACCTTTAATTCACACAATAAGTACTCGTACACTTTACAGGTTTTCCAGCCCTGATCGATGATCATGAGCAGGTCTTCGAAACATCATCAAATAACTATATCTGCCTTATTCAAAATACCTTCTTCTATTGCTTTGATTTCTACATTTTCGTTCATCAGCAACGCTCTATTACCACAAGGAAGGAACTCACGCATGGCCAAATGGAGGCTGTGGAAGCGCAATAGAGCAAAATCACCTGTTCACTGAAATGAAACTGACGCGCCCATAGCAAAAACGACACAAAATACCATTTGCAAACCACAGACCATCATGCCCGCAGTACCTCCACACTCCCGCAGATTGCCCTTCTTCGTCTAGACCCCAGACCCTGGTGATTTTTGACGCGACTTCATCTCCACAGACCTCGCGCATGAAGTCACGGGGATCGCCAGTAACTGTAAGCAATTATGAGTCCTGCTCGTAAAAGTAAAATATTACCATACCCCGTAGCAAATACTATTATATCTGCCTGTAGCTCGGCGCCATCAGCAAATCGAAGGCCAGTTTCCGTGAAGGACTCGATTGCAGAACCGTTCTTGATTTTGATATTCCCGTCGATAATAGATTTACTTGCTCCGGTGTCTGGAAGCTGTTGAGAGATATCTTCATTGTGCATCAGAGATACACCCACCGACGTAGTAGCCACCACCACGCTCCAGGTAAAGGGAAATAAGACCTGCTCCATGTATGCCAAGATTGGTCTTAAAACCAACCTTAGCCAATCCATCTAGAATCGCCCTGCGATTGTGATTAATGCATCTGGAAGTGAGCTTCGAATCAGTCCGACATACTTGTCTGTGGTCTCAGCGACTATAGGAACCATACGTTGATGCAGCCGCCTAACAACTGCCCAAGGCAGCGAGGTATTGTAAGTATCAGCCAGCTCAGTGGGGACGTCCTCATTATAGACAACTGGGTAAGGAAAGTCAAGCCAAGCTAGCGACAACCACGGGAACAATTACCGCCTAGCATTGCTGCCACTGACTCCTGTGAGATCACTAATGTCGACGATCGTTGATACCTAGTATTCCGTGAGATATGAAAATGACATAACTTGAATCAAAGAACGCACATTGTGATGTCGACACCGTGACTACAGAAATCTTGGGCAATGTCATGTGCTGATGAAATATTTAGATCCCGTTCGATACGAAAGGTATGACCGACCGACCAGAATTGCAACAGCCGACCTACGATTGCCTTTTTACCGATATGATCAGCCGCGGATTTGAACTCTGACGAGTGCACGGCAGATCCCTTTGAAGCTTGCCTGCGTCCATGAATCACGTTTCGATCAGTTTCGAGCGTTGCATACCTTCCCAGGGATGTCGGGAACTTTCGGGCGACCGCCAGATCCAGTGGCAAAAACGAGATGCTTAACGGTCAGAACCCTAGTACCTCTACCGCCGCGATCGACTTCGACGGACCAGGTTTTCGTGCTATCGTTCCAGGATGTCTTGGTGATCGTCGAGGCCGTCCAAACGTCGAGCTCAAGGAAGCTCGCATATGCTTCCAACCAGTCTGCCAGCTGCAATAGCTGGAATCAGTGAATTTTCATCATGTGGGTAATGTTGTACTTTTGCGGCTGGGGTGTAGACTGGCCATGTCGGTGGAAAGCTGTAAACTAGATTACAAAAGAATCGAGAGGTCTGACAAGCCACTCACTTCAGGTAAGGCGTTTGGCTGTGCCCTGTAAGTTTGTTAGTCAATCCCTTTCCGTAGAAGAAAAGGCACGAACAGATCGTAGTGTGCAAACAAAGAGCCTTGTAACGATCTCTCCACTATGAAACCGCCCTCGAGCCTTTAGCTATATTTGAATATCAAAATTGTGATGGGACGAACGCTATCCCCAACCCTGGGCTTCTTATCAATGACAAGCGTGGGTACACCAATGTACTTTAAGGCTGCCGCGGTCTCTAGACCACTGTGCCCCGCGCCGATGACAATCACCGTTGGGTCATTGTTTGAGAACTCAGTCTCTTGACGCCGCTTCTCTTCCCAACTGCCATGATCAGTCTCCCAGTTTCTGAGGGGACCGAGCTTCCGCAGAGTCAGTAAGTACGAAGTGCTCTCGAAGGAATGTGATTGCACACCTTTTGAGGGAAATCGGACAACGAATTAAGACAGGTCAACAGAGTGTAGGCCTTCCACTTTGAATCTGGAAGGGGAACGAGATAAACGACTGCAGTACCCTTGCCATGCTTGGTGGTAAAACCAAAGCAAAACCGCAACCAGACTAAATCGTGATAAACCTTTTGCAGAACAGGTTCATTCAAGGGCTCCTGTAGAAGACGCAGTTCGTTAAGACCCGTAGAAACGAGACGAGCATCCAAGAGTTTCTTGATGTCCTTCCGTCCTTCGAATGTCCTGAAATCCCACGTCAGTGCGATCACGTCCTTCCAGAAGCCGTCCTCGAGAAACAGGTCGACAACAGCTGCGGTATCACTTTGAGTTATTGCAGCTGAGAAAGCATTGAGCCACTCGATGGCTACCTCGGATGAGGAGACATTGGAAGGATCAGTGACACCAAGCCGATGTAGGCGTAGGTAAGCGTTGGGGAAACGAGTCAGTCGCCATACTGAAACAGAAGACTGATATGTGCGGATAAAGGGCAACCGCTCGTAGGCGATTGTGACGATTGTGAGTGCTTTCATCAGTTGCATGGGCGCCTGGCAAAACCCGGAGTTTTCCCTGATGTTGATCATAGATAGGCTCGTGACCAGACTGCCTGGCGTATGCTACCACGAATGCACAAGTGGACGTCAATAAATTCTCACCATATCAAATTGACGCATATTCAGACTGGTTAAGAGTCTAGATCATAGATTCATCTGGCTTGGGCGGTTCTACGATTTTCAAGTAAATAAATACAAACAGCAGGTAGGCTATGTAACTAAAACGGTTTGAACTGTTCAAACGTTCATAGACAGCGACAGATTCGGGTGTCTACTTGTTGAATTTCAAGAGGCCTTACCGGATCCATGGTTTCGTGTACATAAACTGTGTCACAGTTGCTGCCGCAAGGAAAAACCACGGATCAGTACATACGTGCCGCAACTTCGAAAAGAGTCGGTCGACGGGAGAGACGGCATTTGAAACGGCAAGAACGTCGCGCATGATGCGTGAAATCATCGGAAATCCATAAAAATGATTATTCGTAGACGTGGGTTAATGCGTCCACTCGAAAGCAATGAAAATATACCTGCCACCATGGTAAGAGGTGCATTTATGGCATTTGGGTCCTCTGCACCCTGCGCAAGGATAGTATAGCGCTCGAATTCGGACTGAGTAGGTAACGAGATGTTGGAAGGACTGAAACATCAAATGTACTCACTTCGAGAATGGCTGCGATCGCGCGAGATGTCCGCAAATCTGTGCTGTGGATGATAGGCGATGATTTGGATGTCGTGAGCGAATTAAAGATATGTTCCAAACACATCAACAAACGCCGGGCATGACCAGTGAGTCTGCCAAAGACCTCACTGCAGTGCACTTGAGAAAGTAGTGGTCCTAGGTATAGTCGTATGAAGGGTGTCTGCCTCTATGGGCCATGTCAAAATATTGCGCATTCTCAAATATAGGTTATCGTGTCTCTAAAAAATACTCCAAAGTGGGCCGAGGTATGCCCCAGTGCGGTTCTCATATAACGATCATGGTGCTCATAGTATTTGCAGACCAGCCAATAGGACCCAGTGAGTCGAGTTATCGCCAATAACGGCCGCGAGCAATGCCTGCCATTTACACATCTAGTATGGTGGCGTCTTGATCGCTCTGCGGAGATCAGCTGGAGCGTCGTAATCAAATCGACCATTACCAGTGTATGGAGCTTGATATGGGCTACCATCAGGCGGTGCACATACCAATGTATTCATGCATCAGACCTCAGACTCCTGTGCGCGCAGTAGGGGCGCCGAATTCCATGTTTACGAGGCAAGATGCAAGATGCAACCAATCATATCTAGAAATATTTTTAGCTGAGACTAGAGTTAATTGGATAGTAGCGTTCGAGTGCGATAGCAGTTTGTGATGCTTCCTTATATGCACTCGAGAGAGTTGGTATTTAAAGGTTGTAACTCCCGATCTCACTTTACAACAACGCATTCTAAACACCACACCTCAGCGAAGGATATCATTAACATGACCGTACTTAACATCAACAAACTCAGTTTCTATGTTATGCTCCTGTCAGTTGCCTTCGCACAGATCCTAGTTGTCAGTGCTGCAGAGAACAATTCTGACGATATGGAGGCTGATTATTGTGAGTGGGTGCTAGCGATTATGTGGAGCACAACTGACGAGCTTCTAGCGGGGGGGCATCCTTATTGAAACTTAAATACATCTGGATTGAAAAGTGGTGGCCGACTTCCTGACGTATTCTTGAATGGTTGATCCTGTAAGATATAAATAAGATCGAATATATGAGGATGGACCATAATTACACGGAACTTGCTGTTAGCTACCATCAGTAATAGCGCCACTGCATATACCAATGTACTAGTCCAGTTGTAGTAAGTCGACTCCACTCATCTGCTGTGCATGCAGTCGCCACAGTGGCCCATCAGTGCGATGAAATGCAACTAATTAAAACATATCTAGGATAGAAGTCAATTGGACAATGGTACCTGGCTTTTGATGATGTGGATGAATTGTGTGGGTGGGTCCCGGCGATTGTGTGGAGCACGACTGACGGCCTTCTAGCGAGAGCGAGCGGTCTTCCTTATTAAAACCTACAGACAGCTAGAGGGTTAGAAGCTGACGCAAGGAAGGACAGATCGGTACATGGGCACATTGCAGCAGCGAAAGACAGCGTCGAAAGCCAGCTAGAAGATATACACCGCCTGAGATAAAGATTAAATGAATAAAAAATGACAAAAGTTCGAGAGAAAGCTCACGTAGGATTTCCATTGCAGACTAGACCTCGAATCTCGCGAGCCACCGTAGAGATTCGGGGACAAACCAGGGCAACAGCACTTGTATCAAGATAAAACTCTTCACATGCAGAAGGAATTCTCCGGTCGGGATAGTGTCATAGTGAAGGTGCCATAAGTCTGCAAGGATGATCACCACAGTGTTTTCTTGTTTCAAAGTTCAACAATTCACGCTCCATGCCACGCTACGTGGGGCAATTGGTGAGTTGGAATGAATTGGGTGTATGTTCAATATCAGGTAATGTGCAAACTACGTTTTAGGTAGGATGCGTTGTGTACGAAAGAGTCATAGGCATGGGCGACCTCAGCGTCCTCAACTTTGAATGTCCCTATTTCAAGGGTTAAACGTTAAACATTCAAGGCTATGCAACCACTTGAAAGTATCTCGTCTGGTCCTCCAAGAATGGCGTATAGCGCTGGGAGAATTGCGCCCACTTGACATGCTGGATTCTGTGGAAGAAATTATTGACGTGGATGTTACGCCCTTCGTCGTGACCAGACACGGCCGTAACTTCAGTGTTCCTGTAACGGTAGACTCTGACGGTCCAATCCTGGTAACCATGATTAGTACATATCAAAAAGGTACGTCGAGGCATCACCTACATCATATGAAACACAGCTGCAAAAGACGTCTCCATCACCTTTAGCCAGGGGTCGTGCAAACGTCCTTTTCATAGAAGATCCCCATCATTCAGGGCTATCTGTTGCTCCCTCTTTCTCGTGCTCCTCGATTGTCTCCCTCATATCCGCCGGCAGCGCCTTCAGCAGCTGACCAGTATTTTTTTCCCGCAGTGTCATGGACATGGCTTCACCGGCAAGGACAAGGTGTGTTTGAGACTCACAGGATGTTTGTGGCTTGCATAGTGCGCCCTAAGATCGCCCCCCAGGAGTGACGCAGAAGAGTTCATTCCGCACGCCAAGGCATGGTTGACTAGCTCATGCACCCGAGGCGAGATCCTCGACGGTTTTATACCAATTCTGGTATGTGTCGTCTCTACTTTGCCTGTAACTTCAGCCGTACTGTGACGTATGGGGCGCGTCGGGAGAGCGAAGTGACAACCGACTGATGTATTTGGAAATAACAATGTTAGGACCCTTAAAGTTGGAACGTTCCGAACACTTCGCAGCTGTGTCATAGCGGCTAAGATGATGAAATGGCGGTGTTTCGATGGTTGCAAACTTGGATTTCCCACCTTAAGCTTGTCACTGGAGCTGGTTCTACTTCGGATCCAGGGCACTAATCGTTCTCTTGCAATTGAGCATCGATCCTGTGTTATGACACACCGGCGGTTTCTGAGTTTTGCTTAGGGTAAGATTTTAATTGAAATGAGAATGTCAAGTTAGGCATTCGTACTTTGAATTGTATCACTGGGATAATGGCAAATTTCGACTGACGGAAAAAATAACAAAGCAAATAACCTATTTCGACACCAATTTGACGTGTATTTTATACTCGAAATTTTTTCCTTCCGAAAAATATAAACTTCTACAATCCTATTTCGTGGGAAGATAAATTCGAAATTTCGAGGTGCAGAAAAATGTTCCGTAAAATATTATGTAATAACGGGCGTTTACTCCGGGAAATTTTGAATTTCCCCTACGCTTAAATGAGATTGAGAAAATGCAAAGTTTAAGCAGCAGGAGAATATAATGGGCATTCATTGGGTGCTCGCTGGGCATTCATCAGGTATTAGTCGCGCATTCATAAATAGTTTATGTTTGAATATATGTGACATGTGACTTCGGAGACCTGTTCATCAAAACTGAACGCGTTAATTATCGAACACGTTCATCTTCAGACGTTAATTCTACTTCAATCAACAATGATGGCTGAGCTTAACGCAAATGATGTAAGTTGTCAGTAGCCTGATGACACGCGGGGACTGATGCATCGTCTGCAGGAAGTTGATATTAATGAAAACTACCATGTAAGATAGACTACTGCCTGAGTGAATACACTAATTCTACAATAGACTTTTCATGGGGAGGAACAAGCTGGAAACGGCATGCAGGATCAGGGAGGAGGTATGGAGGAGCACACTGGAGGTATAGAGGAGCACGCTGGAGGTATAGTGGAGCACACTGGGAACATGGAGCAAGATCTGGAGGATCATGATGGGAACATCAAGCACGCTGGAAATGTATGGGACCAACCCAGTCAAGAAACATTCACAGTAACACCATCCGCAATAGTAAGTCCATTGCTGCCCATCCCCGTTAGTAAATTATGATGTTTCTAGGTGCTATGGGACTACGCACAGGAAATTGTACAAGACGATATGGAACACACGCAAGCCCATCCGCACGCGCCATGTCCCGTCCATCCCCCCATCCAAATGTCGCGTTGTGACAAATGCCTCCTAGCATTGATGGTAGAGGATAGGCGCGAAGCGCTGCTCAGGTTATGGCGGGAGTTGGATGAGATGGAACATCTTCTGGGTTTAGAGCACATCTAGGGATGTAGGAGGAAAAGCCGGAGAAGGAGAAGGGAGAACAAAAGCGATACAATGATTAGATACCATTACCTACCCCTTATGATTTATGAACCTTTTTTTCTGGAATGCCATCCATCACTTGCTTGGCTTGGCCGTCCCATCAGCGTACAGGCGTTCTACCAAACAAGTTGTCAGTTCCTGGCGGGTAGCAGTTCACGAACCTTCTTTTCTGGAATGCCATCCACCACTTGCTTGGCTGGCCCATCTCATCAACGTACAGGTGTTCCACCAGATGAATTGTCAGTTCCTGGCGGGCAGCAGTTCATGAACCTTCTTTTCTGGAATGTAAGGATTCCATATCCTCTACACCCCGACTACCGCTTCATAATAAAACTTAAGGACTTATGTCCTGACATCTGTGTAACTCACTGACACAAAGAAGTGTTACGCTTCGCGTCCGAGTCACACAGACACATTCTCTGTTCTTACCTTCACTATCTCGTTATTCTCAACGACCAGCTTGGTCTTTCACCCTCATTCATACTATACCCTGGACTTATCACCAAACTCTTTCTTGTCATTCTCTTTTAGTTTCATTCCTTTGCTCCAAAAACAGTCAAGTGCCCAATGGTTCGCGTCATTCCTGTGCACGGCGAGCTGCATATTACCATCTTTTATTCAAAACTAACATACTCTCACTCATTTCCGTTACTCCTACCCTGTCAGGCTCAGTGCCACCACTCTCTGTCTCACTAAACCTTCACTTTCGTAATAACCAAGGACCCTTACTCTCTCATAGATAAAATACGGCCTTGTAGACTCATTTTGAATGTTGGTTGATTTCCCCACTATGAGCTCGTGCCAGATCTTAAGACAGTCCTTTCCCTTGAGCCAGGCAATTCCCTCATCGAACTCAATGCATGCCTTATATATTTGGAGCCCACCACGAGGGAATTGCTTTCGAGCTCCCCTTGCACCCCTGAGTTCAATTTATCAAACTCTGTTTCTTATCCAAGTCTTTTTTGCAATTACTAAATACTATCATCCAAATGTGCAGGATCATTTCCAACAGCAACAGCCAACTGCGCTGGCACTCCTGAAGAACTCCCCTGCTCCAAAGAAACCCAGAACCCACGCCAACACGGTCACTACTGCCTCTCCGCATTATTACCTTCAACAAACAACCATTCCTCCTCCTCCTAATCAAATTGATGTCTATCAAATCCCAACTCGCACAGTTAGCTCAAGGCAGGACATAGACACATCAGATATTCCATCTGGATCTTCTATATCCGAAGATGATACTATAAGCCAACTACCTTACTTCAACACCTTATTCCCACCCCTCCCCTCTCAGCCTACATTTGCCCTTAGACCTGCAGTTTTTGATCCCGAGACACCAAAGCACCCTTCTTTACCTCCCCATCCCCATAATTCCCCAACACCTTCCTATCCTACATCTATCCCTCCTATCCCAAAACCTCAGTTCGTTCCTCAGAATGCTATGCCACCTCCTCAAGCATATATACCCACTCAATCCGCGTCCATACCAGCTCAACCCATATCCGTTCCAGCTCATCTACCACCCACACCTACCCAGCCCGCACCCTTAGTCACCCATCCTCTTACTTCACTTCATACCCAAAACCCAACCCCGTCAATATCCATATCTACAATGTCGATGAATAAAGGCATATCCGCAATGCCTGGTCCGGGGTCCAGCAAGCACATATTACAGTGACCTATCTCCGTATAATACGAGGGAACGGATGTGCATAATATCCCGTATGATATGGGCCAGCGGACCATGGGCCCAGGATAAAAATATCCTTGACTATGACAGATGGGCCAGGAGGCAAATTATTCCCAATGGAGGTGGGTGGGCCCATGCAGGGAATATATAGAGTAGATGAGTGGGCTGATGTACATGAATATTAGGTAGACGGGTGGGCCAAGGTAGTTGGATATTATGCAGATGGGTGTATTAAGGTAGATGTGTATGAGATAGATGGGTAGGTACTTGTTATCACATTCACAGGTGGGCCCAGACACATATTAAATTAGACCGGTGGGCCAAGGGTATTATAAAATATTGTATTAGATGGGTGGGCCCAGACACATATTAATTAGACAGGTGGGCTGAGAGTGGTATAAAATATAGATGGGTGGGCCCATGTGTATCATAATTGTAGACATGATGGAGCTGAGGTAGTTGTACATCAACCAAATCAGAGGAGGTAATAAATCAAAGTTACCAAGTTCCCAGAGCAGCAGGTGATCTCCTGACATGGCCTTTGATGGTGCTCAGATTGTCTTGCAAATTTTTGAATCCGGGGTGCGAAGCTTGTGTTGCCCTATGAGAAGCCAAGTTCCAATTACCAACCTTTGGGTCAACCATACTCAGAGGAGGTAATAAATTAAAGTTACTGAGTTCCCAGAGCAGCAGGTGATCTCCTGACATGGCCTTTGATGGTGCACAGGTTGTCTTGCAGAATTTGGAATCTGGGGTGTGAAGCTTGTGTTGCCCTATGAGATGCCAAGTTCCGACCACCCAAATTTGGGTCAACCGTACTGACTTCCAAGTTCCGGGACCCGGGAGTCAACAAATGAATATCTGATAACCAGCACACTTCCAATCAGGTAGTATGTCATTGAGCAATGGATCATCCAAGGGGTCCCTTATCAGACTTGGTAGTCAATATAGGCAAATGATAATGAAAACATGAAAGTTGTTATTATGCTATTTTTCAAACCCAAGACCCGAAAATATGTATGCAACATGTCCATTTTTCACTTGTTGCACAAATCACTGAGTTTTGAGTGCTGAAACCTGAAACTCAAAACCCGGCATGCAACATGTTGATTTTTCATTTATATTACACAGATCATCAAGTTCCAAGTGCCGAGGGCTGAAGCACAAACCCCGAGACCCGAAAATATGTATGCAACATTTCCATTTTTCACTTGTTGCGCAAATCACCAAGTTTCAAGTGCCGAAACCTGAAACTCAAAACTGGGTGTGCAACATGTCCATTGTTCAATTATATTACACAAATCATTGAGTTCCAAGTGCCAAGGGCCGAAACACGAACCCCAAGACCCAAAAATATGTACACAACATGTCCATTTTTCACTCATTGCACAAATCACCGAGTTTTGAGTGGCGAAACCTGAAACTCAAAACCCGGCATGCAACATGTTGATTTTTCATTTACATTACACAAATCATCAAGTTCTGAGTGCCAAGAGCTGAAACCCGAAAATATGTACACAACATGTCCATTTTTCACTCATTGCACAAATCACTGAGTTTTGAGTGCTGAAACCTGAAACTCAAAACCCGGCATGCAACATGTTGGTTTTCATTTATATTGCACAAATCATCAAGTTCCGAGTGCCGAGTGCCGAACCCCGAACCCTGAGACCCGAAAAAATGTATGCAACATTTCCATTTTTCACTTGTTGCACAAATCACCGAGTTTTGAGTGCTGAAACCCAAAACTCAAAACCTGGCGTGCAACATGTTGATTTTTCATTTTCATTACACAAATCATCAAGTTCCGAGTGCCGAGACCCGAGACCCAAAAACATGTGTGCAACATGTCCATTTTTCACTCATTGCACAAATCACCAAGTTTTGAGTGCCGAAACCTGAAATTCAAAACCCGGCATGCAACATGTTGATTTTTCATTTACATTACACAAATCATTGAGTTCCGAGTGCCGAGGGCTGAAACCCGAACCCCGAACCCCGAAAATATGTGTGCAACATGTCCATTTTTTACTTGTTGCACAAATCACCGAGTTTTGAGTGCTGAAACCTGAAACTCAAAACCTGGTGTGCAACATGTTGATTTTTCATTTACATTACACAAATCATCAAGTTCTGAGTGCCGAGACCCGAGACCCGAACCCCGAGACCCGAAAATATGTATGCAACATGTCCATTTTTCACTTGTTG